TGGTTAAGTCTAGGGACCTAAAAGAACCGAGTGTTCGATTTAAAATAAGAAATTTGGGTTATGTGGCGTACTTATGAGACACCCTGCATAATAGCAAATATTTTTATTGCATATTTAAAGAAACGTAGCGTATTATGTATACTTTAGACAACTAGTACTACTGACGATCTGAAACGATACCCTAAGTGTAAACTAATTTAGTTTGTCTTCCTGGACTTTTTACATTTTTTTGATGAATTAATAAACGATTTGAAAGGTTTCTGAAAATTATTTCTCTAAACGCTTGTGAAGCTTACAAAGAAGGTTAATTTTAATTTTCATATATTTTTGAAAAGCTGGTAAAATAGGATATGATAGTGTTTTAACAAACAAAATGAGGTATAAAGTAATATGATGAAGGCAATTTCTTCATTTATTGCATTGTATTTATTCATTGTTCGATCTTCTCGTGCTTTTTATATTAACTGCTATTTCGTCACAAATACAGTAGTAGTAGTAGTAGTAGTTTTAAAATATTAAAACGTCGTAGGACACAAAGTAAACATCTGATAAGGAATTTCCGTCATGTGATGACAGTTAAAGTAACTAATAATTCATTATTTTGTATTTGCTTGTAAAATCCATACTTTTTCAGGATATTAATATATTTTTTGCATTGTCTATTGTGATCAGACCGAAAAACCACAATTGGTGCATACTTTGGCATTTTTGGAAAAAATATAAAATTTCCATACAATCTGAATAGTTTAATCAAAAAGAACATATTTTAACGTTAACTAAACGAATCTATGAATGTGTTGAAATAAAAATCGCTTGCTTCGGCAAGAATAGAAAATGCAGAAACGCAACTGAGTCTCTATAGAAGTGCGGCAGTTGCCCAGCCTATTTGACACGGCTGAGGGTTTAATTAAAAGGTACAAGGGTATCGCAACATTTAAACGACATTGAACTGCAAGCACGTATTCATACTGTGCACTGGAACATGGCCCTCTCTAAATTGATCGACATACACGTAATTTTTGAAAAAAACCCGAATAGAATAAATCGTGTGACTTCCTTGAATTTAGAAGCTACAGGAACTCGACAATTAAGACTAGTGAGACGGTAAAAATATTGAAAATAAAATTATTTCCTATGTCTCAAATATTTTTTCAAATAATTTAGGCATGTCGCAAAATGAATTCTCTGTTCCAATGAATTCATTTCTTTTCTCCGTGATACGCTATAATTTGCCAATCGGTTATGTCACCGTTTGACCATTTCACTGAAATGCGGAAAATTTCTTATTAACTTATAATTGAGTAAAAAACTTTATAACATCGTAAATTGCTAACTGACCAAAGCAAATAACTGTTTCCAGCCTTATCAAACAATTTCAAGTCGGTAAACTTTTGTCAAAGCGAGGTATTTCTCGGAATCTAGTAAAATTAAATTCTAAACTTTATAAATGGGCATACCGCAAAATGAATTCTCTGTTTCGAAGAATTTATTACTTTTCTCGGTGAATTGATTTGGGCAGTTGCCGAAACCGATGTCTCAAATGGTGTGTGAAATGCGAGCCATTGTCATAACAAACATTAAAAGCGAATAATTTTATTAGGACGACTGTAACAATAAAATGTTTTCGTAGCTGTGGCTATTCAAAAATATATTGACCTAAACATCGATATCGACCAACAATATACAGATATGGATAGTTTCCTGTTATATTTTGGTGATATATTTTCTGAAAAAATAAGAAAGCTGTTTCAATCTTATAAAGGTTACGACTATAGTTAGCTAATAGTTAAATAAATGGAAGATATTTTTTAAGAAGCCTATGTCCTTATCTATCTTGTCACACTAAGGTTGTCAAAAGGCAGGGTTAGGTTAGATTAGGATAAAATTCAATTTTGTCTTTTGTGATTTCCTATTATTATTGTCAAATAGAACATTGTCCCGTACCAAATAAAAGCTTTAAAATATGACCAACTCATAAAATTAGCGTCTGAATAGTTAACAGAATTTACAAATGCCTGTGATTTTCTCCCGGATTCATTTTACTATGAAATATTGCAGTCAGCCAGAAAATAGTTCGATATAGCGGATTTTTCGCGATAAGCGAGGTCACACAAATTTTCCGAAATTTTACATTCAATGCATGCACATTTTTTAACGTCATCTTATTCTACGCTAAATCGTCTTTTCAATAACATTATAGAAGTTAACAATATAATGATGTTTCTTTTTTACAAACCTTCTGGATTCCTCCTGCGTCGGTTTTTGTTGACTCAATAAACAACAAAGTAATTGGTGGTCAATTTTTAGGATAACAGCAATTTGAAAATAGCTGATTGACATTCTAAATAAAATGATCACATTCATTCTTTTACAGCAGCTTCAAAAAAACGTATGTTTACCACTGGAACTAAGTATACTCACCCCAGACATAGAGTAAAACATTGGTATTCGAATCTGGCGTAATCTCAATTACTTAATCAGCATAAAACGGTATTTTTTTTAATCTGGGAATTTCAGGTGAGTCCAGCTCGGTTCTAGACCTCGTTGAAAACTTGCATGCTTACATGTAGCAACTATGCCGACACGGAACCAGACAAGTGGTATTAGTTAGATGTATCTAATGCCTCTAAAAACAAAGAACTACAGATTTTCATTTATCTAACATAATAAAATGAAAAAAGCTTGTTAAAATTTGTGTTATTCAGTGCGATGTTAAATTCTCAATTTATTTCATATTATATCGAATCTCTATGAAAAGGTTGATCCCGATTAGAAACTTTTGAGGCAAATACGAGGTTTTTTGAGTTGTGTTTGGCTATCGTCGCTATATACATAATGCGTGGGAAGTTCAAACTGCGACGCAAGTTGATTTTGTATGACGGGTAGAAAGCACACTCTTTTATAAACCTTGAATGATGAGCTTATCGGATTACTGTTTTTGTGTATAATTTTAACAGGGATTAGGCCGCTTTTACTATCCTTCGTAGCGAATTTCGTGTCCATAAATCATAAATCCATAAAAATTTAATCCGGGAAAAATATCGAAATCATTTTGAATTAAAAAACAGATTTTTTTTGAAGTCCTTTTTCAAAATTTGAAGCTTCAAATTATTGTTAAAAGTTAATTACCTCCCAATTTTGGTACTTTTATAAGATTTTTTTCGTAAATGCACATTTTATGCACTGAGCGCATAAAAGCCTGTATATGCTCAGTGCTAATAGGTGTTTTTGAAGAGTGCAAAAAAGTTGGGAGAGAAAAGTTTTTGTGTTTAATTGGCCAAACATAAAATAATCTTAAACAAGCATTGTAATTGAGCGTTGGAAAAGTTTCCGTTGCTATTTCAATTTTGTTTCGGTTCTTCCGACCGAAAACCGTCTTGGCAAATCATTTCATACATTCGCGTCCCAGAAGCTGCCCAGACAAATTAATTTATCAGGACGGACGAGAGCGGAATAAAAGCACACTTAGTGGAATGTTTTCCTTTCACTATTGTGGTTGCCTGTATTTATGTTTGTATGGTTTAAAAAAACTATTTCTCAAACTTATAAGTAGAAATATCACTTTTTCATTTTGGCAACATTATTTTATCTCTCCCATTAAAATTTTTTCGATGTTTAGTTAAATTTTTGAAATGAATCCATATAGGCTTACAATTTTAATATTTCTCATTAACTGGTTTTAATAATAGTTTTCCACATTTAACAATCTCTACCTTTTTAACATACTAGTCTAGATAAAAACTTCATAAAATTAACCAAACATTATCAGTGTTCAGCATCGAAGTACATGTCGTCTTTGTTTATTTGGTGTATTCAGTGTAATCTGAGTGTTTCAGGAATTATAAAATTAAATGTATAGAGTGTTGTCCAACCTTCAGTTCGGCAGTACTTCACGCGCTTGCGTGCAGTACTGCCGATTGGAAAAAGATCGCTTTCGACCGCTAACGAAAAAAGTACCACTCCACTTTGACTTAAAAACCCTATATAACGGCTTTCAGTAATTTTCGAAAATGGTGATGCAGACCACATTGTGTTAACCGGGATCATTACGAGAAAAACAATTAGATCCCGTCGGGTACTGTACGGTAAATTTAATTTTTGGTTACAATTTGTGAACCACCCTGTATTGCACCTGCGATTTTAAACGACCTGAAGCTCCAAAACCTATCGAAGCGAAGATGTTGCCAACGAAAAGGTTTCCCGTGTCTCATACGTGATCTTGCTCTCGATAAAAGATTTTCATTGTATCTCGTCAATTCCTGCATTTCTGTTGGGAATGAGGGTTAATCAATGTCATTAATTTTTGTGTCGAATAACCATTACCATGTAATAAACATTATATTTATTTATTTTTTTAGTCCTCTTTAATTCGATAAAATTTCTAGAAACTTGATTTAACTGTTTTAAAGAGCCAGTTATAGTATATTTTATGGGCAAATTTTGCTTCTCACTGTTACAATTTGCGCAAATAAATGTATTTGAACCGTTTTGAAAATGAGAAAACCTAGTTCGTGAGATGTCTTGAAAAAAAGACGATTGATTTTTGTTTTTTTTTGGAATCAATGACAATTTTTTGCTTTTAAATTCTTAATCTGAAGTTTCGCTTTCAAAAACATCTTCGTTTATTAAAATACGAGTCGATTCTTTTTCATTTTTAAAAAACCAGTGGCCATTTTTAGCCAAATTCGATCGACGATTCTTCATAATTTTATGTCGACAAGACAAAAATTTTGTTCTAAGTCAAGAATAAAATTTCAAATGTATTTCAAATCTTTAAAATGTTTAAGAAATTTTATCGAAAGGGATGGGCGTTTTGGAATCTGCAAAAACCTATTACATAACACTTGATAATAAAGTAAATCGCTTGGTATAAAAAACAGTATCCCAAAGATATTGGTTGCAATTTAGAATGCCGTTATATAAGCACATATATTGACTTAGAAGTGTGCATCGGGAAACTTATATCGACATTTTCAAACTTCTAAAACGTAAACTTTCAGATTGACAATAAAAGCTGGATGTCCGATGAACTTGGAAGACTTTCCTATGGATATACAGAGATGCCCCCTTAAATTTGGATCGTGTAAGTAAAGAGTAAGAAAAAGCACAAATACGTACTTACATATTACACTCCCTTAGTGGCTTGACCTTTTCAAGATGTTAAATACAAATTTAGGATATTTGTTAATAATAACGTACTGGGCTTCCACATATTTTCGAAATTCATATTTACCCTTTTCTTCAACCTTCATTATAAAATTATAATTATAAAAGATTGCGCATAGTCTGAAATAATCTTTCAAATTTAATTCTTACATGGTATGTAAGAAATTAGAAAACAATATATTGAAATATTGAAACAGAAAACCTCAATATTGTATTTTGTCACCCGTGTGACACATCCTCCAAAAGATGATGAACCAGGGACCCATATAAAAATGAAATGGTGGTTTCAGTCAAACTGAACATCATTTTTAACAATAAGATGAAGTGTCAAAAACCTCTTAAAATTAAAAGAAAATAAAATTTGACAACAGTAAATGTTAGCTTTTTGCTTTCCGTAATACGAATGATAACTGCAATTTCTTATAAGAATATTATGATGGGGACTCATATACAAGTAGATACCTACTTGCCAAATTAAAGTCACCTCTCTTACAGTTTACGAAATGATTGCGGATTGCTCCTGGTATAGGTATTACGAGACCCGCTAATCATACAAAAATTACTTCTGGGGAACGTTATTTCAACCACCTCCTTTTGATTGCGGATTCCCTCTCAAAAAAAACCACACACCCAAAAGAAATTCCACCAATCTCGTCCTAAACTTATATCACGAAAATCCCCGGTTGCCTTCCCTCTGGCGTTACACCGGAAAATTAACCAAAATGATGCAATCAAGGTTTAAACGTGCGCACGCTAGATGGTGCTATTCAAAAATTTGTTTAAAGTTTATACTACAACAGAAAGTTTGGTTGGAGCGATTGAATTGGAAACAGCTTTTATAAAGTTTTCCATTTTTATTATTAACGTCTTTATTCACCGTAAATCAACAAGCAAAAAACAAATCAAACAATAAAATGTGCGCACAGGGAAAGTAATTAATCGTTAATTAATTAAACTTTCCTGTTTTGGGGATTGTTGGCCAAAGTAACTCTTCCAAAGGTTGATTTCTGTTCCCCTGTCTTTCTCTTATTTTTCTGTCCCCTGTCGACGGTCCACGCTCCTCTGACACCTCTACAACTGGCTTTAGGGTATCTATTCCAGATTCTTCCTAAAACTCTCTAAATTCGCCGTCTACATCATCTTCAAAGTAATTTTGCTTCGAGTACTTTGTCGTTGGAGTAGATAATGAACTCGAATTACGAAAAAGGGGTAGTCTGCTAACAATTGGTACGCTCTCTTTTCTTATGTCAGTTCTTATGTCACACTTATGCCAGAATTTTTCAATTTTCTGGCATTTTTAAATACATATTGTTTACTTAGTTCACTGATAAATTGTACTAAAACTGTTCTGCAGTTCCCGTATTTATTTTCACCAATTCTAAAGAAAATATCGGGTCCACCAATTTTTATGCTAACTTCTAGCCTATTTTTGAAAACATCCAGCAAAACTTCTTTTAGTGGTACACTGGCTTCTACAGAAAGTCCAATCACAACAACATTTTTCCTCTATAATACTTCATCTTGAAATGCATTTTTTTTTGTTCAAGCTTAATATTTTCTGCCTGGAGTTCTTCCACTGTATTTTTCAATTCAATGTAAGTTTATATCTTCTATTCCCTGGTCGGTTTTTGAAGCAGCTCAAACATTAATTTGTTAGTAACGGAGCCCATTTCAATTAAGCAAGCTGACACCTGTCTCCTGCATTATCGGAATTGTCGCTATCTAAGAAACTCTTAAATTCTTTGCTAGTTATGGTTTTCCCATAATAATGGATACATGTAGTTCCTGTCCGCTGTTGGCTAAAAATTTGGAACGAAACGTTCTGGAAAAACACATGCATTTTTGTTATCTGATCATCGTCTCCGTCTCTCACAAAAGCGTGACCGACAATTACGTTTGGCATTTTTCCAGGCATGTTTTAATGGACAGAGCGGCCGTATCATAGAACCGGTGCCAATAATAATTTGCGCGATTACAGCGAAAAAATTAAGTTATCATCTTTGGGACAATAAAAATCAGCTTTTCATTTTGTGTTGATTTTATCGGCAGTTGGCTACACTACCCACGATGTCGTCTACCGCTGGAACGAAGCCCGTCAAGTTGCCATCGCCGAGGATATGAAATTATCTCAGTTCGATTTGATTGCGACCCCAGCGGCGAATCAGACCGACACTTTATTTAGTAGCGATGCAAAATCGGGTACGTATAACGACTTATTTGAATTCGTTTTATTGCTTACATATTGCGACCCATTTTTATCCGATCTCAAAGTAGTTTTTTCTTTATTTGTTTTAAAATTATACACTTTTAAAGAGAACCCCCTTTTTCTGAAACGGAGACTAAAACTGATGTCCCATTTCAGAGTTAAACGGTGTGTATGGAAAATGTTCAAACATTTTTGTTATGAAACGTTTGGTGTTTCGGTAAAAATTCCACCACCTGTAATTTCTAACTATTCAAAACGTGTTTTTTTGACATGGCAACGAATGAATTTTAATGGAATTTTCTTCCTCGTGGGTGGGTACCCAACAGCAAAATATACTGAAAATTTTTATATAAACATGCGTTGCTATGGAAATCTGTCAACAAAATTAATTTTTTCTACTCCCGTCTGTAACTTACCTAATTACACAGTCTTATTTCCCACGGATCCGAGCCACTTCGGACATTTCCGGGATTTTACCGTATGGGTTTAGGAGCAATCGGATGATTTTGGAGATATTTCCCACGCCTTGAATTTATCAATTCTGTCGGCCATGTCAGTGAATGGATTCGTATTGTTTAGCGAAAATGTACCCAAAAACTAACGGTCGTGGAAAAAGTATAGTATGAAACATGTTCGGTAAACTTTTTAAGTCACTCGTTTATTAAACACTCGCTCCGCTCGTGTCAAATAAACTCGTGAGTCAAATACCGTTTTTCTACTCCCGTCTGTAAAATACCTAATTACCCACCGATCTAGCGTGCGGGAAGCGTCACTTTACCACGTCAGTTTCGTTTCACACGAATCCGAGCCACTTCGGACATTTCCGGGATTTTACCGCACGGATTTGGGAGCAATCGGATGTTTTCGGAGATATTTCCCACGCTTTGAATTTTGACGTTTGTCATATCTTACGGTGAATATATTCGTGTTGTTTTGCGAAAATGTACCCAAAAACTACCGGTCCTAGAAAAAGTATAGTATGCAACACGTTCGGTAAACTTTTTAACTCACTCGTTTATTAAACACTCGCTCCGCTCGTGTCAAATAAACTCGCGAGTCAAATGCAGTTTACCGCACTTGTTGCATAATATACTATTGATTGGTTGAAAACTACTGGTGTGGAATTTTCTTACCGAATACCACAACAACGTCAAATTAAATCCGGAAATTTTTTCGAGCTCATGGACATTTAGAAAATTATCGAGTCGAAGACAGAGATAATTTAACCTCTAGTGGTATTATTAGTGAAAAAAACTGGAGAGCACCTTTTACGTAACAGCTGATGGTTGATATATATTTTTAAAACTAATGATTTTGCTATACAGCTATCAACAGAAAAGTCGGTCGCGAATCGCAGGATATTGAGTACTCGGTTACTTACCGTACAATTACAAATTTTTGGTAATGTCGGATTACCATTTGTTTTTGTTTCCTAAGTTCATCTGGACAGTACTGTTTTCGTCAACGTCCATATTAACGTTATAACTCCCTACCTCTATTTTATTCATATTTTTTTTATCTTTTCTTTTCAAACTGTCTACTATTAATTAGGTTGTGTCGCAGTCTTCCGAAAATGTCTCTGAGAAGGCTTTGAAAGGCTGAACCAACATTTTACGAGTTAACGCCAAAATCACAATTTGATAAAGAATTGTAACAGAAAGCTTATGAAAAAAATCATAAAGCAAATACGCTTTTAATTTTAAGACAGATTTGGTAGCCGTTTTGGCATATGACAATGCCAATGACAAACAAAGGTAGATAAAAACACTCTATTTAATTAAAAAAGAAGATATTTAAAATCTGTTCAGGCCATCCAATTATACTTTAAAAAATTCCTCAGAATTGAATCAATACTTTTTTTTTGTAATGTTAAGAAGAAATGAAACTTGTTTGCATGGCTCGAAAACAAAAGACTCCAGCGAGTTTTTGTTTTCACCTTAGAGTTCTTCTCAAAAAAAGTATTTTGTTTTGTTAGCTCTAATAGTTATCGAGATCTTCTATAGAAAGGTGAACGCCAGAGAATGCACATGTACATGTACCAACAAAGCGTTCGATAGAGTCCACCACAAATAACTAATGAAAATCCCCGAAGCAAAACAAATGGACTATAATGACATCGCGACCAACAATAATGATCGGTCAGAAAAAATCGAAATTAAGCAAGGTACAAGCACTCTTTTTCAGTGCTTAATCCGAAGGGATCCTGAAAACAGCAAAGGAAGTAGAGACAGGTGGAATAAATTTAAACGGAGAACTGATTAACAATATTCAATCTGCGGACGAGACTATAAAAATAGCAGAAAATGTCTAAAATCTTCAGAGATGGTCGAATGCGTCTGACAATATGAACTAACAAAAACAGCACTAAGGTTGAACAAACACCGATTAACTCCACAAACGACTATTCTAAACACGTTACAAAAAGAATAGAAATAGCACGCAAATTTCAATAGATTAAAAAAATTACTCTCTACGAGGGATCTGAAGTTAAAGCTAAGAGTAAGAATAAAGAAGTGTCTTCCCAACCTTGCCTTACGCAATGGAGGCATAGATGAATCATTCGAGCTATGGACGTAAAGATATCCTCGACAGAATATATTACAAACAACAATATTATGAGAATAATAAACGAAGAAATGGAGATAGTAGAAACAATTATGACTAAAATAGTACAGTACCTTGGACATATCACAAATGAGGCAAGGTACGCCAGGCTAGAAGTTATCATGTATGGAAAGATCCTGGGAAAAAGAGGTCTAGGAAGAAGGGTGTACATTGACCCAACCTTTTTAGAGCAGCCGCTATCAAAATCCGGATAGCCATGATAATTGGCAACCTCTGCTGCGGAGATGGCATTTGAAAAAAAAAGTTCGCAGTGTGAACTAACTTTGTTAAGGCAAGCGAGTCGGAACGTTGCCTTGTCTGTTGTGTAATTGTGGTTGTATACTATTGTGTTGTATCGTATCACTTCTATCACAGATTCTCCAATTGTCACATATTTATTTCAACCTTAATTATAATCTTTTATTTATTTATAGTGGGTAAATTACAAAAAAAATAGGTATTTATCGATATTAATAAGTAGATTGATTTAAAATATTAAAAAAGCATTAAAATATTTTAATTCTACTGGCACAAAATTTAAAAAACTAAAAGATCAAAAGACGAAATAAAAAAAAACAATTATAATTTATTTAGAATATCAGCAGTGGATTATGCACCTTGAGCAATTGACAAGTCTTGAGGTGCGTTCATTTGCAGAGTGATGAGTAATTATATTTCGAGCTGGTGCGCTTACGTTTCTTAGAAGTTCTTGCGTTTGACATCTAATTTATTTTTTCAATCAACTTACAGATTATGAAGGATGTACAAAATCTAACCCACACTCCTGATTCCTCATTAAATGTAAAAACAGTTTTAGAAAACAAATATAAATGTATGAGCAAAGCGTTCAGACTTTAATTATTATAAACTAATCCGATTGTAGCAGTTTGTAGTATTAGTGACGCTTCATCAACAAAGCCTTCATCCATAATGTTCATAGGAATGCATTTGTCAATGAACACATATTTAAAAATTGTATATAAATAAAAGTAATAAAAGTTAAAACTAATAATCGTATTATTTGATAACGATATTTATTGTTATTTATTAGGTATGTTGTGTGGTTACGTTAATCAACCAAATTCTAGATTGTGGGAAGCTAATTAAATTATACTGATGACGAATTTGACATGGGAGCTTTTAATTTGTCCTTCGGTTTAACCAACAATTTCATGTGATTAATATTTGCATGTGGCGATTCATTTTATTATCGTTTTTAGGGTTCGACACCCCGATGCAGTATCAAAACGTTAATTGGATAAAACCGGCATCAAATAGTTTTCGAATGCGTTCGTCGAATTAGTTGAAAACGAAATAGCGTTAAGAGACATCGAAATTTGAAAATAATTATCCGCTACAATGACGGTTTTTGGGACATAATTAGTAATAATTGCTTTATGCCGTTACTTTTTAGCACTATAAACGACAGATTTCAATTTATCTATTCCCGTGGGCGATGCGAAAATAAATCGTGGGATTTTGTTTCAGCTGAATTTTCAATGTTATTGGTAAGTTTCCATCTTCAAAGACACATGGGCAACTTTCTGATTCAGGTGTACGGACCGTGCGTGCTGCTAGTGGTTCTCTCGTGGGTATCCTTTTGGTTAAATCGTGAAGCTACTGCGGATCGTGTTTCATTAGGTAACAATCAATACTAACAAACTACTGAAATGGCACGTTTTAGCCACATTATACTATACTGTTTGATTTATGTTTATTCATTTTGAAGTTATGCCCGTCTACAAATATATTTAAAAAAATATTTATTTCATGAGTGTTAATTTTTAGAGTAGGTTTACGTAGGAAAATATATCTAATGTTATTTATAGCTTCCTATATCCCTCATGTTTCAAATTTGACTGTCACCAACGGAATCTAGGAAACAGTGGAAGTGATAATATTCGAATCAAAAATTGAAGCTTTCTGTAACAGTTTAGGAAACATGTCGCAAATATTCAGAAAATTCAAAAACATGAGCAGTTTGAAAAAAAAACTCCAAACAATACAAATCTAGAATTTTCGAGTTTTAGATAGATTGTTATCAGATAGTCAACATTGCTTAAATAATGGGCGAAAATTTAAACACTCGGTGCAGTGTGGTCAAGAAAAAGATCTATACGCGGAGCACAAGAAATTAATATCTGCTTGAAGGAACTTTGAAGAAATTTAATTTAATCACAAAATAAGAAAGGTTAAAATTAAGAAACTATGAATATTATATTACGAAATACCTTTGTAATTGGAGAATAACATGGTTATAAAAGAAATTAAATTTGATTTAATTCGATAAGAAAAAAAAGTTATTACACACATATTAAACCAATTGGTTTCCTATTGCATAGTGGGCCTAATAATGTATTATATTGTGATTTCTTCAGGTATTACCACGGTGCTGACTATGACTTTTCTTGGTTTGGAAGCAAGAACTGACCTACCTAAAGTACCATACCCAACAGCATTGGATTTTTTCGTTTTCTTAGCATTTTCCTTCATCTTTGCTACTATTATACAGGTACCTATGTTATATTAAGGTACGGGCAGGTATTTTTTATTGAGTTGAACTTCTAAGACTATTGTTTTGCACAAAAACTTGCTATTAAACTTTGTTTTGTTTTGTTCGTTTTGATACTAAATAAAAATAGTGTAGCTAACCAATTAAAAAAAATGTAATTTTCAAAGCAAAAGTTTCATGACTCAACAAATAGAGATCAATACTTTTGTAGACTATATTATTGTTTTCAGTTTGCAGTAGTCCATTATTTCACAAAATATGGTTCCGGAGAATGTTATTTTAGCAGTGATTTCAATTCCGAATCGAGTTCCAGTGACGATGACAACTGGGAACGACGTCGCACTGCATCAGTAGGTTATAAAATCACGTTATTACACAATTCGTAAAAAAATCGACTCAACTTAGGAACAATTCGTGAACATTTTGGAGCAAAAGTCGAATCGTTCTCCATTCCCATTCGGAAAGTTGGAATTTATGTCCCTACCATTTTGGATGAGACTTGGCGGTTTCAGGTATTTTTTAGCCATCGAAAAATGAATACATACGTTCTTGATACGTAAACTTAGTTTTCAGCTACCGAGTGATTCTCAAAACCATTATTTTTGAAAAAGTCCTTACAACTTCCTCATAACTAGAAAAATTGACTTGTTTGACGTTCGAGCGTGCGGAAAGCGTCACTTTACCACGTCAGTTTCGTTTCGCACGGATCCGAGTCACTTCGGACATTTCTGGGAATTTACCGGACGGGTTTGGGAGCAATCGGATGTTTCCGGAGATATTTCCCACGCCTTGAATTTTGACGTTTGTCAATTCTGACGGTCATGTCAGTGAATGTAATCGTGTTGTTTTGCGAAAATTTTTCCAAAAATTAACGGCCGTAGAAAAGGTTTTATTTTATGCCATTTTGTTTTTATTGTTTATAAAATTTCATTTAAAATGATTTAAACGAAAACTGATTGCAAATTGTATCTTAACGGATGGAGTGATCCCAACAAACACTAAAGACTCCTTTAAAAAACGGATTTTCCTGAAATAAAAAGTTTAAAAGTAATACTTGAGAATCACCGTATAGCTCGGAAACGAGCTGACGTATCAAAGATAAATAAATTTTCGTATTGGAATTTTCCTCAAAAATCAAGGCCGAGAATATCTTTGCCTATTTTTCGGTATTATGCTGGAAATATCCTAAACCACCAAATCCTATCGAAATTGACCCATTCTGTACATACATAGGTCTAAATGTTACTTTTGTTTGTGTATTTTTGAACGCATGTTTTAAATTAATTTTTTATAATATGCAGGTGTCGGAAAAGAAAAAAAGCATAACTCACGTATCCCCCATTCACAACACAATTCCAGAACAACCCCATGTTATAGAGGTGATTCCGCTTTCGGGGTATACTATACCGCAGAGGCTGAATATAAGGAGGAGGTCTTCCCAGCCGTGGACCACTCTGTCCAACTGTTTAGGAAAAAATGAGGAGAAAATGCCTTATCCGCCTACGAAAAGGAATTCCAGTGTCCATAGGCTGTCATTGCAAAGTAAGTTTTTATACGTAGTTTAGACGTTATACTTTGGATATAGACTTGTTGCGAAAAGTCCCAAATAAGAATATATAATAACATGTAAAAAAAAAGAAAAGGAAATTTTGACAAATAGACAGGCTCACTCTCGTAATCGTTTGTTCAAAAAACTAAAAAAAATTGCCATTGTTAAAAATAATGAAGAATATATTTACTAGAATATACAAAAAAGTGTGTTGTCAAAAATTCGCCAAATTTTAATCATTTTAATTTTCTGAAAATCGCAGGTTTTTATTATTACAACAGCAACCATGTCCTATTTACTTAGTCAGTGATGCCTTAATATTCCGGCTACAAAAATCTACATAGTTGTTTCATAACTCTTGAAAGACCTCTGGGCACATGTATTACTCATGTGATGTGTGTGTGAAAATATCTTTCTACATTCTATTAAAACATTTGTATTTATCGAAATCAATCTTGTTTTGGTCATTTTTTTAATTAATATTACTAACATTATTTTACCAATATTATTGTTATGTGTTATTTGTAATAATATAATATAAGTCAATCTTTTAATTTCAAGTTTGTTTAGAAGATCAGTGGTGTCAAAGGGAGCTTTTTCACCAATATTTATGGAAAGAAAAATAGACGCCGCCGACTTTTTATAATTGTTATTTTTTCAGGTGAAACAGCTAAAATTTTCTTTGTACCATATTTATTTTTTTGTAGAAAAAAATCAGTAACTGTGTATGTGTGTATACGAGTTTCCAATTTTCGAAGATTTCGTGAATCTATCATAATTTATTATTTTTTAAATCATTTTTTAAAAAATCTCATTTGTACGCATCTGAATTTTTCAGCTAATGTTATTTTTGTTGAATATTTCAACTTCATTTTTACTTGCTCATTAGTAGTTATCTATATTATACATATACATATATAGTGTATTAGTGTTTCTATAAGAGTTTGTGATATGCCAAAAAGATACAGATATTTGAAATTTAAGTCCGGTCCTTGACAAGTCAAACCATTTAGTCGTCTAGCGCAAGAGTTATTAACATGTTAACATAGAAGTTCTGCCAAAAAAATTTTAATTATTACACTTACGAAGAGAATAGCTTAACATATTTAAACAAGTTTAAAGCCCAAAAAAATTTTAATTGTCTTAATTTTGGGAAAATGAAAATTTGGCACGGGCAGTTAAAATCGCAATAGTAATTTATTGGGTTGTTCGGAAAGTCATTTCGTTTTTTTTTGGGGAACATGAAAGACAGTTTTCGTATAATGAATAAATATTTTATTAAATTATATATTGGCCATTCTGGTCCAACACCTTTTGCCATCTTTCTGGCAGTAACATAATTCCCCTCTCATAAAAGTTTTGGACCTTGCTGGCAAAAAACTGGTTCAGGTGGTTTTTGACATCTTCATTTGAGGTAAAGGTTTTGCCATCCAAAAAATTTTGCAGGGACCGGAACAAATAGTAGTCGGAAGGCGCCAGATCTGGAGAATATGGTGGATGTTGCAGTACGTCCCATTCAAGCTGTAAAAGTTTTTGGCGAGTGACCAAACTTGTGTGAGGTCTCGCATTATCCTGGTGGAACACTACACCCTTCCTGTTGATTAATTCGGACCTCTTCTCTTTAAGTGAATCATTCAATTTGTCCAGTTGATGACAATAGACTTCTGAATTAATCGTTGTATTGTCCGGCAAAAGCTAAAAAAAGATTCCTTTGACATCCCACCAAACGGAGAGCATCACCTTTTTTTGGTGAATGTTGGCTTTTGACACGCTTTGAGCCGGTTCATCTTTTCTGCTCCATGACCTCTTGCGTTTAACATTGTTGTATACAACCCATTTTTCGTCCCCAGTAATAATCCGCTTCAAAAATGGATCATTTTCTTGACGTTTGAGGAGCGAATCACACACGTCAACGCGACGACACAAATTTCGCTCCGTAAGGACATGGGGCACCCACACATCGAGCTTCGAGGTTAAGCCCGTGCCTTTCAAATGGCCATAAACAGTCGAATTCGACAAATTTAATCTCTCACCGATCTCTCGTGTGGTTATTCGCCGATTTGCATCAACTAATGCCTTTATCGCATCTTTGTCAGCTTCGACCGGCCTTCCAGACCGTGGTGCATCTTCGACATCAAAATTGCCGGATCGAAATTTTGCAAACCAGTTCTGGCACTGGCGTACTGTTAACACGCCTTCTCCATACACATCCGTCAATTTTTTTCTCGCTTGGACAGCATTTTTACCTTTTCTGAAGTAAAAAAGTAAAATATGACGAAAATGCTGCTTATTGCTCTCCATATTTAAAAGGGCACCAACCAAAAACTACTGCGTAGAATTAATAGAACTTTTTCACACACAAGCCTTGCAATATCAGCTCTCAAGACATATAATGGTTATGCGGCTTAAGTGTGAAGTTGGTTTCGAAAAAACGTAATTAAGTCCTCTGACGGGAAAAAACGAAATGACTTTCCGAACAACCTTATATATTCATTCAACACATATGAATTTGGTCCATTTGCAAGAGAATTTCCAGCTTGGTAAGAAGATAATTATGGTGGAGATTATCTGTTAGCTAGCAGGATTTTTTTTTTTTTGCTTAAGATTCAGTTTCCTCTAATTTTACAAAGTGCCAAATCAGCTACATGTGGGCTACAACCGTGTTTTCATAGTGCAATTTGTTTCTTTTCGAGTTATTTGAAAATAGGTATTTCTGGATAGGATAGGAAATTAGAATTTCTGTTTGAAAACTTGAATTTTCTATTAAAAAAAGTATCTTATTTAATTTAACATTAATTGTCATGGTTAACGAAAACAAATAGAAATAGTTATTATTGTTATCGTTAATTATAAGATCAGGAGGCTGCCGAATTGGTAATACGAAACACCCAAATAAACATATCATCCACGTTAATGTCGGCAATGTCATTACCAAATTTAAAAATTCCGGAAAATCCAAAAATTTCATTTAAAAGAATGAAGAACAAGGTAACGTCTCAAGAGTTTCTGCTTATAATAAATAAATTTCATGTTCTGTGCTTGATTTAGAGCAGAAGTTGAAGACTTTTCAAGGACAATTTTATTCATTGAAGAGGCAACATTTACTTCTAATGGTGTTGTATGTTTCCAGAATTGTTGTCATCAGAATGCTGTGACCAAACGGATTTAAAAACGAATGTTTGGTGCGGTATTTTAAATAATTAAATAATAATCCATATTTTTTCCCCAAATTATTACTATTTAGATTTACTTAAATTTTCCAAGAATCGAAGTTTTTGATTTTATTAGCGACCTATCACTAAACGCGCGATAGGCTCTGCGCTGTCAGCATGATGAAGCTTCTTGTCACAATGCAATCAGATGCAACGAATATTTGGATAGAACTTTTCTGCAAAGATGGATAGGGCTCTGTTCAGAAGTACGCTGGCCACCTAGGTCACCAGACCTTACACCCCTAGATTTGTACTCGTGGGGTCATTTGAAGGAATTAGTCTACAAGAAGAGACCATGCCGTGATCGCCTGGATGAAATTATAATATATTGTTATAAGGAAATTATCTGGCACATAATCCTCATATGATCAGAAATGCTGTGTCAGAATTCTTTAGAGTTTTGTGTGCAAAAAGACGGGGGAGGCCGTGTGAAGACTAAAGTGTTTGTTCCATTCAGATTCACTTGTTATTGTCATTTGCCACATCATAAAAAATTAAAGCACTTAAATTGTAATACTATTTTGTATAAATACAAGAAAGGTCGATAAAACATTGACTGATTTCTGTTTTATTTCAGACAGCATCCACAGGAGAAAAAAGAAAAAACACACGCCAAGATTCAATTCCGTTTCGAAAATAGATAGAGCATCGAGGATAGTATTTCCCCTATTATTTGTAACAATAAATATATTTTACTGGTATTCGTACCTTTCCAGAACCAACAGGATACATAATCTAAGTGTAAAATAAAAAAAAAAGTCCATTTGTTGTCTGGATGTCTAACACCGAGTGTTATAAAATTTCGTCGTACCTATTTAATTGTTTGGAACGTATAGAACAGTCACGGGCATACCGTCGTATTTGTTGAGGTTGTATTTATGCGAAAAGAGCTGCGGTACAGGGTGTTAAATGTTGCCCCAAAGCTGTATATTTTTATATGTGAAAATAAAAAATAAAGCGGAATTTTGTTCCTTGTATTGTTTTGTTATATCTACGCTGGTTATTGGTTGATTGATTTCTTTCTTCAAATAAAATAAAATCAGAGTAGAACGAAATACTCGCACCATACAGTGAAAATATATAATGTTGATACCTAAGTGTTCTGATTGCATTTGCGCTTTTGCTCTCTGTCTGAAGCTTTTTTTTATATCCGAACTTCATTTACCAAATCGACTTAATTTACAAAAATTTAAAAAAATAATAAATAAAATAAGCTTGTAAAATCTGCTCTGATTATTTTTTCAAAATTTTCTCTCATATAAACTTCTGTTTTTTATAAACACAAAAATAATGCACTTGTCCAAACTACACCTAGGTAGACAACATTGCAGCACTCAAAAAACAATATGGCCGCTGACAGATCGTCAATATTTTCTCAAAATATGACTAGTTCTCGTTAAATGTTCTAAGAAAACGAGTTAAATATGTGGAAATCGCTGTTTAGAAAGAAAATCGTGCGAAAATGTCAATTCCGCCTGCGGCGCATCAATTTCTATCCTTGTAGGGCCACCAGGTAATCAATATAGTTACTAGATAATATAGTGGCCATACAACGGTAAAAACTGCCGCAGCCAACATTAATATTAATTTTACGTGGATGCTTCTGCATTTCACCCACTGAACTGCATTTTGCGCGTTTTTCGTCCTAAACGGTGATTTCCACGCACTTAATTCGTTTTTTCGGAACATCTAACGAGAACTAGTCATATTATGGAAAAATATATGTCTTAAAATGCCGCAATCAAACATATTGACGATATGTCAGCGGCCATATTGTTTGTTGAGTGCCGCAATGTTGTCTATCTAGGTTGGACAACTGCATTATTTTTGTGTTTATAAAAAACATACGGTAATATGAGAAAATTTAGAAATATAACACAAATACTGTTTATGGACGAATGAAAATGAATTTATTGTAGAGTTCATCAAACTATATAAAACATTCCTATCTCTTTGGAAAGTGAAATCCAAAGAGTACTGCGATAGAACTGGAAAATCCCAAGCGTATGAAACTCTTATTGAAGAAATGCAGACCGTGATCTAGTGATGACTAGTGGTGCAAAAATTTGTGCAATTTAAACTGAGCATTAAAACGAAGACACCAACTCAGTTTCATTTGGGCAAATTTGTATGCAGAAATCAACTTGCGCAAATTACATGAACATCAAAACCCACCTTATCTCTATTAGCTATATGATATTATCTAATAGCTATATGGATTTACAATCACCTGTTTTTTTCATCAAAGAAAATAAATATTTAAAATTTTACAACAAAAGAAGCTCGCGAATAAGTGACAAAATATTTTTCAGATAATAATAATAAAAATAATAATAATAAAATTTTAATTTTAAATAACTTTAACAGTAGATAAACGAGGAATAAACAAAACAGAAAACAAACACGAAATGGCGATTTTCCTTGTAAAGCTTAATGTTGTTTGTATCGAACAAAAAATACCATAGAAACCATCGCAACGGAGGATACAAACGAACACAAACATTTTGTGTTCTCAACTACGCCTGAAAAAGTACTGTCAAAGAATCTATTGAACTACTGTTGATATTGATATGGTGCTCAAAAACATGATAATATGAGCATCACCTTAAAAACAAAAATGTTAAAATATGCTTTTAGCAAGATTGTTAAAATAAGCAGGAAGATTTCTAAACCTTGCGGATAACATGGAAGAACAATTCGAAATAGGTCCAAAGTACGTTTTTCGATTTTTTTAAAAATGGCTTCTTAATCAAATATATTGTAGGTGTTTTGAAGATGTTGACGAAAATTACGAAGAACTAATAAACGAACTCAGAAGCGAATTGATAGAGATTAAGGTAACATTACTAAAAAAATTAATTTTGAATATAGTAATTAGCATTAATAGATATAAATATGATAATATAAGTAATTACTGTTCTGTTCATTAAAAACCCGTACACCTAATTTGACATGGTGTAAGTAGTTCCTTTTTATTTTTGGCTTTTCATTTTTAAAGCGTATGGTGTCTATTGTTGACAGACTTCTAAAAGTCAAACGTTTTAAAATACCAAAGAAACAAGACTGATTTCGAAAAATCGTCGCAGTGCGAATTGTCTGTGCCGTACTATCCGGCACGCAGTTTACAAAGTCACTACGAAGCTCTTTATTTTAAATGCTTTTTGTCCTTTTTGTTTTTCTATCGTGCTCCTGCGGACTTTCGCAAAATCGATGTAATTTTATTGTGCACACACCTTGTATAAAGTGTCTTCCAAGTCTCGCCGAACTTCAAAGTTTGGTAAATTATTAGAAAAAATAGCGATTTCCAATGATATTTTTTCAAATATTTCGCGAACCCTGTATAGTAGATGAAACCTGAAACGCTCTCTCTCTCTCGACACAGTTAAGATAGTGTGCAAAAGAAATTATGCTATCTCTAACGGTTTTGCATTTATCGCCAATAATCTACTCACAAAAACGGAAATTTTTAGCATATTCTAGCCTTTGCTAAAATTGAAGCTGCAGCTGCAAATTTACATTTTACATTACATTACATTTTTGAATATGGTACAGAATATCCCAAACATCCTGTACAATATGTGAAAACGTAAAATACAGAAGTTTTAGCAGTCCATACGGACTCTATGGTCTCAATTTTTTGCAATTTGTCGGAGTCCCTTGTACAATTTTAAAAAATCATCAATTATTGGTTCAAGAATTTTTTCGATGGTCTATACCGTTTTTAAGAAATGATTTTTTCTCGAGACTCTGCAAATGCGGTTTTTAATTTATTAAAAATATTTCCAGGCCACCCCAGCCCCCCCAATTTCAATAGGTTCGATCAGCTCTATATTTGTACCAATTTTGAAATCGATAACTGCAAATCTCGAATACTTATCGTGTCTATTAGCGATGTACGAAAAACAGACGAAAATCGCAAAAAAAACAGATGCCATTTCCAATCGCGCCATTTTCTATGTACTTATGCGCCTCGTGGGAAGTTTAAAAGGAGAAAAATTTCAGCATCCTAGCTTGCGGTTGCGAAGTTATTCGCGTTTATATGAAGCGTCTACAGAGAACGCAAAACAGACAAAAAAATAAAAACTTTTTTTCGACGTTGATTCCATCTGTACCAATGGCGACGCTGTACGACCCACCGTTTCCGAGATATGAGCTTCGTTGCCAACCGCGTATACTTTCGAAAAATTCGATTTCATCGATTTTTAGAAAGTAATAACCACCAAAGCCTGTTTCAAACTGCTTAAATAATACAAAAACTAATCATGAGACTTCATACGGCTTTTTTATGAACAGAATTCTACATAATTTAGCAATCACATATTGCCAAGATAATTACTTCAAATTTTAGTAATTAACTTACGTTTTAGCCGCTCTATCTCTATATATATATATGGCTGAATTATGTAGACACAAAATAATTTAAACGTTCTAAATCTTGCAGAAAGATCATGAAAAACTGAAAACAAATTTAATAACTGTCACGTCCGAAAATAATTACCTGACTCAAGAACTTCACAACGTTTTAATCTCAAAACCTGGAAGAATCGAAGAAAATGCCGAACTTATAAACAATTTGAAAGAGCAGATAAGTCTTTCCATAGCAGAAAAGGAACATTTTTCCAAACTATGGCAAAACAGTGTACAAATGATCGACCATTTGGAGGGAGAGTTGAAAGTATTTCAAGCGGGCACAGAAGACTTCCTACCAAAGCAGCAAGTAAAAAAGGTTTGTATTTGCTATAGGGAACCTTTAAAATCACTTCCGCTTTAGCTGGAATTAACCGGTTGTTTGTTCCAATTAATTATCGCCAAATCGTTATGACATTTTTAGCTTCAAAAATATTGAATAAGATTGTTACACTCCTCACTTTTTTTATTTTTTTAGGATTTCGTGCAAAATTGAAATTAAATATTTTTCATTGTCATATTTCATTTTATTGTCAGTAATTGTTCGGAATTTTTAGGAATAATTTTCTTTCTCTTCTTAATTTATTGAAATGCAAATAATAATTATACTGAATGGTTATATATACCGTGAAAGATAACTTAAATACGTTTGCGGTTACGGAAAAGTAGAGAAAATATAATAAGTGCAAGAATTACCATATTTATAATAAAATTGTTCAAGACACGTTGGTAAAAGGGGGATTCCTTAACTACGAGGTAACCCCATATAGATACATCGCCTAATTAAAACCACATTTTAGCTAAAAGTAGCATATGAGGACAAAATTCGTGTATTGGAGCAGAATTTGTCGTCGACTCAAAAGAAACTAGAAGAATCGGTTCAACAGGTGACGTCAGAACTTGGGGCCAAACACTCCGTAATCGACCAATCATTGGAAAACCAAGCGGGCGCATTCAAAATAGTCAAAAATTTGGAATCGGAGATTTTAAAGTTACAAAACCGACTAAAGGAGTCCACTCAAGAAAACGTTCAACTGGAAAAGATTATTTTAAACAAAGAAAATGTAATTCAGGGTGTGTAAGCCTCGAAATTTTTTCAAAACGAATTCAAAATTAAAATCATTACGAAACGATTTTCTGCGCAGGCTTAAAACGGAAAAGTTCGGAATGCTGGGCGAAAGTGACTGAAGCGGTTAACATAGTTGAAGCTGCTTTAAATGAAAAAGACGCTGCCCTATTTCGGGAAAGAGAAATCGCAGGTATTTTTTTTGTTTTAATGCTAATATTTCAAAACTAAAGAGCAAAAGTTGTCATGCTTATGCTTAATATGATTAACCCGGAGCTGGCTGGCGAGCAGTTATTGAAAGTTGAAACCTACCTATTTTTATTTCAGAAGAAAATCAAAAAATGGTAGAACAAATAACGGAAATTACGAAAAAATACGAAGAGCGAATAAAAAATGAAACTGGAATAATCAAAGATGAGTGCAATCGCAAATTAAAGGAGCTTACGGAAGAATTGGCGCAAACACAAAACGAAGTAAAAAGAAAATCGTTGGAGATTGAGAATCAAGCAAAAAATGTAATCCTGTTGGAACATGAAGTTCAAAGATTGCAGGCGGGGAACCTTTCTTTCAACGAGAGTAACACTTCAAAACTGTTGGTGCTCGAAAAAAATTTAGAAGCTACTTTTCAAAAGTTGGTAAGTCAATTTTCCCAATGATTGTATCTACCTAAACAGATTCATGTAAAAAAAGAAATTTGCGTTTTTGTGTTAGCTGTAGTTTGGTTAGTTTAGTATAATCTGAGCAATTCAAACATACCAAATGAAAATTTCTTGGGTCGTATTTTAAAGCGATTGCATATATTAGAATATATTTTGCAGCTAGTTTCGGAAAAACAAAATATTCAGCTAATTTCCGAACGAGATTGTATCAAAGGCGACCTGGAGCAGATGGCGGGCCTTTATGAAAGAACTTTAAGGGCCAAGGAAATAGAAATTGCAACATTGAAAAATAAGATTACACAGCTTCAAACTGAACTGGATACAAACAGTTCCCAATTGGTGAATGTAACGGAGAAAATGTCACAGCTTAACAACAAAATTGAAGCGACAGAAAAAGAGCTCAGAAAACAGAAAGAAAATTTTGAAGAGTGAGTAAATGTCAAGAACTAAGAATAGATCGCATTGCATATATACACATCAAACTTGCACTTAATTAAATATCAGCAACTAAGTTAATAGCAAAACACTTGTATATATACAACATATCATTTTAAAAAGAAAAATCTACCGCGTCTAGTTAGAGCTTCCCTCAATTTTAGCACCTTTGCATAAAATTATCTTTTATAGGTCCGTCAAGCAGCAATATAATGCCAAAATCATAGAGATCAATAAGGAGTATAAAGACAATATAGAGGAACTTCAATCTCAAATTTCGATTAAGGATCAAATCAACAAAAAATGGAGGACTGAAACCAAAGGAATTATTGACAATCTAGAAAAGATAATTACAAACTTAAAAACAGAAACTCATCAAGTGAAAAGGGATAATGGGAAGCTAAAAGAAAAGCTGAAAAAGAGTGAAGAAAAAATTAACCAGTACAAAGTGTTTTTAGAACTGATATCTAATGATGTTAATAAAATTAGTGTTTTGACCGTGGACCAAGAAAGTAGGAACTGATATAGGCTATTTTATTTTTATTAAAACTGAAGCAATTAAAACTTGTTAAATAAAATATATTTTTAAGTTTAATTTGTAAATAAAAGTTTGGAATACAATACAATTGCAATACTGCTTTAACAAACAAACAAAAACTAAATTTTGGAATTAGAAGCCTCATTAAACAAGCTAGGAAAGTAGTATAGTTTTCCCAAGGGATCTTGTGAGTCAACCCAAGCCAAACCCTCATTAACCTAAAAAACAGTTTTTGTTGATTTTCTTTTTCATTAAAATATACAGTACTGAAGCAGTGAATAGTCATAATCATCATTAATTAAAATTATATACCATATGATCCAATCCCTTCTGAGCTCTATCAATTTCCCAGTTCAGTTCTTCTCTGAGTAAAGATACTGAGATATAAATCCTATTAGTAGCTATAGTTTGTGTTAATATTACTGAGTGATCCATGCTTAATTCGCATGGTACAGATTGCACCATATACTAAAATTATAGAACGCTCTGGTCATAAAACACTCTATATAATGAAAACAAGTTCACCTGTCCTTTCCCAAGTGGAACAACATTAAATCCACTTCCAAATATTTTTAACTTTTGAGCTGCTCGTATCAAATCATCTTTTGATATCTCTTGATGTTCTTTCCTTTTTCCTCTAGCTTTTATAAGTCTAGTCCTTAACTCATCCAAGCTAATTAAACCGCCGTTTTTATCGTTGGTTGCTACAAATTGATAAATGAATAAACAACATTCACTAAATCTATTCGTTACCTAAACACACTTCCACAATTTGAACAGCTAATTCATAATAAAAGTCACCAATTCCTAAAACGGACCAAAAACCCTTTCCTGATGATAAAGGATCAACACCAATGCTCGCACACATTTCCTGAGTTTTTGAAGATAGTTTATATCTAAATTGAATTTTACACACGCCCTACCTGAAATTGCTTTCTAAAATCGGGATTCTTCCGGATCTCATTTTTGTGTTTCATAGCAAATTCTTCTAAATTTGTTTTGAAAAAGTCCATTTGTTTGGACATCTGTTCAAATTGATTTTCCTGAATTTCATTACCCTTGTCTTTATACTTTTCCTGTTCTAACCTTTGTTTTTGAATAGCTCCCAAACCCGCTCTGCGTCTCATATTATTCATGAAAAAATATTTTTAACAATTCAACCTCAAAAAAAAATGGTAAGCTCCTAAAAAACAACTTTGTTAAAAAGTCAAACTACAAAAGGTATGTTAAGAAAACCACAGAAAAATAAATTATCAAGTCAAAGTGATAATCCATAGTGACAGTAGACAAATGCGTCGTTCACTGATTGAGTCTCATCGCCAAGATGTATGTGTGACGTACTACATCCCTCAAATAAAAAATTTGGTGTTATCCATGTTGTTTTCTAATAAAAAATTACCACGTAAGCCACACCTATTGCTTTAGAAGCCACAACACTAATAGTCATAAAAATTATATATAAAACATATTTGGACTGGGATACTAAATATTAAATTGTTAAATATAAAGACCCAAACGACAAAATAGCTGACTGAAATTCAAAACAATTCGGTGCCATTTTTTTGTTGTTTACTGAATCTTACTTGTTTGTTGGGACGTCACGGGTTACACCGCCGGAACAATGCATATGAGCTTATTTAAACACACGTAACCACGCCGGAATGGCCTAATGTCGTAGCGTGGAACGGCAACTTAAAATATGCTCTAGTGCCCCACGTTTGTTCATAATTGCTGAGCGAAGGAAGACGAAAAACGTAAATTGTAATAATTAACCCATTTAACCTGTAAAATTGTTTATACATATTATCCTAACTTAACTTAAACAATTAGGAACCAAAAATGGATATGACAAACATGTGTAGAACTTGTTTACGCAGACTAAAAGACTCTGGATATTTTTTGTTTGGTGAAGACAAACTAGTTTATATGGTAGAAACTATCGCCTCGATACAGGTGAGAGCAGTGTTGCTTAGGTTTGGACTTATTACATTAAATTCAAAAACAAAATTTTAGTTAAGCGATGATAAAGAGATGCCTTCTAAAATTTGTGAGGAATGTTTAAAAAATATATTAAATTTTTTCAATTTTCGGAAAGTTATCATTCACAATGATGTTGACCTAAAGGAGAGATTGGAAACTCTAAAGAGAACAAATTATACATCAAAGCCAAGAAGCAAAGTAGAACTTGACGAATTTATATCTGGCCAAGCAGAGTGTGACAATATAAAAAATGAAATAAGTGATACTGAAAGTATAACAAAAACGGAGGATATCCAAGAGACTGATGAAACACTAAGGAGAGCATTGGCAATCAAAAAGATTCATAGGTGTAAAGATTGTAAACAAATGTTTAACTCAAAATTAAAATTGAATAATCACAGAAGGACTGAACATACTGCTCCTGGTGTTTGTAATATATGTGGGACAATGGTGAGAGCCGATAATTTGAAAAAACATATTAAACTTCATTCTGAAGTCCCTATGGCATGTGATGAGTGTGGTAAAACTTTCAAAAATTCAGAATCTTTGCGAAGTCACAAACTTATACATAAAGGACTGGCTTTTACATGTGAAATTTGTGGAAAAACATTCAAACTAAAAGCTGAACATGGTCGACATCTCAAGTCACATATAGGTAGGGTAGTTTACATTTTATCATTTGATATGTTTTAGAAAAAAGTGTGCAACTGTTAGTTTCACACATTCATGTTTTTTTAGATCCTGAAGCTAGAAAAGTTGCATGCTCCCTTTGTGGCAAAAAAGTACATGAGCTTAAAAGGCATATGCTGTCTCACACTGGCGAGCGACCTTATATTTGTAAATATTGCAATAAAGGGTTTTCTAGCCCTTATGCACTTAAAGTACATACTAGGCAACATACAAATGAAAAACCATATATTTGTGAATATTGTTCTTTGGGATTTCCCCAAAAAGTATCACTGGCAACTCATTTAAAATCAAAGCATGGAGTTTGCTTGAATGTTTAAGTGATGATAATGTACATATATTTTAATGTCTTTAGTTTAAATATTTTTGAAAGTGATATATTGAAACTATTGGAATCCTTGGCTACATTATCTTCTTGCATATGCAAAATTGATAAATAATTTTTGCAAGAATGTTTGTTGAATCTAAGCTGATTGTGCTGATTACAAGATAAACCTTTTTTCTGTTTATCCAATAAGGGTTGATAATCTTTTACTTACTTTGCAATGCTGTGCCACTTGTTCCAGTTTCGAGCAAAATATGTTGGTTGTGTTTAACGATGTAATAGAAAACTATATTAAAAATATTTTTTTTTTAGAATTAAATTTGACTGACTTGGTTTGGAGAAAAGACTAACTTTTTAGAGATCCAAAGTTCTTTACAAACTAAAATAGGTATTAAATATCAGCTTAGGTTTACACTGGCCACATAAAAGTGATGTTATGTATCTCATTTATTTGTTTTGAATGTATACCTTACCTTGATCAAAAAGGGAAAATGGTGTTTCCTTATTTTCTAAAGTTTACAGGCACATTTTAAAAAAAATTGTTTTCCATTTTTTTAATGTATGCTACTTCAAGTGTTTCAAGTTGAATTATTGTAAACACAAATTATTATGTTATTATTTATATATTTCATATCAAACCTGTTTTCAAATGGTGAAAGCCATCAAAAATAAAGCCAAGGAACATTAAGTATTTTTATTATTTACAACCAAACTTACAATAAATATAATTGATGAAACAGTTTTCTTACAAGGATAGCACTACAATATTGAAATTTCTACTTAAAAATTTACTGTACATTTTAGGATTAACATAATAAATTTTTAATTTATTAATCAGAACATAAAACTGCACAATACAGTTGTAGCATATAATTAAGCAAATAATACTTCTTACATTCAATACTTAAATTGGTTTGTAAAGCAAAGTAGTCACATATTTTTTTCTGTACCTGTGTGTTGCACTTAGAACCATCACACCATCTTTTATTGACAAAGCATACAGATGATTTAACATAACATGATTTGGTTCAGGAAGCAGTGTGGGTTCGCACTAAAAAAAAATATTTCCACAAAATATTAGAAGAAAAAGGAAATAAAATTTGATGAAATTTACGTTAGCCACTTACAGACAATGGTGTGTCCTTATTCAAAATTACTTGCAAGAGATGTGGTGGCAATATTGGCGGGCCACTATTTTTTTCCCAAGGTTTATAGACAGGTATATCTTGTGAAAATTCCTTTTGTGCGTCATCTTTTGCATTTTCACTATCTTTGGCCAATGCCTGAAATACCTCAAAATCAGACTGCTTTACTGTGATCAAATTTTTTTTTTCTCCGGATTCATTTTCCACAACTTTACTGTGAGGGTCATTCTTCCACTCTCCATCAACATAATAACGGTATTGATGCTCCCCTTCTGGTAAGTCAATTATAGTAACAAAATCACCATGACTTTTTACCATCGGTATAGTTTCCCAGTTACTAAATGTCCCGCTAATCATTACATCTCTTCCACCTCCTTCCCATCGAAAAACAGTTGGTGTTTTACTGGACGTCGTAGTTGTACTAGTTGGAGTTGTTCCTTCTGATACTAGAAAACAAAACTAACCATTTTTATCTTATACTGGTGAAATATCAAGTCAAAAATTGTGGTTGTATAACTCAACTAGTAAATCCTGTCTCAAATCTATTCCAGAGTAGAGTTTTTCTCACCTGTATTGGCTCTTGGTCTGTTATAATTTTCTGCCGGTTTGGTAAAATAGGGCTCCTCATCCTCTTGAGACACCTGATAAGACAATTTCTCAGGAACCCTATCAAAAGTGAATGCTTGTCCTTCCTTAACAGGAGATGATGGACCAATATCTCCTGATTTCTGCCGTTCTCTTGTTGGTGCACTGCTACCTGCATTACCCATTACTTTGCTATTAGCGACAAATGCGTATTTTTCTATTATAAAATTAGATAAATAGGTTATGATTTTAACTGTTCAGTGTGATTAATGTAAGGATCAGTATACAGTTTCCTCAAATGTCAGTCCATAGTGCGTAAGTTCATTTACATAAAATTTCGAACGTGCTTGACATATGAATTCTCTCCATAATATTTACATTAAAATTTTGACGTTTGCGTATTCTCAATTGGAATTTTGGAGAGCAGCTTGGCACATGCAAGCAGGAAGGAAAGTTTGCTAACAATGACTTTTGCGTTAAACATTTATTTTAAGGACCTCGGTGGCCAAGCGGTTAAGAAGCGCGTCTTGACACAGGGAATCTCACCGATAAACAGATACATAGTTGATGTAAAGGTGGATATGATATTCCCATATTTGATGGGCATGAATGTTTGTGTAAATTGTAAATTAACTATGGTAAACAGCAAATACGATAAGAGTGTCAAACTTTAATTCCAATATCTACACTCAGTTTCTCATAAACTGACCAATTCCTGTTTCAGTGGTGGCATTATTGAAACGACGTGTCAAAGGTTTGTTGGATGATCAATAGAAAAATTTGCTTGAGGGAGTATGGTATAAGAATTAATTAATTGAATTACGAAAAGCTATTTATATTTTTAACAATTAAAGCAAAAAGATTCACTCGAAATTCAAGTAAGTTGTTAAATATTTATTGTATTGTATCGGATTTCTTATATTATTCATTTTATTTATAGATAACTGTTAATACAAAAATGAGAAATTCGGCTTCACCAGAATATAAAAGAAATAGTCGTAGCCGCTCATTTGAGAGTACTGCTAAAAAGAGCAGAAGCCGAAGCGTTAGTTCATCACTGTCTCGATCAAGATCGAGGTCTGGTAGCCGAAGTAGCGACACTATTGACGGTTATCGACTCCACATTGCAGATATTGGTGATGAAGTTAGGAAAGGCGATTTAGAAAAAGTTTTTGCCCCTTATGGTGAACTGAAGGAAGTCTGGATGACAAATAGTACTCCATGTTTTGGTTTTGCCGTTTTTAAGAGCAAAAAAGATGCGGCTACTGCTTTAAAAGCATGTGATGGGGCGTAAGGGATAATATGTACTTAGTAATGTTTTAGGAAATTAAACATATTTTTTTATTTCTAGTGAGGTAGCAGGATGTCGTATTCGTGTAAGCTATGCAAGACCTAGAACAAGGGGTTCAGGCAAAAGATATTACAGTAATAATATGAGATGCTACCAATGTGGATATAGTGGTCATTTTTACAGAGATTGCCCTGAAATAACAGGAGGAAGTAGTAGGCGTGAAAGGGATCGGTAAGGAAGTGTGTTAATATTACATAGAAAATGATGATATAACTAAAAGCAGTGAAACAGTTTGCCAGTTTTATAAAAAAGTTTTTTAATACTATAAAATGCCATCTTACCATTTTTCAAGCTTCCATTACCAAGAAAGCTTTTGTATTCCTTGTTTTGATGTTCCATGTTTGACCCACACAGTTTCACTTAACAATTTTTCTAATAACCTTCAAAATAGCAATGTGACTAACTTAAAAACATCAAAAATGTATTGACTTGTTTGTGCCAATGTGATAATATAATGTTGATTTAATTATTAACCTCTACACATTTGTGTAAACAATTACAATGTGCAAAGGTCACTCACAATGTCAAATATCAATTGTGGCGACCCTCTTTCTGGGAAATGTTATTAACCAATGATGCAGAAAATATTATACTGCCTTTATCAAATTAGTTTATTTCATTGGTTTAAATCCTTCAGAGGAAGACAGGAATTTAGTGATGTCAATGACCTGTTTCATTGAAACTAACAAATTCAATTTTATATTACTGGCAATTGTACACTTGTGAGTTAATGTTTATTACCTGTGTCAACTTGTTTACACTTTGAAATGGGGCCTCTTTTGAAACCCGGCTAATCTGTAGACTATTTGGCAGATTTTAAAAAATCCCCTGAAAGGCAAGTTGACTTAGCATTTATGTAAAATGATTGTAATTTTTTTTATTTATGAGTATTTCATTCATTTATGACTGGAATAATTTACTATATTTTGGAAGTTATGAGAGTTGCATTTCAAAATATATAATAGAGATATGAAATGGGAAGACAAAAAAAACTGGATCAAAACATAACAAGGGTGTTTGTTGTCTCTTTACCATCTTTGATCTTTGTATTTTGTCATATAAATCTTCTGGAAACCTGTTAGGGTTTTTTTGTTTTGGTACAATATGGTTTGAATGGTTTTATATCAATTTTAATTTGAAACAAAACGCTACATATGAACATGTTGTAAACAATTTTTTTATGTGGGTAATAAACTAAATATCTTCTAAACTTTATTTAACAACAACTGACCAAAACCAATTAAAAACGAGCATAAGGCCCAAAGTCGAAGACGAGGATTCCATTGCGATTACATCACGGTAGAACTAGATTTTTTTTGGTCACAGTTTTAAAAATAATATGCGCTTTCCAATGAGGACCTAACTAATGTTTATCATATATTTTTAAACAGCACTACTTTCCATCAAATACTTTTTTCGCAGCGTCTTAGATAAATCGAGATTTTACAATCAGCTTGACATAATTTGTGAAACTTATCTTCTATGAGGATTAATAAAATGCAATATTGCTTTTCCCACTGTCAAATAGACTATAGATGCTAACCACATTATCGTGTATTAACATTTTACACAATATATGGGAAATAAGAATTTTCTTGTAATAACGGCTAATTTAATAATAATTTACTAATTTGTGATCGGGTTGTATATGTTGAATTAATTATTAAGCCAGTTGCCTTTTTTTTTTAATGTAAACTGACACATTTTGTAGAGGAACCATTTTTTTGTGTATTATTGAATCAGTCATTTTGTAAAAACTCCGGTATTTGTAAGATGAATGATTCAATTAAGATAAAAATGTATCCAGAAATATAATTTGCTATACTTAATTTGTTTGCCAGTGTATTAAAAAGTTAGGGTGGTCAAATATTAGTTAAAAATTCTTGATAATTTTGCTGATGCTCATTATTACAAGGAATGTTTTGTAACTGGTTGCTTAAATGTGTTGTCTCATTTTTATGCAGATGTTAAATATTTATATGATTACAGAGTTTATTAAATAATGAATGTTACATACCATATTTTGATGTGGTTACTGTCAAGCAAATGAATCTTTTGATTCAAATTATACGTTAGATTTTATTACTAATAAATAAAATGATTTTATGGCACAAATAATCTTATCAACCTTGTTATTCTGTTTGTTGCATATGCTAACAATGTGTGACAAAGAGCAAAACATATTTTTTTACATTGCCAATGATGTTAAATCAAATAGATTGGTTTTATTTGTGGATACTATTAGAGATATATTTGACTCTTTAGGAGGGCAGTATAGTATTTGACCGCCCTTAGAACCGATTGCTTTTTATATCGAGATATAATGCGCCAAAAAAGTATATTCACCTAATTGTTGTTTTGTGATTTGTCAGGCACATGGTATTAGTTTGTATGGTTTGGTTTGTATATGGAATTGTATCACGATGGGTATTTCGCGTCAAATGTGCCCCCGAAACGGTAAAACTGGTTGAGACCCTTGTATATGGTTGAGAAACATTTTTATGGTCACTCGGTCTCTTCACTATCACGTGTGGTGTGGAATGATGAGATGATGATGATGAACTGGCTCACATTTGACTAGCTTTTGGAGGGGTACTACGTGGTTGGCTATATCGGGTGCTCGTCTGATTTTTTAGTTACGGTGGATCTAGACGCAGCTACCGAGAAAGAGACCGCGACTACACCCAGAGATCATACAGGTCAAGAAGGCCTAGCGATGAGTATGGAAGACATAGAAGAAGCGGAGGCGAAAGAAGTCGCTACCGCTATTAATTTTTTCAGCAAACCAAATTTTTGTATAGCATAGGTTTGTGTTGTCAGTGTTTTCGCATTAGGTATTGTAAAATGTATATTTAAGACTCTCCAGAAAATACAGGAATCTTGTTGTAATTTCGTATATACCTAAGCACATTTAATATTCCAGCACGTATGTTTTTTTTCAAGGTGGTCATCTAAATAACTTTTAATTAATTATATTATTGTTATCTGTCCTTGGTTTTTTTTTTGCTTCCCTAATAAATACTGAAAGCTATATAGTCATAAGAGATGGTATTTTATTTGTTATAAAACCAGTTAAACCCAGTTCCTCATTTCTCTGTTGACATTTAATTTTTGTTTTTTTTTAATAAATGTGAGGTGGTTTTATGGCCAAAATAAACTCCAGCTCTGTGCTTTTGTACCGGTGTTAAAATTTATAACAATATTTTTTTGTGTCTTACATCACATCATCCTTAGAAATATCAGAATATTGTTGCGTTCCGCTCTGCCGAAGTCGATGCTGTCGGCACCAAAAACCAAAGCAAAGTAATTTAAACAATAATAAAATCATTTTACAAACTCTAAAAACAATCTGCAATGAACTCTAAAAATGAATGAATGAATTCGAATTTAAGTTGGAATCGGGCCCAAAAAAATAGAGGGTAAAGGTCTCTATGTCCTACAAATTAGAATATTTTGACTTAGCTGCATCACTATACGGGACAGGCGTATATTTGACCAAATTTCAAATAGGTATTCAATATCGGAATTCCATTGTGAAAGAGGCGCGAAAAATAAGGACAAAACATCGAAACATAACTACACTAAAATAAAAATTCTTTCTAATAAGAAAAATGTTGCAAATTTTGCTTTGATAATGGCGATTGTTGAAAAAGCATTTTGAATTTTACCAATTTATTACACACAAAATTTTAAACAAAATAAAATAATATATTTCACAATAAATACTTTGTAAGAATAATACTTTCTAATGGTGAAACAAAGGATGATCTATACGTTGAGCAATTGAATATACAGGGTGATTCACTGTGGGTAGAAGGTTAGACATTTATGACATACAAAACAGTACGTTCTGAAATTTGGTTATTTACAAGAACCTACGCTAAATAAATTTATTTCTTGCTTTTTCGGAAAATTAGCGGCACGGCCAAATATATTATATTTTATTTTCCGCTCCCACATCGCCTTTCTTACATCTGCCTTTTGCGGATTCGGAGATTACATTCTGCACTTGTTAGGACATAAAAACACACAGTATTAAAGCTATAATAACTGCTATAGATCTGCCCTCCAGCACGAAATACCCTATATATTGCGTTCGTTTTGTTTAGAAACATATTTTTGATGTTCCTGTACTGTTTTAACTACTTTTAATGATAAATATGTCAATTGCGGCACGCCTTATTTAAATGAGCCTTAACATTTATCCTGCCTTTCTTTCAATTTTGGAAACAGTCAAAAGTTATGCCAAGGCGCATATGGAAATAGGTTTGTTTCATTTGTACCCGTAACAACATAATGATAATTACTCGTAAGTATAATAAATCATCCAATAATTTGGCTCAGCTTGGCAAGAAAACATTTCCAATAGGTTAGGTTCACTACCGTCTCGTCGTTGGTGGGCCTTCCTCAAGCTTTCTCCAAACCACCTGAAAGTTGTTAGAAACGCGAGATAAATTTTAAGTATAGATTTACTTATCCCTAAAAAAGTTGAGAGACGACTAGTTTTTAATTCTTAAGGATATGATTACAACTTACGTACATTACACATTTCCCAAAGCAATGCTTTTTGCCCATCGTCCATATCTTGCTGTTGCGCTGGTTCGGTACCAATTTCCCCTCTCTCCGGTACAATCCCTTCCCTCTCCAATTGTTCTCTCACTTCGAGAACCTAAACGAAAGTTTTAGATTCAAAACAAAAAGAGAAGCGAACGAACCTGGAGAGCTCGCACTACAGCTTCGGGTCTGCCGCTCAAAGTCCCAGCGGCTGTGTCTGCTGGTACAGCTATGCTAGGATCCCCGGTTGTTGACGCGATTTGATTGAGTTTTTGAGTTAAGGCCTTTTTCTCGTCCTCTAACTGCTTCACGCGTTGTTCTAGGTTCCTCACGTATTGCATTATTTGGTCTATAAAGTTCCAGATTTGAAAAATTAAATCCGTTGCCTTGCTTGTTTCGAAAGGAACCGATTTTTTATTATTTACTCAAAAATTACTTATTTACGGTCATCTATGTTTTCCTATTTGTTCTTTAGTTTCAGTGGTTTTTTGAAAGTAACCCGTTTTGCAATTATTAATGGTGAAGTTGCTCCTATAAATAATATCCTTAATGAAAAATAAGTATGCCAAGTTTTGTCAAAATCAGTTAAGAAGTTTTTGAGTAATTAATTAAAAAACGATTTAAAAAAAACTTTGACAGCCTATATCTTAAAAGAAGTTAGGACACATGATTTTTATGAAAACCCAGGCTTATTTAAGGCTGATAAATATACCCGTCATATTTTGTATTTTGTATCGTATTATATAAGAAAAACTCAATTACCATTTTATATTCGTAAGTGCTATAGTGCTATAGAATATATGGAATTTATAAAAATACAATGAAAGAAATGTAGTATAATTAAAACATATAAAAACATATAAAAACAAATTTTCAAATAACGGTGCCGGTAATTAACACAAACTATTGCTTTCTTATAACCTACAATAAATATAATAAAAACCATCTATATAATTCATATGGACAACTAAATATAGAAACATAACGCTCCTACGCATTTTTTGTCAGTTTTGTCCAGGAGTAAAGACATTTTTATAGAATAACATTTCGAAAATTGAAATCAGAAAATTACATATTCAAAAATTTTTTCATTTAGCGTTTAAAAAATTAAGTAGTGCTTTTGTTGGACGTTGGTCGCCCTTATACTTCTTCTTATTTTTAACCTATCTCAATATTTGTTTAAATGCCCTGTATAATGCGCTCGTCCAATTAACTTCAGGAAGTTACCATTCTTCAAGCGGCGCGGAAATTCACACAACTCCATTGCTACCACTTACGTGCGTTTATATTGTGAACGTGATAGCGCATAATGGACGGTACTCGGTTTTTAAATTATTGATTAGATCTTGCATGCGGATCATGAACCGGAGATAACGGACCAGTATTTAAAAATATATGCAGATAATATTACGTTGATATATGCGGCGACAAATTTGTTTAGAATTAAATAACCAGCTGATGACTAAGTATGTTTTTAAAGGCGTTGTTTAGATTCTAAATACTTTGAAATTTTATGAAAACTGAAACTGAAAAAGTGAATTTTCGAATAAGCATTTTTTGGAAATTTGTATCTTTTTAGTTTCTTGATAACTAGGATCCTATTAAATTTAAGAAAAATACCCGTTTTTATTTTTTGTACCAAATGGTGTGTCATTTTAATCTTAGCCTATTAGAGATAGAAATTCGAAAAAAAAAACAACTTTATTTTTGCGTAAAATTTTAAAATAAAGTTATACGAGATGTCGTTTATTCTGATTTGTCTTGTGGGTGTTTTTTTATATATAATTATTGTTTCCGGCGGAGTTTTCTTTAAAATTTTAAATACTACTCGGAATGCGTAAAGTATAAAAGTGAATACGAGGGATTATTTAAGGAGAAAAATTCTGTGCCAATGGTTTCTATTTACAGTTTAAAATGCAAAACTTTACTGCTCTTGAATAACTAAACAAAAACTAATATTATAATAATTAACTTTCTATTACCCCATAATACCTTTTAATCATTTAGGAAAAATTTCCGTTACTTTTCAAAATTACACAGCAAGATTATTTGTGATATTTTTGATTAAAAAATATATATTTTTTGGTAGTTTCAATTTCGATATCTTCCTTTGCGGATTTTATTTTGATTCTTATTTTATATCCGCAACGCTTTTGGACGTTATCTATTGAGTAATAATATAACACAGTATTCTGCTTTTAAAAACTTAGTGGTTGGAACGCGGTCCTCTTTTGCATTGCATTATCCTAATTTCCTCTTCATTACTTGTATAATAACTCTAGAATTTTTAAAGAATAATTGTAAATAAACATTTGAGTTTCTGAGAGGGCATAATAAATGAGCAAAACCTGAAATTAGCCTTTGGCGACGTATACGGTTGGTTTTTGAACCCTTAGACTGAACTGATTTCCTTATTGATAACAGTGCGCCTGTTCATGGTTTTCTTTTACTCAACACCTGTACCCTGTATTCAGCCCATCTGTTAAGCAATGGAACGAAAGGACACAGGATATTTCGGTTAAATTTGATTCATCTGCATCAAAATGGTCTGTTTTATGAATGTCAGAAGAGATAATTTGGGGGCAACTATACGAGGAAATATCCAAGCGGTTTGCCCTTTGACAACACGGTTTCATTCATCATTACCATTAAACGTGCTTCTCTGTCGTGCCAAGTTCTCGTGGAGTATTCGTTCCCTGCTAGCGGATCTCCTCGGAGTATTTTGGAATTGCTGGGGCACCGCTGGTTCGTCGGCATTTGTACTAGAACTAGATCCGTCGCCGTCGTCCCTCAAGTTCGGGGTCGTGGCACTCCCGCATGATGGGCAAATAACATTGCCGCGTTCTTCGTCCAGATACAGACACAACTCTTTCAACTCCAAATTGTCCTTGATGAGTTCCTGTTGTTTGTTGTCTAGCTCGCGAAGTTTGCTTTGGTACGCGGACACTTCTTGGCGCATAACACTAGCAGTGTAACGTCCGAACCGTTGCCACTCGCGTGCCAGTTTTCGACCTTTCTGCCGATCATCGTCGAGGAAACAGCAGAGATCGCGTAACTCTTGATTATCATCCCCCAACAGTTGGTTTTGTTCGCGCAACACTCTAAGGTCTTGCAATAAATTTTGCACGTAACGCCCTTGATCCTGTGCCGGCAACAGTCGCGGATCTTCCGTTTTCCTCACGAATTTAAGCATTTCCGTTCTTAGCAATTCGTCGTCGTATCTGACGGCGCCTCTGTGCTGTTGCGGTTGAGGTCGTGGTTCCGCGAGGTTCACTTGAGGAACACCGGGCTCGTCCAACGGCCTCGATCTCTGATCTTGTTGGTGTACTTGAGCCTGAGTGATTCTGGCATGATCTTCTACACGGGGCGGAACAGATTGGGCCGGATACTGAAGGAATGGGAAGGATTTCTGCTGTGGAGGGTAGTACTTCGAAGGGTTCAAATTGCCCAGTGTATCGGATATTTTATGTAAATGCGGTTTAGCATCTTTGGCGCTTGGGTTTTTTAAGATGCCGTGATTGGCGGGAACGGGTGGCGGTTGATACCGCGGCGGTACACCGCTCGGTGGTTCGGTGGCTGTCGTTTTAGTCGCGATAAATGGTTTTTTACCAGACATGTTAAGTGTCACTTCTGCATTACCTGTCCAAAATCATGGCGGTGTCACGGTAACCCCTTAACACACACTACGACGTATTTATCACTTGCTCATACCGAACGTTTGAATCTGGGTCATTTAAGTGGCTCGACGAAGCGCTGCGCGTCAAACTCGCACGCCGAATAAGGTTTTTAATAACGTCCGTTCTACGTCTAAGCGGATGTGTCACTTATCACCAGAACACTAAACATAATTTTAGGTACGCGGAGGCAATTTCCGATAACGGCGCATATTTTCGTGGAAGAATTCCCTAGCAGTGAGACTCCTCGCACTCTGTTATAACAAACATGGCCGATGTAATTTCAGTTGCCTTTCAAACGTCAGCAGCAGGTAAAGCGTAGTGGTGGAAGGTATAAGACGTTGAGTACGCTGCGGTGTACGATTTTCTTCGGTACGATTGTCCGCACCAATGAACTAAAATATTGGACTTCAAGGTACGACTTTCACCATAGAACGCTATAGAGAGGATGCGAGACTTGTGTTGTTAAACAACGCGGTGGTAACATTGATGCGAAAATGGTGAAGTGCGGAAATTAGTGAGCAACAAATGATTTAAGGACAAAACAAAACATAAGTAAATGTAATTAAGTGAAATCTCATTAGCAGTTTGAAATATGTATGCACAACAGTTTATTCGGGCTTCCCTTCAGTGTAATTTCTAGAACCATTATCGGTGGTTACGCCACTGTCTCACGTATTTTACAATTCCTTTCAACAATCAGTGAAAGATAAGATGTAACTTTCATGCATACCAGAATATTACGTATGGTGTACTTAATAAAAGTTTAATTTTAAATGTTAAATGTAAGTCTCCCAAAGTAATAAAGCAAAAAGTAACAACACCGCATTTGCAAGGGGCCTGCAGAGTGACCTGACCAATTCCTAAGCCAATTTCATTGCTGCAAAGTATTTCCTTTTATCGAATCTAAGTACTATCACCCTATTGTTACCGACGCATGAACAGCGAAAATGATCCGTCAAAGGCGTCCTGGTATGATATTCGTAAAAAGGGAAAGAAATTTATTTTAACAAACTAAATTGTATTTGATGTTAAACATTATATAGGAAATACATTTTACCACAATTAAATTAAAAAAATCATTATCATCATCATGACCTCTTGATGTTATAATTAATGTGTCGACGGTCCGATCAATAAATGAGTAAGATCCCACATTTTCTCCAATTCTTTAATTTTGAACGTCCCATGGCTTGCTGTAAATCCTCGTACTTGCATGAACGTGGACAAAGATGGTCAGCGTCGAAAAAAAAAAGAATTATTTGTTTTTTTCTTTGTCGATGGGGCATTAAATCGCCATATTTATCGAACCGTTAGACCTACAGAATTTTAAATAGCCAATGAGACATATAAACCTGTAGAAAATGAATGAATTGAAATTTGACACACGTATGAAGCTTGGCTCCCTAACGAATTCTATTGAAAGTGGGGGGCTGTGGGATCGGGAAGTATTTAAAAAAAAAATAAAAATCGCGTTTGCATATGTCCAATAAAAAATCAATTCTCGAAAACTGTTTATGCCATCCAAAAAATTTTTGATCGAGAAGATCTAAAAAATCAAATTCTATAAACATTTATTCCTAATAATTTTAAAAAATGTACAGTTTGTCCCGGTATTCGCAAGAAAACTGAAAATTTTGTTTCCCCTATGTAATTGATCATAACTAGGAGGCTGCGTTTCAGTTGTCAGTTTCTTTTACAAGAACATATGGTTATAATATTTTTATAATATTAATATTTTGTACTTTATTAAAAAATGTAGCAGGTGTCGCAAATTTGCATCTATCTACTTCAAATTTCAAATAATTATAGTTTATACTACAGAATCTGGGCGCAATCAAATATTTGAAAATTTTTAAATTTTTTTTGGGTTACTTTGGCGTCCAGAAAAAAATTGTTTTCTCAAAAACTATTAACCCGATCGGCAAAATTCTTGAACCAGGAACTGTGGAAGCTCCGCGACCATAACTTTAATTTCAAGTATTTTTTAGATTATATACAAGGTTTTAGAATTATGGACAAAACTCTAAATACCCTGAAAATTGTTCTTTTCCAAAGTAAATTATTAGCCATACATCAAAATTCGCAAAAAATAGCCATATTTTTTTAAACAGTATCATAGGCCGCATCAAGAACTACATTTTTTGTATTTACGGTTTTCACACACACTGCTCGAGATATTTGCAGTCATTTCAGTCTCAATGACGTCAGTGACTATGTCGGCGCATTCAACACTTTCAGAAAAAAAATATTTTCTCCAAAATCATTTTATCTATGGGAAAAATTTTGGACCGGGAAACGTAGGAGATCCAGAGTTATATCTCTATTTCTGGCAGTTTTTCAATAATGTACAGGGTGTGTCGATTATGGGCAAAAAATTCTAGAAGGTTCTGAAAATTCCTGAATAAATTATTAGCCGTAAATGAAAAACTATAAAACATCGGATAATTCGATTTAAACAGTATCGTAAATTGTGTCGAGGTTTTGTCTATCATACAGGGTGGGCGTATTTGAAAAAATATCATTGGAAACTGCTTTTATTTGTACAAAGTTTTGTATTTACCGAAGTTTGCCGTGACTTTGAAGTTTGCGTCCCTCTAGAAGAAGCGCAGCGGCTTTGTAGCCTGCGTAGCGCGGAATAGTCGCCTCGAGATTGCGGAAACAATCTTGTTATATTGTGGTCTTACAGCGTTTTTGGTAGTGCTTTATACTACTCAAGTATTTTCGTCACCGGCAATTAATTTGAACCCTTTTCAGTAAAAGTGCTATATGGCTATGCTCTTCTCAGGCAAAATCTATATTTTGCTGTCCACAAAATTTTTCTAGTTCTTGAGTGGTTCCACTTGGCCTGCTGTCTTTCTCTGCCGCAATAATTTAAACACGATGGATTTTAAAATTAAAGTCATTCGGGAACATCGGTCGTCAGTTTCTTGTACTTCTTGCAATTCGAGTAATTGTATTTCATGAAAAGACATGTTTGTTAAAAGTGCACCCAAAGCTAGGGGAAATAAACCATAATATAAATTGACTAACCATACAAAACTGAGCACCGTGCAAGTGTATATGTATGTGTGTGTGTATATATGCAGGTTTCCCTAAATTCCTCACATCGAATATTTTTCGGGATATGGGCATCGAAGATCTAATATGGGACACCCTGTACAAATTTATTGGTTCTGTGACAGTGCGGTGGACAAACACCGCATACGTTTTAAGTGTCACGGCTAAGAGAAAGTCGTTCTCCTTTTTCGTAGTGTTGGTGCAGTTTCACTGTGGCCAAATTTAAAACTCCGTTGAATAGAAACTTTCTGGGCGTAGATTTTAATGACGCGGGCAACAAACATTAAAATGCAAAATAGATACCATTGTGTACCAGATTTTTTTGATGGAATGTTTCCTGGAAATATCTCGCTCTAGAATACGATAGTAAACTGGCGCAATTTACTTTGTAAAAATTATATTCTCTTCATATTGACGTATTGATATCGAAAGCGCAACAATGCTTCATATTTTTTTTTATATTTCTATAATATTTTTCTTTTCTCTGTTAGTGCGTAATGTTTTTGTGTTAGTTTTAACTAAAAATGATGCTAATTTCTTATCGAAAAGACATTTAGAATTTATGAAAGAAAAATGAAGAATAGAAATATTATATCTGAACTCCTTCTGACCTGAGTCAACGTCGCTGTCGTTAAGCCTAACATTAAGTATTTTTTATAATTCTGATTTGACTTAGCTATGTCAGCTATGTGGAGGACCTGCCTTATCAATTGTCTAATTAATAATGTAAAATGCGCAAATCACGTCCCTGATCAACACAACAATCAGCAATAATAAATATACATTCATCCGTTTTGCCCAAATGTAAGCTTTGTTCCAACACGCCACAGGAACCATTTTAGTGCGGTAATGTCTAGTCGATTTGATGGAAATTACCGGTTCTGGCATCATTCTCCGTCATTCATCTTCGCAAAACATGCAACTATAAATTTCAAATGCCTTAGATTTGACGTTTTATCTACTAATAAGTAATTTTAAAAAAGTATTCAGGTGTATTTATTTAATTAATGTAGAACCCTCAAGCATTATTAAATAAATTATTCCTAGAGGTATACTGTCACAAATATAAGCAAATAATATATTTGACATATGCCATTTTCGAAAATCGTCTCGTTAAACTCCATTTTAGGGCGTAACTATTGCTTGGTCGGGTTGTTAAAAAATTGACTAGATACTGCTTCATCTATTGCGATGTTTGTTGCTAGATCTATATTCCTAATTAGAACGGAAATATGTCCCTTATCAAATAAATATCATATTTATGGAGACGTCCTCGTAGACTGGCTCGATTCGTGTTGTGTGTGGCCGCATGTTCGGGATCGTGAATCCTCAATGAATTTGGCGCATGCGTTTTGTCCTAGGGTTAGTTAGTCCGCAAGGTGACCTTTGCGAGACGAACACACTCAGTGCGACCGGTGTCAAGCTCCCAATTGCTCTAGCGTTTAGACAATTATAATGGCAACTCCCCAATCAGACATCGAAAGGCGAAAACAAATAAGTGTGAGAGGTATAGCGGAAATTGACGATGTCAACGAAGTTAAAAAAACGTTTAACCGCCATGTCCATTACACGCTGGTGAAGGATAGAAATGTTGCCACCACAAGAGACTATTATTTCGCCCTTGCCCATACGGTTAGGGACCATTTGGTCTCGAGGTGGATTAGGACCCAGCAGTACTATTACGAGATGGATCCTAAGGTAAAGTGGTGTGATGGTTCTTTAGGATTTTGAATTTAAATTTTCGAAAAACGAGATGCGCCAGCTAAAAACCGTCAAATGAATGTTTTCGACGATATAGGCATCAAAATTAAGGAAGCCTCCAATAAAAACGCCAAAACAACCAGAGTTTCATTAAGTCGAGCTGGAGATTTCGCGCGGATCTCAAGAAAACTTTAATTTTCATCTAGGTGTTGAAAACAGCATCTCGAAAGCAGAAAGATTGAAGTTGCGGGGAGATTCTTCTCTTATTTTGATACTGAACAATAAAATGAACAAAAATATCAAAAATAGTAATTGCGGACATATCCTTTTTATCTTATTTGTTAAATTATGGATTCAAATAATTCTTATTATTTTTTAGATGTTTTCTTTCTCTTTTTTATTATTGCTGAAAACAGCTTAATGCGATTATAATGCATAAAAGGAGAGAATATAAACCGATTTTCCGAATAATTCTATTCTATTCATAGCATCAAAAAAGAATAAGATATTAAACAATCTAAAAAACACGTAAGGTGATTTTTTTATATTATACTTATATGTACCAAGGTTAAACCCGTCACTTGAATCTAGTTTCACCTAATATAGTGCAAATAAATTCCATTGCCCCTAAACAATGTAGGTTTCGTGATCTATTGCTGCACACCCACACACTTTTAAGAAAATGCGAATGTAAGAATGATTTGTTGTAAATTTTGTTCTATTCGAAACCCAGCTTGCGACTTATCATCATCAAGTTAAAAATATCTGAAGTTAATAGACACAATAGAAAAGAAAGATATTGCATTCTGAAAGTAAATGTTTAAACAATGTTATATAATAAACATATCTTGTTTGGTATTTGAAAATGATTTCAAATACCATTATCTCTCCTTTTGCCTTTGTTACACCTATAAGTACTTGGCACCTAATACAACGTTGTGTACTGGCGTTTTGATAACTAAAGATGTATTAGTTGCTGCAAACTCAGTATTAAGAGGTAACAATTTTAATATTTTAACCGATCTGAATATATAATTGCCTATCAATGGGAAATTTGAGCAAGTTTATGGCAAAATCCAACCTTTAATAATGTAATTTGAAATAGTTAGATATGTTTTGTGCAAGTTTATAGACAGACAAACATACATAATACTTCTGGAGGTAGAATTGAGTTGATCACGCTATAACTGCATTCTTGATCTAATTTGAGTGATTACAAATTCCATGTGGTATTCGATTTACAGTTGGTATTGCGCACGCGCTGTGCTTGGAAATTTAAAATAACTGCTTTTTCGGCCATCGCCGAGGCGTGCCAATTTCGGGAAAAAATCTCAAACTGCGCCAAAAATAAAAGATGATTCGGAGGCTATTTATTTCAACTCTTTTGATGTGGTACCTACTCTCGAGGTTCTTTAGCAAATAATATGCGAATTGTTAGAAATAAAAATAATTAATCTAAATATAGGATAGGCGACCGCCGACATTCAATTCAACGTCAATTTATTTGTTGGCCAGAAAGATTACCAAAATTAATTTCGTATGTCGCTCATTCAATTCGGTCAATTGCCATTCTAACTCCTAAAAATAACTGATCCATCGGTTTTTATCAAAATTTTATCGCTCGTAAAAACAAATTTAATCCTCCAACCTTTTCGAAGTTTTAATATTCATTATCTCATTCAACAGCTTCTCTCGAAAAATTGTTTAATATTGGAATAACTTTTATTTGCAAAGTTGTTTTGAAATGCCAAATTTTTTCAGTAAAATGTTTTGATACGCAACTTGTTTGCTGCCAAACACTTAGTAAAAATGTTTGCAGCTCTATCGACATGCGTTGTATCGTATTTATTTCTCATTGGTTTTAGAAGATTTTTGTTGCTCTATGAACTTTGCCTTTCTTTGCTTCTGCTCACTATAACATCATCTGCAATTATCGAAAACAAATAAAACAAATAACAAACAAAGACTGCACTAACAATGACGCAAATGTTACGCTTCTGAAGCAGTTTTCCTGTAGATAAGCCCAAATTAAGTCTTCGCTATTAGTAAATTAGTTAACTAGTATTTAAAAGACTTACATGAGCTTTCTGTGGTGTTTTAATTGAAAAAAGCTCAAAAAATTGTTGTCTTAAAATTACAAATAGCATTGCTATAACAGTTTTTTAATTTCTAGGAGAATTACTCGAAAATGTGCCACTGTGCTGTGCTACCAACATTTCCGTAAAAAATTTTGGACTCATATATTTGATATAATTAGTAGGAACTCCCGTCTTTACGATCTCAATATCTTCATTTTAACTAGTTCTAACCTAAACCTCACCGTTACAATTAATTAATTAAGTGTTATTTTTATAAAATAGTTTTCAATGTCGTAAGTAATAGCAAAGAGAAGAACTTTGATTTTTCTAAAATTTACTGGCTATTGCGAAAGATTGTGATACTCAAGTGTACACCTATCTTTTTTTTAATTATTAATGTTCATTGCAATTAATAAAACCAGATTGATTGAAACTGTTGTTTTCTAAATTACACCAAATTTTTGACAACCGTTTTTAGAATGAATATGTCACATTAATTGCCGGCAGTGGTCGTATTGAGGTTTATTCTATTTTATTCTTATTTTGTAGAGAATATATTATTTATCGTTGGAATTTTACATGGGAAGAAGCCTTTCAAATACAATGATAAATTTGGGAATACAATCGTCTTGCGACGAAGCATTATACCAACTTGGTTTAGATATTGAAGAGTTGGAAGAAATGGAGGAAGATGCCGGTCTGGGCAATGGCGGCTTGGGTCGACTGGCAGCTTGCTTTTTAGATTCAATGGCTACTCTAGGTAAATTCTAAACGAGGCCATACGTATACTGAAGATGGGGGCTAGTTGTATTTTTCAAAATCGTCGGTTAATTTCACTTTATACAATATTTAGAATATGTCTAGAGCAAAATTTGCTATGATAAAAAATAACTTTACCTATCTCGTTCACTGAAAAAGCAGTGCCGAACGAGCCCTGAAAGTTTTACGGCAGTTAAAATTTGCGCGCATGGTTAGAGTTGTGTTACGAGAAACTACCTCCAAATTCCACATATTTCCACTAATTACCACTGTCATTACTACTGCAATTATGTTGTTTCTATTAAAGGAATAACGACAGGTAAGTAAAGAACACTTAAAGGTTCTATTAATCTACATTTCAAAAATAGCAGGAGAAAAAGTAATATCAAGTTCAAACACATTAAAAATAACTGCAATTGAACTAAAGGTCACATCATCACTTTCTTGCGATTAAAAAACTTAAAAAAACTGTAAATTCTGAAACATAGTTAGATATGAGAAAACGCACATTTTAAAATACATAATTAAAAAAAAACATAAAAACAAGCAATATTAACAAATGTGATGATATTAAAAATCCACACTGTTTTTTTAATCAAATTCTATATATATGTAATTAGGACAAAAAGTTATAAAATAGGTTATACCCTTTTAAATTTATAAAGATTTTTTCAGATTATGTTTAGATTTAATAAATAAATAAATAAATAAAAAGATTTAATAAATGTGAGTAAATGGGGTAAACAACCCATGTTATATCCAACCTTACTTATTTTAGTCGCAATACTTTTTTTAGCTAATTAAACATATCAGACTGCTGATTTGTTTAAAAGAGATAACCCATACTACGAACGTGTGCATTATCATATCATCCCTCATCTTATAGTACAGCATATTTGTCTGTTTTAATTTCCGGATATTTCTCGACGTATCTTCATAATCAGACGTGTCTTGAACTGCTTATTATCGCAAAATTTCGTTCAATTTGCTAATAGTGATCGATTTTCCCTAAAAATTTCCACCAATCACTAGGCCTGTGTACTTTCGAGTCAGTGCAAAACTGAGTTGCCAAATTTAAAACAAATCTAAAGATTTGTAGGCTACAACTTAGTCCCACTCTCTCCTACTATTCGCTTTTATTAGGGCACAATGTTATCCCTTTTAGGAATGGCGGCTTATGGCTACGGTATCCGATACGAATACGGTATTTTCGCCCAAAAAATTGTAAACGGAGAGCAACAGGAAGAACCTGACGATTGGTTGAGGTTTGGCAATCCTTGGGAGAAGGCTAGGCCAGAGTACATGCTTCCAGTTAATTTCTATGGTAATGTTATAGACACCCCGGAAGGTAAAAAGTGGGTAAACACGCAGGTGATCTTCGCGCTTCCTTACGATAACCCTATACCGGGTTACAAGAACAACGTGGTAAACACCTTGAGACTTTGGTCTGCCAAATCTCCAGTCGACTTTAATTTGAAGTTTTGTAAGTTCACTGTCGCCCGATATTTCTCTTCAATTATTTCTCTACGTCTCATTTTAGTCAATGACGGCGACTATATTCAAGCTGTGATCGATCGCAATCTCGCCGAAAATATTTCGAGGGTGTTGTACCCCAACGATAATTTCTTCGAAGGCAAAGAGCTTCGTTTGAAGCAAGAGTACTTTATGGTTGCCGCTACTCTTCAGGATATTATCCGAAGGTTTAAGGCTGCCAAATTCGGTGTAACGCACAACACCAGGAACGATTTTGATCTTTTGCCGGAAAAAGTCGCTATTCAGCTAAATGACACGCATCCATCTTTGGCCATTCCCGAACTAATGAGACTGTTGATAGATGTGGAAGGTCTCCCCTGGGAGAAAGCGTGGGACATCACTGTGAGAACATGCGCTTACACCAACCACACCGTTTTGCCCGAGGCTTTGGAAAGATGGCCCGTGACTATGTTGGAGAGCATCTTACCGAGACATCTGCAAATTATCTACCAAATCAACTTCCTTCACTTGCAAGAAGTGGAGAGACGGTGGCCCGGCGACTGGGATAAAATGCGGAAGATGTCGTTGATTGAAGAAGACGGCGAAAAGCGGGTCAACATGGCGAATTTGTCGATAGTGGGATCGCATGCTGTTAACGGGGTTGCCAGGATCCACTCGGAAATTATAAAGGAAGATTTGTGAGTAATTTTTTCATTTCGTCTTTGGTATGTTGCATTTTTTCAAAAATTAATTCAAATAACGAATTTATATCACACAATGTAAAAAAAAGGTGAATTGAAATATTTTTCCAAAAAAATCTAGTTTAATTATTTTTTTCTACTCCCGCCTGTGAAATTCCTTATTACACACCAATCTAGCATGCGGGAAGCGTCACTTTACCACGTCAGTTTCGTTTCCCACGGTTCCGAGCGCCTTCGGACATTCCCGGGATTTTACCGCACGGGCTTGGGAGCAATCGGATGTTATCGAAGATGTTTTTCAATTCTGACGGCCATGTCAGTGAATGTATTCGTGTTGTTTTGCGAAAATGTAACCAAAAACTAATGGTCGTAGAAAAAGTATAGTATGCAACACTTTCGGTAATAGTATATTATGCAACAAGTGCGGTAAACCGCATTTAACTCACGAGTTTATTTGACACGAGCGGAGCGCAGCGAAGAGAGTTTTTAATAAACGAATGAGTTAAAATATTTGCATACTATACTTTTTCTACGACCGTTAGTTTTTGGGTACATTTTCGTAAAACAACACATATACATTCACTCACATGACCGTCAGAATTGACAAACGAAAACATCCGATTGCTCCCAAATCCGTGCGGTCAAATCCCGGAAATGTTCGAAGTGGCTCGGAAACGCTCGCTCCGCTCGTGTCAAATAAACTCGTGAGTTAAAAAGTTTACCGAACGTGTTGCATACTATACTTTTTCTAGGACCGTTAGTTTTTGGGTACATTTTCACAAAACAGCACGAATATATTTACTGACATGACCGTCGGAATTGACAAACGTCAACATTCAAAGCGTTGGAAATATCTCCGAAAACATCCGATTGCTCCCAAATCCGTGCGGTAAAATTCCAGAAATGTCCGAAGTGGCTCGGATTCATATGAAACGAAACTGACATGGTAAAGTGACGTTTCCCGCACGCTAGATCGGTGTGTACTTAGGTATTTTACAGACGGGAGTAGAAAAACTTTTTAACTTGTTGCATAATATACTATAATAGAACAGCGTATTTGTTTAAACAAAATCTGTAATTACAAATTTTTCTTAAAGCCACATCTTAGAAAAAGTTTTTTATTGTAATTCTTATTCATTTCTTTCTTTTTCATAGGTTTAACTTTATTTGATTTTTACATTCGTTCTTTATCTAAAATAGTATATTATGCAACAAGTGTTGTAAACAGCATTTGAGTTACGAGTTTATTTGGCACAAGCGGAGCGAGTGTTTAATGAACGAGTGACCTGAAAAATTTACGAAACGTGTTGCATACTATACTTTTTCTACGACCGCTAGTTTTTGGGTATATTTTCTCAAAACAACACGAATTCCTTCACTGACATGCTGTAAAATCTCCCAAAAAGGTCCGGTGCGGTAATATCCTGGAAATGTCGGAAGTGGCGAAACGAAACTCAAGTATTTTTCTACTTCTACTTTTCTACCCGAGCCATTTCCGACATTTCTGGGATATTACCGAACGGGTTTGGGAGCAATCTGATGTTTTCGGAGATATAACCGCACGGCTTGAATTTTGACGTTTGTCAATTCTGACGGTCATGTCAGTGAATGTATTTGTGTTGTTTGTCATAAATGTACCCAAAAACTAACGGTCGTAGAAAAACTGCAATACGCAACACGTTTGGTAAACTTTTTAATAATATAATATTTTTGGTAAACAGCGTATTATTTAATATAACGATACCTTATCGTATTTTTGTATATGATTAATAAAAATGATTATTATGGGGAAACTTAATTGAATAGTAAGAAAACTTTAACAAAAACAGAACAGCAGGTATTAGATTTACATTTAAAAAGTCAGAGAAAAAAGACTTTGAAAAACCCCTTAAAATACTGCTACAATTGAAAATATGTTGTTTATCTTTTGATTTTATGTAACATCAGTTGCATTTTTATAACAGTGATAAATAAGGGGATTATAGCACTTTCCCATACGATTGCGCGACATTTTTGTTTATGTTTGTTTAGAAGTTTATGAAATAAGCTAATGAAATGCAGTATGATAAAATAATATTCATCTGTGAAATGATTGGAGTTTTCATTATTGTCGTTTATGGAACTGAGGTGACAATTACTTGATTGAAACCCATTTATCATGTTAAATTATGAAACACAGTGTTTGGACCTTCGCAAATTATTTCTTAGTTTATGAGAGTTGTTTGGTGCCATACCAAATACAAAACATTACAATTTTCTGCGATCTATAAATATGATAAAAAGGTGAAAATTAAATATTAATTACAGTTACTGTAGGGTTTTTAAATTTAGTTAACGACGGGCATCCATTCAAATCCAATTAAGTAATAAATTCGAATATCTTTTGCTAATATCCATTGCTTCCAATAAGTTTAGTTTATAATTTTTTTGTGCACTATGTAAAACATCAAAATTATTATCAAACTTGCTCATTTATGATTTTAAATTAATCGCATAATTAGAATCCGAACTTTTATTTTTGTCCGTTTATCTTTGGCCCTTTGGTAAGGCTTTTCTTGAATGTAAATATAAATTTAAAAAAAAATTAACTTAGACTCATTGTTTTTTAAATATTTTCCTGTGGTGCTTTCATTTTTAAAAGTAATCTTGAAACTACATTTAGAAAGACGTTTCAAAAATGTCTTGCTAGGCTCTCGTATATTTTGCAAACTTTGGGTTCGGTGTTTAATATAGGATAAATAGATATCCGAAGACACCACAGAAAATATTTAAAAAACAATAAAACTAAGTCACAAAATACTCTAAAATCCGTAGGGTATAATATGGATCACGTCCTAAAATGTATATTGGCCAAACAGGTAGAATATTCGAGAAACGCATTAACAAACATAAAAGAGCTTACAAAGATCTGAAAATCTAAACATTAGTTTTTCTAATTTAAACTATTTTAATTTATTTTGGAGAACATCCAGATTCGGAATTTTCGCTTTGATCCGATAAATGTGACTTTCTCCCGTTTCCAGGTTCAAAGAGTTTTACGAGTTGAGTCCGGAAAAATTCCAAAACAAAACAAACGGCATAACCCCGAGACGGTGGCTGTTGCTTTGTAACCCAGGCCTTAGCGATCTTATCAGCGACAAGATAGGCGAGGATTGGATCGTGCACTTGGAACAGCTTCAGAAACTGAAGCCGTTTGCGAAAGACCCGAATTTCCAGAGGGGCGTGATGAAAGTGAAACAGGAAAACAAATTGAAGCTGGCGCAGCTGCTAGAAAAGGAGTACGGTGTCAAGGTGAACCCGGCGTCGATGTTTGACATCCACGTGAAACGAATCCACGAGTACAAGCGCCAATTACTGAACTGCTTGCACATCATTACCCTATATAACCGGATCAAAAAGAATCCGTCTGCAAAATTCGTTCCGAGGACCGTTATGATCGGCGGTAAAGCTGCTCCGGGCTACTACACCGCGAAGAAGATAATCAAGCTGATTAACTATGTGGCTAACGTTGTCAACAACGATCCGATAGTTGGAGACAAACTCAAAGTTATCTACCTGGAAAACTATAGGGTTACCTTGGCGGAAAAGATTATGCCTGCGGCAGATCTGAGCGAACAAATTTCCACTGCCGGCACAGAGGCGTCCGGTACGGGAAATATGAAGTTCCAGTTGAACGGAGCTCTAACTATCGGGACATTGGACGGTGCAAACGTTGAGATGGCCGAGGAGATGGGTTCAGAAAATATTTTCATTTTCGGCATGACCGTCGAACAAGTGGAGGAGTTGAAAAGGAAGGGATATAACGCTTACGATTATTATAACAGCATCCCGGAGCTGAAACAGGTAGTCGATCAGATCCAGAACGGGTTCTTCAGCCCGGGGAACCCTGACGAATTCAAAGATCTGGCTGACATTTTGCTGAAGTATGACCGGTTCTTCTTGCTGGCTGACTACGAGTCGTACATTAAGAAGCAAGAAGAAGTGAGCGCCACCTATCAGGTAAAAAGTGACTCGGGTTGGCGGCTTTGGTTGGTGCGAAGTTGAGTTTTGTTTCAGAATCAGTCGAAGTGGTTGGAAATGGCCATACTGAACATCGCTACCTCTGGTAAGTTTTCCAGCGACCGCACCATCGTCGAGTACGGTAAAGACATTTGGGGCGTGAAACCGAACTACCATAAGTTACCCGATCCTTCGGTTCCCAGGGAACTGGCACTGAAAGATAATTAGGGCAATTGTCGATTTTTCGAAACTTTTTCACGAAAGTGTAAACTTTAATTTAATAATATCCTTTAAAAGGAAAGTTGCCGTGAATTTTGTCACATCGATTTTCTTGTAGAAACAATAACAAGTGTTATGTAGCCATATATTTTATTCTCGTTGTTGTCAGAGAAATAAAACGTATCGATTTTGCCTTTTGTAATTCGTATTTCTGAATAATATACTCCACATTTAATGTACGAAAAAAAGAAATAAACGTTAATTCTTTGCACGGTTTGTGTTTTTTTTTCAGAGCGCAGCTGAGTGCTTAATAAAGCAAGTGATTTTCGGGGTTATGTTTGCAAAACAGCGGGAATAAATTTGCTGATCCAAAAATGTACTCTAAAACTAATGGCCGTTGAAAAACTTCTTTAGTCACTCGTTTATTGAGCACTCGCTCCACAGAACTTTTTTTATAAATAAAACGGTTTTCAAAAGCTTTTATCTCAAAAAAAACGGTATATCATTATTTATACCCTATTTGAATTATGTGATGCAAATGACACTATGCTCTCTTCCTTAATTCAAGTTGTAAAACTGTCTTGGTCTAAGCCCTATTCTATAGGCATTGTATTGCACATACCATTGTTGTCAATGGTTCTAAATGTGGCAGGTAGACGGACAAGTAGAGTTGATCTTGGTCTTGGTTGCTTTCTTGAAAAAAAAAATACATAATTCATTGGATTAATTTAAATAAGAAGCAATTTCAGAAAAACATGCTTAAAAGAAGCTTCTGGCGATTGTAGGAATGTGATATGCTAGAACACTTATTACTCCTGTCCTCCTCCGATTTCGAAGGCGAAAGCGTTTTGCCTATATCAGTCAAAACTGACCACATACATCTTGATTTACACAACACTGTTCGTGAACTTTCCACCTGTTTTATACATATATTCAAACTCGATATATAAAAGTAAAAGTTACCACTTTACATCCAACGGTATGTCAATATAAGGAATATAAAATATCTAATGCAAAGGTACAAACGGAAGATACAAATGGGTTTACAAACATTATTCGTGGGATAATTAAGGCTTAAATAAATAAAAAGTAAATAAAAAGAACACAAATCATTACTATTTTTGATCAAATTTATCATTAAAATGTAATTAAAACATTATTATAACAGACATACTACGCCCTGATAAAACATATGAAGATGTTAGTATAGTTTTGGTTAGTCTTTATTCGGAGTCAATCCAAGTTAAAACATATATAATAAAATAGAAAAGAAAAATTGTTCCTGTTGGCGCAGTCTAGCTCAGAACAACTGAACCATCAAGTACACTGTAAATTAGGTACTAAATTTTAAGCGAAGAATGACATGCATATTACCCTGGTAAATACTAATCACTAACTTTTCAACACTTAAGTTTAGTAAATCAACTGGCAAAATATTATAATAAAACGCTGCATTATAAGAAAACGGATGCTGAAAATGGCGAGTGGTTGAATGGACAATTGGTTCTTATAACTCATTTGAACATTTTAAACATGATGACGAAAAAGCAATCTTTATTTCAGTGAATCGGACCTTCTCTTAAGCCATATAGAAATCGTATACAGAAAGTTTGCTGTCCACATCGAGACAGAACCTGCAAACATTACCATTGCAATTCACACTTTAACACGAAGTTTCCGCTAGCTTGAAATTTAAAATATGTCATTTGCTGTAAAGCATTTTTAAAGAATATACAGTTCTTTAAAATATTATTTGTAGGTAGTGCTTACACATAAAATTACCTTTCCCTTTCCTTACAAGTTATTTGTCTCATCAACGAAAACAATTTTAGTATTGCCTATAGAGATTTCAACAATACTTTTAAGAAAATCCACTTTATTCGTACTAATAAAATAATCAAATTAATTTTCTTGGGTTTAAGTTTAAAGTTGTGTTTTTTAGAAAGATCACTTAGTATTTGTAAGTCCTCATTAATAAATCTAAAAGTCTTCAAGAAATCTGCTTATCAAAAGAAAAATAAATTGGACTTTCATCAGCGAATGCCTGTATTTTACAGTATCGAGGTGACTTAACGTATATCCAACGTATGAAACATAAGGGGGGCCGTAAGATGGAACCTTGTGGAATTTCAGATCTAATATGATCAGATAAATTATTATTACATTATATAGACTGAAACATGTCGTCCAAATAGGAACTTATAAGTAGCGAAGCTGGATCTTTTAATTTTATCTCATTCATAAGGGCAACAGACGTCCCAAAATTCTTTCGAATACTGCATTGAGTTTTTGGTATAATGAAATTATTAATAAAATATTTGGTTATATAAAAATCTTTCAAATATTTTACATTACGCTGGTAATTGGTAACGCGAAAATCGTTAAACGATGTGAAATTTTCGAATGTGGTTTCCCAATTGACAATTTTCATTAATTAGGAGAATAGTTGATCTCCAACAAAAATTACCGTATATGTTACATCTTGTAAAATTGAAGAAAAAAATCATTTATTTCACATTCTTTTTGCTTGGAACTTTGTTTCTTCATTGTAATTTGTTGCTTTATATTGGCTAATTATTTTTTGGGATAACTTTTTCAACCAAATTGCGTAGAGATTTTATTTTGTTCAATGTATATAAAATACTGAGAATAAAACGCCAGTATATGGGAGCTTTATGGTTTAAAATAAGTAAAACAGTGCACGGTCAAAACTTATTTAAACTGGATTTTCGCCTGTTGCACTAGTGCCACTAATTCCTATTTACGTGGTGTCGCTATAAAGTAGTTTTTTAAACACAACTTAAGTGCTCAATCGGGGGATTCCCCGAGACTACCTGCAGTTGTATTCATGCTTGTCCTCATTTTAATTTTCATTCAAGCAATGATTTTGTACTTACTGAACATCCCTGGATGAATTCATTATATTTATTATCTCTCACCTATATACGAGGTGTGTTTAAAAAGTAAGGTGACTTTTGTAATTGATTTTTGCAAAACAGCACGAATAACATTCACTGAGTGTGACGTGACCATCAAATCTAACAAAAGTGACAACGCCATTCGCAATTCAAATCAACTAAAAATCCGTCGCGAAAGTACGGGGTGCATTACTGGGTATTTTAGGTTAGCGTGGGAGGTTAGGGTTAGGGAGGGAAGGAGGTAGGTTAGGGTAGGGAGTAGAAGAATGCGATTAGCGTACAAAAATTAAAAGATACCAAATTTTCAAAACTTTATTCGGTAATGTTTCTGAAATATTAATAAAAAAAAATATTCATGGCACTCTTTCTTAAACACGCTTTTAAATCATAATAAACATATTTGTGAACACTCTGTAAAACATACGTGACAATCTACATCTGGCGCAAAACAGATTTTTAGTTGATTGAGTACACCAGAAATTCTAATTCAATTTTTTGTTTTATTAAATTATGGGACAATTTATTCAGTGGGAAATATAAAATTTTGTCCATTGCCATCGTTACGTACGTCGATAAGGCGGCCATTTCTGATGTCAATTTGCGGTAACTGGGTAGTAGTTGTACTTGAACTTGGAGGCGGTTGTGGAGATGGTCTAGGATGAGGATGGGGTCGTCGCGGATGATGAGGAAAATGGCACTGCGGAAAGTTAAACGGATCACTGTAGAAATTGTGGTTATTATGGGGTGCGTGTGGGTTCCTACGCGCGCTATTCCTGTGGCCTCTAGTGGGAATTTCGTATACATAGTAGTCGTAATCGGGAAAATCTTCATATGTTTCTGAACGGGATACTTTGTTTTTTTTCGTTATTTCTTTTTGGAGGTGATGGTCATAACGATATTGAAGGCCGCTTCTGTAGAATGGCGAATTCTTCAGCTGAACATTTATTTTTGGTTCTTCTGCATTACTCCTTTTTTCACTTTCCACAACACCGGAGTTTTCGTTCAACAATACTTTGAAAGCTGAAACCGTGAATATTAACCGGGTGAGTTAGTATGGAAAGAATACAAAATAGATTTTTATAGATTACAGGACTGCCAATCAAGCCAAAGTTTAAAGGAAATCACTACCTAAAACAACATTCTTCTAATAAAATTTTATATTTCTATAGAGGCCTCTTTTTTTACAGGTTGATAAAAAAGTAATTCCAAAGTAGAAGAAAAAATGTTTTTTAAGCACCCCGTATCAAATTATGGTGATTTAAATGAAAATAATTACAAAGCATTATTTTTCTTCCTCTCAAATACCCAGTTATTATTTTTTCCTGTATATTTTCGCAATGGTATTTTGACGTTTCAGTTCTGACAAACACGTCACACGCCACTAGATGAATATATTCGTGTTGTGTTGCTAATGTTGCTAAAGTCGCATGCACTCGCTCCGCTGCACTCCTCATGTTGCATGTAAACTAACCGAATCAAAGTTGTGATGACAGTGGGTTTAATTAAATTAAAGTTCCCTATCGTATCTTTGAAATTAGTTAGTTTAATAGTTTGGATTTGAGAAATTATATATAAGCAGTCACAAAAAAAAAACAACCTACCTTGACGAACATTTTGATTGCTGATCGACTCATCATCAATTTTCCCGTAGGGTACTCCTTCGGATAGTAAACATTTAATTAACACGATTAAAAAAACAATGCAGCTTCTGCACGGATCGTCCAGCCTCATGGTACTGACCGAACTACCTGGCGATTAAACTCAGATTTGCCACCTGTCGGTATTTTATTTATTTTCCTTCCATACCGGAATACGGGTCGTGTATTAACCAAAAAAGAATTCCCATTCGGAAAATCCCGCGAGAGGAAAATACATATATACTCAACTGGCCTTTAATGATGCGATTTTGTGAATCATTTTGTTTAATGAACCCAAAGAAATTGGATTTTTTAACAATGTATTGTAATTTATGAACACGTCCGCTTGATTGATGGTCGTATTTTTTCGTCGGTTTAAAAATTTTTCTGAGATTTAGGGACGCATCATAATTTTGAGCAATTTGGTCTCACTACGATTTGGGCTATAGGCGTAGTCACTGTCATAATCTAGGAAAAACTCTATAACCAGTTAAGTGATAAATACCATTTATTTATAATAAGGAGAAGTTTTGCAATTTCAGTTAGTTGTTTCATTTCAATCATTCGCATGCTGTATCGTGAAACTGCAATTATATTTTAATGGAATTGAAAAGTCGCGCCATTATGAAACAGATCGAGTTTACGATATTGATTTCTTCAAATATCTGATGTTTTGGTTTCTCATCTTTTTCGTAGATAATAATTTCAGCATCAACATATATTTCACAGCGCGTAGAATACTGCAACAACTGTGACGACGCGCAGCATAAATTCTCATGTAAGCCACCTGAAGCATCAGAACCCAAAAAGAACATCAATGCTAGTACTGTCTTTTGTTAAAATGAAGAAAATGAGGTTAGGTTAGGCGTACATCTTCTATAGAATTGTGCTTCTGGAAACCGACCTATCCTTTAGATATAATACTATATGTATATGTTTATCTAGAACTCCTAAGGTTCGTTCATTTGATAGCTTTTTATTGAAATTAGTGAAATTGGTATTTTTTTCTGCTTATCTGTTGACGTGCTTTGAGTAACGACCTAATTTTATCTAACTTCAATACATGAAAATCCATTTATCAAAATAAATAAGAACTAAAAGTTCAGATTTTCACGAAATTATATATTATGACATGACAATTGCTTCGACAACACCGTGTCTTTGTATATCTACAAACTACCTGCTACTATATATACCGAAAAATGACAATAAAACTTAATTAATGTTGTTGCGAGAATTTAAGTTCAGTAAAGGAGAGGTATTTAAATCTAATTGATCGTTAAGCAATACATTTGAATGTCTCATTTTGTTAATCTCCATGGCTTCCAATAAATTTAATTTTCTACTTTTTGTATTAGCGAATATAATAAACTCTCAATTAATAGATAATAACAAACTCAAAGAAATTTCTCAAATGTCACTAGTTAAAACTATCAAAAGCAAAGCTTCTGAAAATAACATAATTTTTACACGTGCAGGTAAAGGGAAGACAGTCATAGCTATCGATCTCCCAGAATATATTTCAAAAACCAACAATTTTCTTAAACAAGAATTTTTCCTTTGTATCAAACACGATCCAACTGAGTTATATCAAAGACAAGTCAAGGATGTAATTACTAACTCCACACTATTTAGTGACAAAGACAAATATTTTTTAACAATGATGAATCCACAACCGCCTAAATTATATTCTTTGGTTAAATTACATAAACAAGATATGCCCATTGAACCAGTGGTATCTTATGTAACAGCTCCAGCAGTTAAACTCTCTACAAAATTAGTAAATATTTTAAAGTTCCACACAGATTTTAAACCAAAATATGCAATAAATATTTCTTTTGAATTAATCAACAAAATTAAAGATATCAAAGTCCCTTCTAACGCAACTCTATTGTTTTTTGATGTACAAAACTTATTTCCCAGTATTCCACCTATGGATGTGATAGATTTAGTAGATTTTACCCTAACTCGTAAACAGGTTAACCTATTGGTGAAACAAGATTTATTAGATTGCTTAATAGTATGTTTAGACCAAAATTATTTTGAATTTAATAGACAGATTTATATCTCTAAAGAAGGTTTGATTATGGGAAACCCACTTAGTATTTTGTTAGCCGAGATTTTTATAGATAATTTGGAAAATATCATACTAGAACATCCTTTAAGTAAAAGTTTTTTATGGTGGTCTAGATATGTGGACGATGTCTTTGCTTGCTTTATTGGACAATTGAATTCTTTTTTAAATTACATTAACTCAATACATAATCGTATAAAATTCACTATCGAGATTGAACAGGATAACTCTATTAATTTTTTAGACTTAACTATTACGAAAGTGCAAAACAAATTAGATTTTTCAATATATTATAAACCTTCACATACGGACACAGTCATACATAACAGCTCAAATCACCCTTATACACACAAAATGGCTGCATTTAACTCTTTTATACACAGACTTCTTAATACGCCACTCTCAACAGAAAATTACAACAAAGAACTTAATATCATTAAACAAAGAGCACTGAACAACGGCTACAATCCGTCCATTATAGATAAAATTATAAATAAAAAACAAATACAGACAACATTAAACTCTATTTATCCGAAACGAAATACAGAACACGAACAATTTAAAACAATTACATACTTAGGAGAACCTAGCGAAAAAGTTTCAAAACATTTGTCAAAATGTGGTTTAAAAATAGCTTTCAGAACTAACAACACAATAGGAAAATATTTAAAAAAACAATAAATTGAAATGTCCAAAATCCCAAAAATCAGGTGTCTACAGGTTAAAATGTGGATCTTGTCCTAAAATTTATATTGGACAAACAGGTAGATCCTTCAAGAAACGCATTAACGAACATATAAGAGCATTTAAAAATAATAGTCTAGATTCTAATTATGCTACACACTTAAACATAGAAAAACACATTTTTGACGACAATTTTGATATATTACACACAGCCACAAAAAGTAGAAAATTAAATTTATTGGAAGCCATGGAGATTAACAAAATGAGACATTCAAATGTATTGCTTAACGATCAATTAGATTTAAATACCTCTCCTTTACGGAACTTAAATTCTCGCAACAACATTAATTAAGGTTTTATGGTCATTTTTCGGTATATAAAGTAACAAGTAGTTTGTAGATATTACATTTGATAAAGACACGGTGTTGTCGAAACAATTGTCATACCATAATATATAATTTCGTGAAAGTCTGAACTTTTAGTTCTTATTTATTTTGTAAACTATAACTTATTAAGTCAGGCAAAATTGTTATAATTGTGCAGCTACTTCTTTTATTGTTTCAGTTATTCTTTGAATCTATTCGGGAGTTTGTTTTTAATTTTAATTCATTAATAACTTTATTTGTCTATTTATCTACACGTCACTTCTGATGTAACGTTTTCTATTTGTCAGGCCAAATTATCACCAGTTTTAATATGCTAGGTTTTTAGTGTTTGGAAATTATGAACTGTTTTGAGTTTCCTCCTTTTAATATATCACTCATTTCCATACATCACTCTTAAAGCCAGTAGATATCACATTTGAATTTGAATTTTACTTTCAACACATATATAATATATAGTATTTTATATATCGAAAAACTCTCGACTATCTAAAAATATGCATTCTTTGCGGAGTTAGAGAGATTTTACTGCTGCTTGTTGGATTTTGTTTTGTTTGGGTTCAAAGGTAAAAACATTAATAATCACTTACAATGTTTTATTATCATGAACATATACTTAAGTCGTCCACAAAAATAAAAAATATAATAAAAAATATATAGGTACATATAATTTAACTAAAATAAATACTACATTTGACGAGATATTTACAGGATATATACAACAAGTATATAATATGTAAACATACTGGGAACATATAACGACTGGGAGATCTACGGCGATAAGGCAAAACCTTATAAGCAATTCAACATAAATTCACGTATACGTATTACCATAGAAACTCCACTAGCGTGGTGTGTTGCCATTATGCCATCAATAGAATCCTTAACTATTATCACAACTACAACAATTTCAGATCCACGCTTCATTCTTTAAAATTTTCGTTTTCAAAATTCAAAATATTCTTTCTCAATTTAAAGCGAAAACTATTAAGATCATTTCTAAATTAGACAAAAGGAAACGTGGCAACTTAAAAATTATATTCAACAAAATAAAGAGATATGTATATTGTCACACCTTAAGCGTATCGAACAGCGTGATTTACAATTATTGTCTCGATAAATCCGATATATTTACGATATTTAGGCCGCTGCCTCCGGATAAAGGATGTTCAGAATACTGACGTAAGATCCGATCAAGAACCCTATGAAACCAAAACAAACGATAGCCAGATCTTTCCACAGTCTCCAATTGTTTTTCCCTAACTTCTCCGGCCAGAAAGTGACAATCTCGATCAAGGGCGGGAAAATCAATGCCAGCGCCGAACTGCTGAAAGCTCCCACCAAAGAAATAACCGCCCCCAAGTTTGGTATGGCTATGGCCAGCGTGAATGTGACGAACACCAAAATCGTTCTCGTCAAATATTCGGCGTACCATTTCGCTTTGTCATTCTCGAAATAGATTTCGATCTGCGGCCAAATAATGTTGAATGGCACGTAGAACTGAAGACTGTACGACAACATTATCGCCAAAGCCATCATAATTCGTACCGACTGCGCCAATCTGGAATATATTAATCATTAATAGAAAGGTTGAGACACAGCGTGCGTCATAGTTCGAAATTACCATCTCGAACAACGAAAAATCTATGGAAATCTGGACGTAAAAATACCGGGGAAACTGCAAACTGGGCCATGTCGGAAAACGACAATTGCGAAACACGGTTTTAATGATGAGAATCGTGGAATACTTTTTGACATTTTATTTCAATGACTTCTAACGTCGGCACTTTGAAAAATATATACAGTCGGTCAAAAAAGTCTCCGTACGCATAGTATTTTTTCAGTTTTCTTTTAGTTTCTTCTTTCACTTACATTTAATGAAAAATATATTTGAAGCAAAAATAATATAAAAATCATTTGAGACACTTTTTTTCGGTGGATTTGTATTGATTTATTACATACTGTGCAGTTGAATGTGATTTTTTAATTATTTTACCAATATCTCTAAAGGATTTTTTTTCTTGCCATAAATCTACTATGATTTTTCGAAGCGCAATTGGAATTTCGTAATTTTTAGCGCTCATTTTGCTTTTACTTTAAAACCACTGACTTAAAAGTGGCGTCAAAAATAAACAAGTATAACTCATTTGTTTAAGCGAAATTTGATGACAGCTGACTTGATAAAATATTAATAATTAACGGTTCGACCTGCAGTTCTGAATAGTGATTTATTAAGGTGTATGGAGACTTATTTGACCGACAGTATACATTGAAGCTGATTTTGTAGTTTAAAAGATTTCATTAATTGCAGGCTGTAAAATGGAGAGTGGTTGGCATTCATGATTAATGTTAGAAAATACTACTACTAGAAAAAAAAAACATATTGATAGAGCAATGTTAGTCTTTAGAAAGGTTGGGTTCTATATGTTCTCGGGATGTTTTTGGGTGTGTCCAGTATATTTGGATAACATACAACAGCACAGGACAAATTTGAATATGGTAAGAGATACCTCAGAATAGCTTGAATCGATGCGTATCGGTGATTACGAGAATGTTGGTAAAACTGAAAATTTCAGTTTTTAATGTCGATTCTCTTTGCGATCGTTTGAGATTTTTTTTTATTATTTCACATACATAAAATCCATGAAACGGCGTTTTCGATTTTTGACCGCCAAATTTGTTTCGATTAAACATTATTATCTAATCAGATAACAAACTTACATTTCGTCAGACGGCAATAGTAGAGTGACGCTTCCCAGTACGGCCCTATCACCATACTTGAGGTAGCCGAAGAAACCAACAGACGTATACAGTATAGCCACTATTGTCATTCCGATATTTAAGACTCCGTTCCATCCCCTTAGATCTTGCGGATTTTTCATGTTATTCTCCAGCGGCAGCACCTGAAATGATTCTAGTTTTACTACAAACTACATCTGCATTAAATTCCCTTCTGAAATTTTAGTTTAGGTACCTGTGTTATTGCTGTGGATAATTACTCTGAAAATATTTTAATTGAAAAAGAGTAAGATCTTGAATTTGAGTTTTTAAATTTAGGTCATTTTAATTGTGCAATATTAAGAATATTTATTTCTCATTTTGTCTTACTATGAACTAACATTTTTCATCCCAACTAAGTAATCCAGCTGCAAAAATGCTGGTAGGTTTTTTGGGTGAACTTACCACACCAATACCCTCGAAGGCGTAAATCGCAGTTCCAAAAAACAAGGGGAGCTGGCCCAAGCTGGAAAATGCGTTAACAGTCGAAATGTCAGGCAAATCTTCGAGCATGTAGAAAAAGGTGATCACTAGACCGGTTACCGTGGCGACTGATGCGAATAGCGATGCAGGCGTCATGTACTTTAGGCTTTTGACCCAATTAAGCAGAATCAGAGGTACCAGCAAAATGACAAGGTACCAGTGAACGCCCAAATCCACGTAGTAGTGTTTAACCACCTCTTGCAGATTGGCGGCTACGAATACAAAGTAAACGCAGCAAAACCCAACTTGAGTGATGAACAGGAACATGTTCGTCAGCAATCTGAAAAATAGTTTTCCAGAAAGACGATAAAAACCACAATTAAGGATAAAATTAATACGTTTACGAAATAAGAAGTTTGTATTATTATCTATACTTTATAATTTCATAATTTTCTTCTCTTCTTTTTGGCAATTAACCTAATTTGGATTTTGTTTGTTACTTTTTATTATGTGTTTGCATTATTTGTTTTAAAAAAACTACTGATTGTATTTTGTACCAATAATTTTTCATTTAAAATGCAAAAGTGAACCAACATTTTTAAAAAAACACAAACATAATCAGAATTTATCATGAATTAAAAATAATTACCAATATGGAAATTATCAAACGGGTATGCGATTTCAGGGACACGTAAACAATGAATTCGGCTTGGTGCGATAAATATTTAAAAAATATTATTGTAGATCTTCGTTTGATTATTCGCAATTATTTTATGGGACAGTAGATGGTCTGAAAGAATAACAAAATTAACTCGCAACTCACAAAAGTTAGGCCTTTCATATATCTCGAACTCAGCTTACCGATGCAATCTGACATATCATATCTTTTAAGTCAAGTATCGACATCAAACTAATTTAAATAAACTATTGTAAATAAAATTTCTATTTTTTGTAGGAAACTAGTAAAATCTATTTTGAAGTTTTAGTAGAATTCTTTTGAAAAACAATAATACACCACGCAGCAAGATCATAAGAATATTTGTTTATTTTTGTGGTACGATATAGCTAGATATTACGTTATTAAGAATAATATTTTATGTTTAAAAAACATTGAAATACTTTTATCGGTATTCAGACTGTTGCTAAACAATCGAGACTAAAATTGAAAACAAAAAACAAACAAATTGTCCTCTTCATTTTAAACGCAAAATAAATTTGGCGGTTTGTTCTAAAGGATAGGTAGACCATAAGTACGTTTTTAGTTGTTAGGGACATATTAAATGTTACAATAATAATATTTTCAAAATAGATTGCAAAATTGAGTCTCAACGAAAATGACTTCTTCATCCGAACATAGACAAAAATAATTTACTTATTATTTAAAGTATCCTTACCTGGCAGCTTTGGAACATTTCTGCAAAAATGGCGGGCCCGTCTTGAATGCGCTTTCGACGACATCGGAGAAGCTCAAAAAAGGCGTTTGGGTCCTTCTACACAGTTCATGGGAGCAAGAAACTAATATGTGCATGCAATGGGTGCAAATTACGCCCATGAAAAGGGTGCCAAATAACCCTATCACCTGCGAAGAGAGACTGTTAAGACACAATGTAATAGAACGCCTAGTTGAAAAATTGCAAGTTACTTTAGTATTCAAATTAGCACCAATGTAGTTTTAGATAAGCCATACGTATAAAAATATTATCTCTTTAAACTGAATTATTTACATCTTTTAACTAAGAATTGACAAAAAGTGTTATCTTCGCATAAGAGCTAATAATTATTTATTTTGAAAAAATATTACTTTATTATTAGCTATTACTTTGACTCAGAAAATAATGCAGAGATTATAGTAATTTATTTCAAGTATTTAAAAAATAAACGTTAAAAAGGATGACCATCACTTACTTATTAGGATTATAAGGAAACTTACTGAATAATTAGAATTTGAATTCTATTTGGCCAAACTAATTTATTATCTTTTAGGTGTCTCGAGTGATTTGAATGAAATAAAAAGATGCAATGGGTTGCTAGGTGAATTTTATTATACATTTGAATCAATAGAATTTTAATAGATGGCTAGGGATTTTGGATTATTTCCGAAACTTTGTCCACAGTTTTTAAAGTAAACATTTTAAATATATCTAGTTATAAATTTTCATTTGTTAGAATAAACCAATCTTCTATTAAAGATTTTTGAAAAAAAAAACCTTCCGTAAATGTGTTGGCAAAATTAGGTAGTTAAAAAAATACAAGGTGTTGAAAGCAAAATTACTATTCGAAAGACTTTTAACATGATATTAAAATCATTGGAAAATGAAATGGATAGCAACAATTAAAATGTAAAAATTCATTGCACATTTTTTGAAATTACTGATTTCAGAGGTTTCAAAAAATGAAAAACGCGCAAACAATTTGAGATATTGATATTTATATTTCCTAGTAAGAAGCCTGAAACATTCTGAACTTTTTACATGGTAAAAAAATATATTTTTTAAATAATGAAGTATGTGTGTAGGAATTAGGTTCAAAGTATCACCGAATTTGGATTGCTCAATAATTTTAATTTTTGATATAAAATATAAAAGGCTAAATTTTTTTTGAAAATGAAGTTTCACTTTCAACTCCCGGTATCTTTTTAAGGCTAACATTTGACACCGCATTTAATGAACTGATTTTTTTATTTCTAGACTGAGACAAATTTTATACCATTTGTGAAAAAGAATTCTGAAATGAAATATCTAATAACACTTAAGCGAAACCTTATTCTAGTTAAAAATAAAAGAGAATAGTTCATTTATTTACCCATCCGGCGTTTCTAAAAGCATCCGGCATCGCCAAAATTCCCGTACCGACATTGCCTTTTAGCAAATGTACCATGGTATCGAAATTAGATGTCGGGTGTTCGACGTTTCGGTTACAAACCGGATCATCATCGCCGGCGACAACGTTGCCAATATTCAGCGAGACGTCTACGTCTTCCTTGTCCAGGAGTCTCTGCTTCTCGTTGTGCTTTCCCATGTGTAGTTGTTTCTCGGGGATCATATAATCCTGAATAAATGTTTGTCTTAAATGTTGCCAAGGAATGTGAATGTCTTATTGTGTATGGTAGGTCCTTGGTTTATAACTATTAACACAAAAAAATGAAATGCTACACAATTGGTTTACTAGCCAAAAATAACCAAAACAATGTATTTTAAATCACAGAATAATAAAATTGACCGACATGTTTAATTTATATTAGAAATATACGATTAAACTTTGTTTTTAAGCAACGTCAAAGTGACAATACTAGTCTCAACTGACGTCAACAGAAAAAAAGATTAACGGCTTTTTGGTACTATTTTTCGAACTGCATATTTAATCTCGGGTTGTTTTTTACCATTTTAAGGCAAAAATAATAAACTAGTAATAACGGTAACATATTATATTGTAGGAACCTGGGTCTAACCAGAAAAATAAATTTAAAAAATAAAAACTACGGATGAAAATGAAAAATTTCTACAAACTGTATCCAAATACACCCCACCACATGTTGAATGTGTGGATCGTGGATGTGCAACAATCAATTCTTAAGATATATACTTAATTAATTTCGAATATCCTCAGAAATGTTACACGTATATTAAAACAACAATATACTAACCAAAATTATTAAGGTAAGTAAATCAATAAAGTACTTTTGTATTCGGTTTACACCACCACTGACTTACTTTACTAAAATGACCGTGCGCTTGTAATGTGACGCCGATCAATAATCGTATTCGCTGTTCCTGATAGGACAGCTTATCAACTAACTTTCTAGCGGTAATTAGTCCAGTAGATTTGCTTTTGGCTTTTTTTTTAAATAATATAGGTATATTGTATATAGGTAGATACCTACACTGTGATTAGCAAAAGTTTTGTCAGCGTACTCAAAAATTCGTTATTTTGGAAAAAACTTATTTTCCATTGAAAGTTTTGCTTATCTCAGAAATTTTAAATTTACAAAAAATATATATCTAATAACCTTTTGCTGGTTTGCTGGCATGACCTGAAAAACAAATAATAAGGCCTTGTTTGGTTTCACTTTTAGCTTGAAAATGTTATATTCTTATTTGAAATAGAATTAAAGCGTTTTTCAATTCCTCTGAAAAGTCTAAATCTGTTTCATATACAATATCCAATACCTATGTCTTACCGTTTCCGACATATTTTGTATTTTATGTCAAAAGTGTCAAAAGCCTTTGATATTGAAATTGATATCCTTGTAGAAAAGGATCTACTTTAGGGTTCTCTGTTGATATTTTAATAATAATAAAAAAAATACAGTTTTATAATTGTATTGCACTTAGTACTAAAAAAGTGACTTTGTACAAAAAGTTATAGATTTCGGAATATTTGCAATCAAACATATTTGCTTTGTGAAAATGCTCTATTAATCGGCCAAAAAGATGGAGGCGCAAAATGACAGAAAAGGAAACAATCGAGCAGAAATATAGCACCTACTATCTCCTGCCGTTAAACAATTATTTTGTAAATCGTGTTCGGTAATTAAGTTTTTAACACATAAGTTTTTTAAATCAATTTCGAAGAATGGAACACAAAAACAAAACATTTTGACATTTTCTTAACAATATCCAGATGTACAAAAACCGACAAGAAATAGTGTTAAACATATAACATAACATTTTCTTAAAAAATCTTCTTTTCTGCATGTCAGCTTAAAAGTATAGCGCCAATATTCAATTTTATTAAAAATAAATCGAAATAAAAATAAAATAACAATATCAATAGAAAAATCATAAAATAAAACAACGATAAAAATTAAAAAATAGCTAAGTTTGGTAGCACAAAACTTTTGAAAATTAATTTTCAAAGTCACACGAAGAGAAAATAGTGACGTGCCTGGGGTCCCGATTGTTTTTTTTCGTAATAGCTAATCAACTAATAGCAAAACAAAAGCCGTATAGGATGTGTATAATGCTAAATACTACAAAATTATAAAAATGAGGTGTTTCTATTTGAAAATAATTATTCGTTGAGGAAATCAGCTGCCAATATACAGTTCAGTAGTAGAAGTCCACAGATAGATTTAAACCTGCAAAGGATTTCGAAAATGTATGTATTCACAAATAGTAATAAAATATTTATTTTGTCTCAATTTTTTTGATATTTTATATAGGTTTTGAGATAAAGTATCATCCCATGATAAAGGGACCACTACCGAGCAAGAATTGTCAAGAGTTCCGAGAGTGGCAAGTATACGAAAAGAGATAGATCTTTTCCTTTAGTTTTAAAAATTGGAATTAGAGTTACCTCCCGGCAGTGTTTCTGAATTTGTTTCCGAAAAACGGATTAGCAAAACTACGTTTCCTAAAAAAAAATTGTATTCTTAATGTCATCAAAGCTGTTCGCCATCAAAACTCAACATGCAGAGTTTAATTATTTTCCAATATGATAAGAGAGGTACCAGAAGAAAATAAACTGGAATATGTATTATTAGGATATGACTTGGGTAAATGAAGGATATAGTGTCAGTGAAACACGGCAAGATAAAAATTTGAAAAGCCAAGCTTTCGTTGGAATAAAAGGACCATCGGGTAAATATCACATTGGTCACACTCACATTAGTATTTCAATCAAAACTTCTTCTACTTCTTTTACTCCCGAATGCGAAAAAATACTCAGGTCAATCAATCAATTTCAAGAACATCTACTCAGATTGTAAATTGGAATAAATCTCTTTGTATGAAATTTGTTTCGACAAAAAATCTTCGCCTTTCACCAAGTAAAAAGGTTTGTAGCAACGCGTAACACCACTCTTAAAATGAGGGACGTTGAAACCCTCTAGCAAGGAGCGAACATGTGTACTGTGTTGAATTGTAAATAGTAATTTTTTAAAATAATTCGTCTATTATTATATTATTCTTACTTCTGCATAGGCTTTTATTTACTTGATCTTGGAATAATTATATCTATAACTATAATCATTTATAATTATTAGTATATTTACTATTCTAATAAACAACATGTAGTAACATTACTTTCATTCATCAAACTGCTATTTCTATTGTATACAAATTAGTATAACAATAATTTAGGAACGATTCCAGGTGTGTAAGTCTTAAAAAAAAAATATGGAAAACTATCATTGCAATTTATCTGAACTTTACGATATAACATTAAAGTTGTTGTGTTCAATGTTCCTGTCATTGCAAATTTTGGGTTTATTACTCTCTAGCATTAAGAAACTGGGTACAGATAAAAATTAAAAAAAAAATAGAATCGAAAAAAGGTGAATTTCAAAAAATATATCATTATGACGCGAACTTTTTAAAGGTCAGGATGCATGCATAATTGATTCGATCAGCGGATTAATCCAGTTTCGGTGGTTTTCATTGCGATTTATCGATTTTGAAATGCGAAACCATACATTCCGGAGATATTTTTTTGCAAGTTGTTAAAACGCCTTGACCTCTGGGTCGGTGGCGACATTCCAAACAAAGATTTGCTACGGCCAACAGTGGCACAGAATGGTTCCGTAAGAGAATCAATTTCTAAAGATTTTGCCACTTTAAACTAAGTTACTTCGTATAATATGCGCCTGGCTGTCTGCACATGCATTACTGGTATTGCTCAAGTGTGATTCTTGGGATAGCGATAATGGAACGTAAACAACTAATACTCGAAGCGATACAGAGATAAAACAACAAACGAAAGGGAAGAGTGGAAAAGTACGGCGCCCATATCATATTGATTTAACGACAATTAATTGTTGTTGGACATTCCACGTTCGCTAAAGAGATGTTTACGGGCAGACACAAAAAATCTTATCGGTAGTTGTTTGTCCCCGGCAAGAATGGTCGTCTCCAGTTACTAAACGAGGATAAAGTGAAAGGTTTCCAAAAAAAAATTGAAAATATTCATCTACCCTAAACAGACCCAAGCGGGCATATTCCAGACTGAGTCAAAGTAAATTTGCATTAAATTAACGCAACGTATTTTTACCTCAATTGTGAAATTATAGGTATGCTTATCAATAACGAACTAACCAACAATTTTGCGTATAATTTCGTGGAATTTCAGGATATTCCAAGCAAAGTCTGGCAAAAATGTCTGTATTCCACGTTTACTTATTATTCACGGTGTACCAAATTAAGTGTGCGCTATTGGTATCTTCCTTAGATATTATTGGAAATGCGAAGTCGGCTGAATTAGCAAAGTTTTACTATTTCTCGTACTCTTTATTTTAACCAACAGCCTGTATGTTGTTAATTCTAATGTTTACAAATCTTCCATAGAACATTGAAGTTCCTATCCAATATGGGCCTAAAGATAAACATATTAATAATTATTAGTATATTTGCCTCTTTTAATCGTTTCGCAGTATATCAAGGAGATTATTCTGCTGTCAAAAAATTAGTAATTTAGGTAAAATTTATATTCAAACATGCCCACACCTGTATTGAAGAAAATTACAATATCTTTGAAAATTTTGTCTAGTTTGTGTTTTTTAAGTAGGAATTCTATTTCAAAAAATCGTAGCCAACTTGGTAAAAAGTTAAATATGGTAATAATTTGGTTATTTTTAACCTTTTATAATCTATTTAAGATTTGCAAACAGTAGAAAAGAAGGATATAATATTAAAAAAAAATTTTAATCAATCGGCTTTCTGTATTCGCTATCTTAAATGAAAAATATTTTGCCGATCTCGTACCCGTAATAAGAAAAAAAGGTAGCAATAATGCGCAGTATGGAATTAACAACATTAAAAAACATATAATAATACAAATTAAACAATCATTTAAAGTTCAAGAGAAGTTTATATTGTAATTTTTATTAAATTTAAATTTTCGGAATTTCAAGTTTATAAAATTTACGTTCGTTATTTTTAGTAATTGCTTAAGGGCCTAAAAGATTTTTGTAATTGGTATTGTAGGTCCAAAATACAAATAAATTTTAGCCAATTTGGAAAAATAATTAGATATATTGGTTTTCTTTCTTTGTACATTTTTTAACTCGATATTAAATTTTAAAGAAATAGCCTACTAAGTCACAATTTTACATTTATAACATTATTAGACACTTTTATTAATTAAAAATTAAAAGTGCCAAATTTAATTTTCGAACAACGTTCTGCCTCGCCTAATTAAGACATATAAATTTTAAAACAATTTTTTCACAAAATCCTTATCATAGTTAGTGAAATAAGGTTGCGCACTAATTATCTACTCACGTAATCCTTGCACAAACTTCCGTAAAATTTACCCATTTTTCTACAAACCGAGAATTAGGAGAAACAAGGTTATCACTGTAGTCACTAGTCTACTGAAGTTAATTATCAATCCGCAATAATGAAACGAGGTTGGTTTCGTTCCCCACCATATAGAATTAAAATCTACCTCTTCTGCTTTTGCGATTTTCAAAATATTATTTGTGTTTCTATGTAATCGCCTTTACATTATCAAAAGTACAACATGCTCGGCATGTATTTAATTTGTTACATATTTAAAAAGCGAATAAATCTTCGTGGTTCGGTTAATAAATAAACAGATTGTTGTGAAATTGATACACGCTCAAAAGTTAGCCCGATATAATTTCCAGATCAGTGAATTAGCGGTCAAAACACCCGTTGCTTCCACATTGAAATTTGAGAATCTCTTTCCATCCGCAAGTTTCGTATGTATTCAATTCCTTACCAAAAATTCACATAGCAACAACTAATTAAGCATCGCACACAAGCTTTTGTTTAATTTAAATGTTAAATGTTAATTTAATATGGTGGAAATTATATTTTGGTATATTTTTAGAATAAATATATATTAATCTTATCTGATCATTGCTCGAAAATTTCTATTTGACCCAATTCCCTAATTACCTAGCGATATATTTTATGCTTTTTATACTGGTATGGTAAACAACGCCAGTCTTTTGATACCTACACGTACTCGGTTAAAATAGGGATTTATTTATTAGGTGATTCCCTGCAGAAATATAGAGCGCGTGGAACAGTGCACACATAAAATCTAGAAGTGTTCTCAACAAGTCACCTGAATGCTACTTTTACAACGCCTTCCGAGCGGTGACCATTTTTATTGGCACTTCGAATGAGAACAGCAAAAAGGAATTGATGCGTCGTATTTAAATGCCAGTTGTACCGCCGAGGAGAATGTTTCAGACCGAAAATGTCCGCTGAATGTGCCCATAATAACAATTGCTTTCCCGCCGTTTTTTTCTTAAATTTAGCCGTGAATGGATCTTCTTTTTTGTTGGAGCCTTTTTATTTTGACGAATTAGCCTAGAAATTCGGGAAGAAGAAATGGTTTTTGTTCTAACCTACAAAATTTTTAGTTTTGATTAATTTGCCTTTTCTAGCAAACGAAAACTCATCAGTAATCCATAATTATGACTTTGTATCACTTTGGGAATTGCATCGCAATAATTTATATGCCATATTATTTAACTTATAAACGATCAGGTTTGTAAGTAGATTATTAAGTGTTGTCAACATCGAGTTTTCCACCTTTACTGCTTTTATAGATCCGACTACGGAGCGTTTTGGAAATGTGTTTATGCGGGCGTAGTCTATATGTTTACTCAATTGACGCAGATGTTGATTTTGGCCACATTTTTTCCAGACACTGTTTCAGATATGGACAATGACTGGATAGGAGTACATTTGCTTATATCTGTTTACACTTTTTTGCCTAATGGTCGTGTTTCAGGAATTTTTGAAATATTCGGTTGGTTTAACCGATTTAGTAGGTCTGTACTATGTCTTAAATGGAATTCCCACAAAAGGACATAACAAAATTTTAACAGCGGCAGTAGGGTGGGCCACTGCAGAGGTAATTTTATTTGTGAAATTGGACATAAAGCTAACTTTTTCTGCTGTTTAGGTTATCCTAAGCCGTGCCCTTCTTTTGTGGGTTGGAGCTAGAGGAATTGAATTTGACTGGATCTATATACTCAAGTGTCTCGAATCGAACATTGCTTTGATTCAGCATATCGCAACAGCGGCTCTAATTTGGCTCTGGTCCAGGCATGACCTAAATAAAAGATTAAAGCATGTGGTGTCTTTTTTGCTGATATTGAGTTGTTACAAACTCCTCTTTATAGATTCATTGGTGCAACATTTCCATATAAGCATTTGGAGATCACTGTTGCTCAAAATTTTTTACACTTTGGTTCATGGCGTGGCTACATTAATAATTTATGTTAATTTAGGGCAGATCACAAATATTTTCTAGATAGTATAATTTGTAGTATTTATTTAATAGATATATGTCAATATTAACTGATTGTTATTAACAAGGGATTAATTAAATTATTTCTTAAAAGTGGAAGTATTGGTTTTATTGGAACTCCTCTACATTCTATCTACCTATCTATCCTCTTGATGCAGTTTATTTTGGTTTTGGGATCTGCGTCCTTCGGCCAATTTTATAGAGAAATTGGCACCCAATTTATTTTAAAATGGGATTTTCTTTTTTATGATTGAATAAAGTTAAATTGTTAATGATGACTTCTAAAAACTTCTTAAAGTCTCTTGAAATTTATGAATCCTATCTCTTCACACTATATCTTATATCTTCATGCTGAAGATCTTAAATCTTGTTTGTATGATAATAATAACATCCAATTGTAATAGGGATTTAGATATTATTGAAGATTAAGGAGGATTATGTAAAAAATGCTTTAGCGCTTGACACGTTTACGATTATAGTGTCAATAATTTTATTACTGTTAGAAGCGATTTATGTGGTTGCAGATTCTTCACACTTCGCGATGTAATGTTTTATACAATCCCTGTTCGATAGTTGAGAGCATTCTGCGGATAATGTATCTAAATAAAAAAGAATATCGCCAAACACACAACTACACTAAAACGTACCTCCAGTTTTGTTATATATGATATTTAGCATTACCGAATGAGGAGATTGAGAAGTTAGTAAATCGAATTTTGTTTCACTTTTGATGAAAAAAGTAGGTCATAGGTATTTGTGGGCGAAAAATACCTGTAATTTACATTTATTGATCAAAGCAATCTCATTTAAAACTACAATAGACAAAAGAAAATAAGTAAGCATACTACTAACTTCGAACAAAATGACTTTTAATTTAATTAAACGTTTTTGTTATAAGCATTTTTTTAAAATGCTATGTAATATGACAATTAAACTAAGTTAACAGTAGCATGATTTGGGCAAATATTAATAAAGTCAAGAATGGACAAAAATAAACATTTTCTGATCGAACAAAATCGAGCGTTACGGCGATTCATTTTGACATTATATGAAAGAAAAACAAGCACACATATGGGGTAGAGTGACATCCATAAATTATCAGAAATTATTAATGTTGCAATAGAAGGTGTCATGTAGATACCATGGCGACGTCTAACAAAAACCGGACACTTGTCCATCTTCTTTTCCGCCCGCGCGTGTACACACTTGACCTAAGATGATAGTTTCGTCTAAAATTGCGCTGCACCTTGGTATTTTTGACAAACGTTCGAGAGTGAAAATAACAGAGTAAATCAAGGCTAGAGGTAAAAATAAAATGCTTAAGTAAAAAATTGCAAAATCATTGCAATGGGACTGATGGAATTGATTGTTTCTGCTTTATGTTTGAACGCCACTTGTACCGATGACAATCTGGGTTAGTTATTTTATTCATAATTCTAAATTTAAACAAATTGTAGTATTTTCGCAGCCTAATAATATTAGGCATTTTGTATTTTAAACGCTTTTTGGAGAAACAACTTTTTTAACTTTTAGAGAAATACTCTATTAGAAAAGACCGTTACTTTTTACTGGCCGATCAATTAAAGCACGAGAATTTGCGAATTACAACGCTGATGGTAAGTAAAATCCGCTTGTCCAAATAGGGAAATTGAAAAATTGATAACATTTCTTCCGCATGTTTTACGTTATCATGCGTTTGACTGCAACTTTTGATTTTCAGAATGGTCATTTAAGTGGCTACGAAATAATTAATGGGAGTATCGTGGGAAAAGGAGTGGCTTTCGATATCATCGAGATATTGCAAAATGAATACAAATTCAACTATACTGTGGTAGTACCGGACGACAATGTTTTCTATGAAAATTCCCATGAAAAGGGCATTAAGAATATGCTTTTAAATGGAGTAAGTCTAATGCTACGATTCCTATTTCGTTGCTTGTTTTCCGCGAATTTTCACCCCCTACATTTTCATTGAATGTCCAAGACGTCAAAAGTTGTCAGTGCTTCATTTGCGTTTTTTTTTCATGTTTGAAAAACTCCAGAAGTAAATTTTATGTTACACTAAATAAACAGTGGGTTCATTTTTCATCACAGTTTTTATTGCAATATTTAAGTAGAGTATAGTTAGAGTAGACATTTATTCCCTAATACCAATACAGGGTGTCACGAAATTAGACGTCAATATCAAGTTGATCCACATTGTCTTGGAGATTAATTTTTCCGTGAGGTCACTGGATACCTAAATTTACCGGAATGATATTAAATGTTATCCATTAAAACATTTTTTGTCCACTGTTAGATAAATTGGGAATTAAAGACTCTTGCATATCGTGCATGCAACAGAAAGAAACGTAGGCCGCTGAGCACTTGCCTTTGTTTGAATTTTTTGAATTCCATGTTAATGGTAAGAAACCGAACATAAAATAAAAGATAAATTCTATATTGGCGAGTTTTATAAGCCATTTTGACGGTCTTGCTCAGTTCACTTATAACTACGTCACTAAAGTAATCTAAAGCCCTTAAATATTGAGCTTTTATTACCTATTATACAAACAAATTTAAAACATATTATTCTAATCATTATACGAGTAATCAATTTAATACGTTGCTTTATATGTATTTAAACTGATATTGTCTATCTGCCTAACATAGGCATCTTTTGGGCTGAACCGACTCTGGGCCTGCCATACGATTCTTGGCAACGCTGTGCCGCTTTCTTCCATTTGAAATGCCTATGCTACCGACTTGGGCTATAGTAGTATAATTTTGATTAGACAGTACCTTAAAGTTTTCATTGAAAATAAACAAAATGACAAAATAACCAGCAAGCAAAGCAAAGCAAGTTGTAAAATCTCCAATGCGATTTTACAACTTGACTTGGTACTAATTAACAAGATTTTTAAAAGAAATATTTATGTGATATATCCTAATCCTGATTCTTCCTAAGCATAGAAATAAAGGGCGAGTCAGCAATACTTAGATGACTAACCCTGAATAACCCAAAAGTACTTTTAGTTTTGCTTCAAAGTCTGCTTCCACTTCTTATACCGTCATCTTAATCGTAAGAACGCCTTGATGATGAACATTTTTAAATGTATTAAAATTGTTGATAGTATCATGTGTAGAAGTCTGTAGAAGTAGTTAAAATTGCAAACTGATATCTTGTGATCTGTTCAGATTTGTATGTTTTTATATTTTACACTTCTTTGCATAAAACTAATAGGGATCTGATAGCCGTAAATATTTGGTGGAATAAATGCAAACTAAAAGACCACAACTTGGGTCATTTTTAGGAAGCAGATGTCGCCGCCACGTTCCTTCCCATGACCTACAACGAAACAATACGATACTCGCGTAGTTTGGATACTGCCGAGTGGGTAGTCCTGATGTTAAGGCCTAAAGAGTCTGCCACTGGTTCTGGATTGTTAGCTCCGTTTACCGCTTCCGTTTGGACCCTAATTATTATCTCGCTACTGATTGTTGGCCCGATTTTGTACCTGGTGGTGTTCATCAGGGTCAAAATGTGTGAAGACGACAGGGACGCGGAATTTTCTTTGCCCGCTTGTATGTGGTTCGTGTATGGGGCATTGTTAAAGCAGGGTTCCACGCTGAACCCGAAATCAGGTATGCTAATGATGCATATTTAAATTATCTATTCACTGGATATAAGAAAATTAACTTAAATTAACACGGATTACATTTTGATCCTAATTGACTATCAACGAAACAAGATGTCTTGGGTATATACGTTAGTTATCATACATCACGTTATGAGTTTTTGAATGATTTTAAATTATTTAAACTTTTAGACTATACTTCCGATTTATAAAATTTACTTAACATTTTCGCCAGAAAATATGAAATGAACCACACACTGAATAAACCGGTTACTTGCAAGGGCAAGAAATTTTGCTCGAAATGTATATTTCGAAAATGAAAAATAGACAACCTTATCCGATGTTGAGCCAATTTTTAAAATAAAGAGGAAGTATTTTAGAAAATGAGACGGTTGTCGATTAGATAGCATTAATTATTATCAAAAAAGTACTTTCTACAAAGAAGCTAAAGTCAATTTCGGTATTACCGTCATTTTTATTCTAATATATTAACATCAAATATCACCAAAATTGATACTTACAGGGCAGGGTACCAGTAAAATTAAAAGAACGTTTGAACTGTGATGGATGTGTTTCTACCGAAGCACACCGGGTTCAAAAGCCTCGAAAACAATACGCTCACTATACTATACTGATGGAGTGTATTACTATACTTGAAAAACAAAAATACAAATTGCATGGACCGGTCGTACCAACTCTCGTCCAGTAGATCGAAATCCAACAAAACAATCAAATAGCACGTCAACACAGTTCGTCCCCCAAAAAGGAACTGGCGATAGACAAGTATATTATATTGGGTAGTTTGATCTGGCCACTCCGCGCTCCTTCACCGACTTCGTCTCCGACAATTGGCTCCGCACATCACCACCACACAGTATACTCTTTCCAATTTTTAAACCATCACACAACAATCATAATGGTGGCTATATCCGTGCAACCGGAAGTAAGAATCTCAAAATAGCAAAATGTTTAAATTTTTCTTGGTAATGTTTAACCTACATGACTATAGAATATCATAATTTTATAAAATATTGGTCAGTCAATCTTATTCAGCTAATTTAAGACAACAAATCGAATTGTCGAGTGGTAGATGTACTAATTGGAACCTGTCGCTTTTTGATTGAATATTTTTCTCTTTTGCCTATCTTACTTACATAAATATGGTATAGATTCTTCGAGGCTGTTATTTTCGACTTGGTGGATCTTCATCACAATTTTGACCGCCTTCTATACCGCCAATTTGACGGCCTTTTTGACGCTTTCCAAGTTCACGCTACCCATCAACAAACCGGAGGACATAGTAAAAAAGCGGTATCAGTGGGTAACAAATCGGGGAAACGGAATTATTACCTTCATGAACGATCAACAGGGTATCTTGCAAGAACTAATCGGACCTCCTAAATTTCAGGTAATTTTGCTTTGCATATTATATGTGCTTAAATGATAGTCCATTAGAAATTAATTCCGTAACAGAGAATAGTGTATTTTTCAAAGAAACTACCACAGGCTACTGTAATGCTTTTTACAAAACTTCTGGATTCCTCCTGCGTCGGTTTTTGTTTAGTCGAAATTGCTGACGTTTCGCCAATCATCCTGTTGGCTTCTTCAGAGCTAATTGGCCTGTCTCTCGTCCACGTTATATATTCTATCTGGTGTTAGTTTCTACTTATCAATTGCTTCAGCTAAAAGCGAAAAGAGACTACTAACAGAAACCCAATTAAATCCTGCAGCCCTTGCAGCTGAGGTGGCCTCTCTCAAACCAATATCTACCGGCCAACCTGGTACTTATTTCGTTCTGCGAAGATCCTAGTCTCCATATTTTTTCCGTGCGCAGAAAACACTTCCTTTCTCAAATCTCCCCATATTCTTCGCTGTTGCTGTCCCAATATTGTTGGTTGATTGTTGATTGTATTCATTGTAAAGCTGCAAGCGACGTTTTAGTATTGTTTTAGGTACATTATAATTTTCAGAAGCCTTTCTAACGATTTTTGCCTCTCGGTCTATCTTTTATAGCGACTAACATCTGAAAATATTAAAAGCTTTAATTAAAAGAAGTTGTTTAAGTAAAACGGGAGGGGAAGTGGTCCATTTTGCCCGAACCGTTTTTCATTTTTGCTATATTCTAGAAAACGTGCCGATCTGGAGATTATGTCAACATAGAACTTCAAACTAATATAATATAGTTTGAAGCTAATATCTTGCTGAGACTGTAATAGTATTTCCGCACCTTATTATAGAGGTAAAAAGTACAGGAATACAAATATAGCTACCTTGTTAAAGTTTCGTAGTTCACTCTTGTCGGCTTGTGGCTAACTCTCCGAAGCTTATTCCGTTCAGGAAAATTTGATGTTAACAACTTTTTTAACGGACCGTTTTACCTGCAGGGTCCGTTATGCCTCCCTTTCCCCTACATGGCAATGTCACAGAGTTTAAGAGTTAACGTTATGAACCTGGAGTTGACGGTTTAATATGTTTTTAAAAGCCTAATAGGCTTAAACATTTTCAGATCGATTCTACCGACAAAGATATTCTTCATAGCTACGTTTCCAAAAATTTCATGTATATTCGAGAGAAAACGGTTTTGGATTATATAATGTATGACGATTACAAAGAAAAAACTAAGGAAGGGGTTCAGGAAACGCAGAGGTGTACCTACGTCGTGACCACTTTCCCGATTACCACTTTACCCAGAGCGTTTGCTTTCTCGCCAACCTTCAAATATTTCGATTTGTTTGATATTACGTGAGTATTTTTGCCTTTTTCTACATTTATTTTAACAAATAAGGGTTCACAAAAACAAAAATGTTTTACATTTATAATTATTTACCTAGATATGCAGTACAAGGTGGGCGGCACTTTTAAAAAATCGTCGTAGCTTTTTTGCTATTAAAGTGACACTTGATTGGTGTAAAATTGGGTGTTTTAGAGAAAGGAGTAGATAAAATAATTTACCAATTTAATTTAAAATTCTTTTGGAGTTCATATTTTCAATTTAAGTTACTTTTTGATTACCTGTTAGTTAAATTATTTTTAATGTTGCTCTTCGTGATGGTTTTAATTGACATTGATAGCTATATGCACGAATTATATAACAAATCTGAGCACATCATTGCGTTTAACACAAAAAAAATCCAGACAATGCTATCTGAATTTTTATTTTTCATAAATAACAAAGTTTTCGGCAATATACCAAATGCCTCCATCTTGTTTAGAAATACACTCAAATTACTACCAATTTGTACCGTGCGTTCAATTTAACTTTATAACATTTTAATTGGCTGTAACGTTTTTGTTTTTAGAGATATCAAGGTAAACAAGAAAACAAAATGTAGGGTTAGTAGCCTAGATTTTTTCCAAGTGACGTATAAAACAAGACACTATTAATTTTCTGATTTTAATGGAACACCCTGTATATTATATATTTGTTTAATATAATATCGGCAAAAAACGACTGTGGACATTTTTGTAACGAAACCACTTCATGTGCCGCTTCGTTTTTCTAAAATGGGAATTTTTAATTGCAGCATTCAATACCTGATCGAATCCGGTATAATCGAGTTCAAAGAAAAAGAGTTCCTGCCAGACACGGTGATATGTCCGCTGAATCTCGGAAATAAAGAGCGTCGCCTCAGAAATTCTGATCTGACAATGACGTACAATATCGTCGGCGGTGGTTTGATAGTAGCGACGATCACTTTCGCTTTGGAATTTGCCGTCCACAGTTACAAGCGCAACGGATGTTGCTGTCGAGATCCCAAGGACGGCCATCAACGGCCAGAAAAAATCACCGGCCATTTTCCAAAAGGCAACGGCTTGGAGACAAAATGGGTTTCGCCCCCTCCATCCTATCATACGTTGTTCAATGACAACTATGCCAACAATTACTGGTACGAGAACAACGGCGTCAACAAAAAGCAAGCTTTCTCAATGACGCCCGGAATCATTGGAAGCAAAGGGAGCCTCGTTCCCTACAAAACTTCGATTTTCCTGTTTCAGTTTACCAAATAAATTTTTTTAGAGCGTGTTTTACTCGTTTACGATTGTATAGTTAGTGGGATGTTGTTTTTGCGTAATATAACGTTGTGCTCTGAATTGTCTGCGTTGTTTTAATTGCTCTTTTTCTAGTAATTAATTACGAAATTATTACTGCAACAATGAAATTTTATATTATATTGTAATATAAAGAATGCCGTATAAATATTTTGAGTGTTAACTAGGCTCAACAAGAATAAATATTGATAGAAAAAATAGGGTTCAATTGGAAAAAAAATGCAAGTTATCACATCAAGTTTTCGAATGAGATGATCTTGTACTCTTTACCTTTCTAAATCGATGATAAGTGAGGTTAAATAACTGTCTAGTAACAGCAGATGAAGGCAGTGCCATAAAAGTTTGAAACGGTAGGTTACAGAACTCTAAAAATATGATACTGAGCATTCAGAATTCATTTCAAACCAATTATGACAATGTTTTGCAGATGCATCATGCTAACATCAACTGTAATCGCCTTCTAGCTAATCCTATTTCAAAAAAATGACACTCGACCATCTAGCACTTTTTCAGAATTCAAAAAATAGTGACAATGGCGCGTTTTTACGTAAACGATAACCTAAAGTAAATCATGAAATTTTCTTTGACTATTTTCAAAAGAATTAAAGCAATAAAGCGTAGCACAATACTAATAATAAAATAATTGGGATCCCCGTAACTCGTGTGATGATATTGGAGAAACTGTGAGCAGTGGTACATAAATGAAACTACTATTCTAACTTGTTTTTATTACTCCTACTCTAAACACAATACTGAATAAAATAGAAATAAAGCGGGATATAATTTCACTATTATTATGGAGAAACTGTGGACAATAGTAAATAGATAAACTAGTTTTCTAACTAACCAAAACAATAAACATAGTGCCGTTACTAGTTAAAGAAAAACCAGGAAAAGTTAAAAATGTTTTGGTTACCCTAATATTTATTAAGCTGAAATTAAGGGGGATGTAATTACACTAAATACACTTAGCAACAGTCTTTTCATTCAATTAGTTATTGACAATTATCATAACAGCTAGTATTTGACATAGAAAATAATAAAATAATATTTATTATTGAAATATATTTAATTTATAACTATTTAAAGCTGCATTGAACAAATTGCATATTTGTGTAACAAGGTGTTATAAGCCGATAATTACTTTCCGCTCTTGCATTAGAAAGCGTCATTTTATAATATATAATGTTATACGGGCTGGGCCTGGTCTTGTCTGCGACCAATAAACATTCGGCACACATCGCGAGAAGGTGCTACGATTTATAAAAGAGAAAGAGGACTTGATAGAGTAGGATGCAGCTTGAGTGCTTAGCCTATGTATTAGTGGTCTCTCAGCATCCACCTTGGTCAATATTGAAATGGAAATGGAAATGGAAAATGGAAATTTGATTGAAATATTCAACGTTGACCCTGTTGTTCAGATAAAGTAATCATTTAAAAATAAAAATACTTTCGTCTGTTTTGTAACCACTTGAACATGCGCGTGCATTAGATTGATATCACGAAACGAGTCCTATTGTAATATTATTGGTCAGTGGGGTACGTTCGTTAGAGCTTTTTTATTAAACTGGACGTGTGCCAGGAATGGCGCCTGTCTTACGTTTCGTTACATTTATAAAAACGAATCGCATTATTCACATCAGTTTTGAGTATTTCCCAGTCGATCGATTATCCGTTACGTTTTCCGACAATTTAATCCTCGACATAAGATTTATAAATCTGATACGATTCTTAATTCTTATCTTATCAACAATATTTCGACTAAGACAATATCTATGACAATTCCCCAAGACGATATTCGATTGCAAATAGTTCCGACTTTGGTTGCGACAGCCTTTGTCCGATAAACGTCGCGTTTAAAACAATCTCAAAGTAATTCTACGGGAATACGAAGAATTTAAGCTTCGCCGTCAAAGATATGTGGCAAAATTTCAGCTCCGACGATGACGATGAGGAATTCGATGATGAAGATATTCTGTTGGATTCTTTGGACAGGTAAGTCGCTCTTCAAAATGTAATGTGAAATTTTCATCATTTTGTTTACACCGTTCCATATTTTTTCAGAAAAGGAGAAGAAGTCAAACCGTGGGATACGTTTCAAATAATTCACAGAAAGAATAAACAGGGTTCTGCTGCCGAAGCGAAATGGATAGATAACGGCGTGAAAGTGTTAAAACTCGCAACTATCGTGCTAGTATTTATTACGGTACTTGGTTCAGCTGTCGTGTCTAAAGGGACGATACTTTTTATGGCATCACAAGTGAAGAAAAACATTACCAGAGCGTACTGTAATCAAAAATTAGGTAAGTAACAACAACATTATTTCGACAGTATTTATTTATTGGGCACGAGCGGAGCGAGCGTTTAATAAATGAGTGACTTAAACAGTTTACCGAACGTGTTGCATACTATACTTTTTTCTACGACCGTTAGTTTTTGGGTGCATTTTGGCAAAACACGAATACATTCACTGACATAACGTCAGAATTGACAAAGGTCAAAATTCATGGGGCGGGAAATGTCCCCGAAAACATCCGATTGTTCCCAAACCCGTGCGGTAAAAATCCGGGAAATGTTCGAAGTGGTTTGGATCCGTAAGAAACGGAACCGACATGGTAAAGTGACGCTTGGTGTTTAATTACAGATCCGAGTAGAAAAAACTTTTTTAGTCACTCGTTTATTAAACACTCGTGAGTCAAATGCTATTTACCGCGCTTGTAGCATAATATACTATTTTCTACTTCCTTCTGCGGACATACCCGGAATATTACCGCTCCGAAATTGAATTGGTTGGCTTGAATTTTGACGTTTGTCAATTCTGACTGTCATGTCAGTGACTGGTCGTGTTGTTTTGAAAAAAATCATCCAAAAACTAACGGTCGTAGAAATAGTATAATATGCAACACGTTTGTTAAAGTTTTTAAGTCAGAGTTTATTTGGCACGAGCGGAGCGAGTGTTTAATAAACGAACCCGTGCGGCAATACACCGAGAATATCGGAAGTGGCTCGGATTCGTGGGAAACGAAACTGACATGGTGAAATGACACTTTCCGTATGCTAGATAGGTGTTTAATTAGGTATTTTGCAGAAAGGAGTAGATTTTTTTTATCGAAATGATTGATTCACCTCATAAAGGTTTTCGCTAATATAACAAAATAATGTTAATAAAAAAACTTAAAGATCGCTTGGAGGCAGAGAAAGAGGCTGAAGTATTCCTTTGCTTTGACTGTTTTGTTTATTATATTAGAATAACATTTCATGTAATAAGTTCAGTAATTTGTTTTTTTCCGTACATTGGATATATTAGTGTTGCAAAGTTTTAATAAACTTAATTCTCCGTAGACAGGAACAGTTCGTGTTGTTTGCTTTTATAACATTGTTATAAAAATTTCCGGGTTCTGCTCAATTCCCCAATTCATTTCTTTCCTGACCTTAAGGCTCTTAAAGTGATAGATACGTAGAACACATTTTCCATGCTACTCTGTAGCTCTGTCGAATCCATTATATGTTGATCGGCCTCAGTATCCGGAATTCGTATAATTTTGTTTTAAACAAACCTTTTCAAATAAGTTCAACTTACAATAATAATAAATCTTGAAATTATATTTTTCAAAATGTATTTTTTGATTTATTACCTAAGAATTTCCTTATTATTTTGGGTATTCAGCAACTAAGCGTGAATGTGAATTAAAATAAGCGGATAAAACACCATTCAATATTTTTGAGTTAGAAAGTCAGTGTTTCCTATTGAAAAACCACGATCGGTCTGACACCGTCTTCTTCTTTTGGAAATTTCTAAAAAAGATAACCAGTAATAATATCGAATAAACAAGATAATTTTTCTAAAAAATGTCACTCTTAATTAAATTAGAAATAAGTTTGAATTGATATAGCCCAATGTTTTTCTATTCTTTTATAAAATTTGCTATATTTTTTCTCTATCAGGCAAAATCACTATATAAAGCATGCCATATTATATGGTTTCCGAAATCATTATTATGCATTCATTTTTTATGACGAAAAAGTAAGTCTCTGATTCAAAAACGTCAGTAAACGGAGTTTGACATGCGTTTTAATTTAGGTTAAAAATGTTTATCAACTTACACACACACACACACACACACACACACACACACACACACACACACACACACACACACACACACACACACACACATGTTCTTTATCGTAGCAGAAGAAATATATTAACATTGAACGAAATAATAAATGCTTTGAGATTCGAGATATTATCTACATCAACTACTAAATTTTAACCAATCTTGTTTTAACAAATTTTAATGAACAACATTTTAAGATTTCCATTTGGTTTGAGATGCAAAATAAGTGCTTTCCCTGTACAACAATGTGCGTTTTCAGATGTCCAAAGACAATACATCGTAACGATACCAGATAACGAGAGGGCCGCCTGGATTTGGTTGATAATCTTCACGTACTTCGTGCCAGAACTATCCACTTTCGTGAGATCCTTGCGGATTTGTCTCTTCAAAACCTGGACGGTGCCCCGTCCCATGTACTTTTTCTCTCTTGTATTAACGGAGACACTTCCTGCAATAGGAAGCGCTTTGTTAATTTTTGCTGTACTACCAGATATGGATGTCATCAAGGCCGCCATGTTAACAAATGCCGTTTGCATTATACCGGCAATAGGTGAGTTGCACAAAATAAGATTCCTGAAAGAGTGTTTCCAATAAAAAATAAATTCAAATAAAAAAATTCGCAAAAATATATCTGTAAATTCATCAGTTTAGACAATTTTCTTTGTAAATGGTAGAAATTTCAAAACGGAACATAAATGATAAAATTATCTATCTATATTGTTTTTAATTTTTTAGCCGGTAAAGCTTTCGACTTAAAACTACAAAAGAGTTTATTTTTAATGACTAATTTTTACCATCACATTCATATTTATGTACGAATCTCATTTTGATTTATGGTATCATCTGTAGCTCTGTATTCAGTGAGCTCGAAAGGAATATTATTCTTTAGAGTTAAACAAATGATTAATTTCCAGCTCATAGCAGTTCCGAGGGTAAATTAAAAAGCTCTAACATTTTTTTTTTAGTTATTGATATAATATATTAGAATAATGTAACGGAAGTCTCATAAGAAAATAATACTAAATAATAATAAATCAGTAAATAAATTATGCATTGTGAAAAGGGTCAAGTATGGATCTCTAAAAAACAAATATTTTAGTTTTTACTATAATGGATAAATAAATAATGTTTTTCTTATTTTCGGTCGATTTACACCTTCTAGAACTCACTTATTATTTGCAGGTATGCTTTTAAAACATTTGAAGTGGCCGAAAATGGATGATTGCTTCACTATGCTCATAGACTTAGTTGCGATTGTTGCGCAACTATCTGCATTGTTGCTATGGCCGCTACTAGAAAATAGACCAGATTATTGGCCCATTTCAGCAGCATTAGCATTTATTTCCTTCGGATGGTGGGAAAATTTCATTCCAATTAATACTTCTTTGAAATGTCTAACCCGAACGGCTCAAGAACGAAAGGAATTTCCGAACAGCAAATATTTCTGTTACACTTTCATTTCCGTGTGGAAATGTTTAGTATTTTTCGCGACTACCCTCGCTATATTGTATATCAGGGAAGGAGACGTTACTTTTTTGTTCGAGAAGTTCCAGGAAGCATTTTCCTCAAGGTTTCTAAGGATTGTAGAGGTAAATATGGATAATAAGGTACGATAAATGTAAAAGCACGTTTACGCAGGTGCAACCAAGCGTGAGCAGGTCTGACTCGAAATACTCAGAAGCTGTGAGTACAGGGAATTCAGAGATAATCGAAACTAATGTCTGGGATCAGTGGATCGTATGGTTTATCAACATAGGAGCTACTTATATATGTTACGCCTCCGCAAAGTTTGCTTCTAAGGTCATGATTCAAGGTCAGTTGATAGCGCGGTCCAATAACGAGACAGGGTGTCATCGTTGCGACAAATGGATATTGAATTTTATTTCTTGCGAGCTGAAATGTTGAACATTGCCAACAATTTCCTGCAGAACCGGCATCCAAGAGAAACCACGAAAAAAAAACGTACAATTCGTTTTTCGTGGTGTCCTAAGATATACACATTGCGAAATCAAAAAACAAAAATTTTGAATAAATGATCATTGTTCTTTTGATGATATGTTGAACTAAGCGTGAACAAACTGAAGAACTATTGCTGACTTCCTTAATATTAAATTAATGAAGTTGTAGCATTTTCCTTATCATTAAAGTGATTCTGATTTATTTCAAAAAGTATGTATTTTTTGAAAATTAAATATGTACATATATTGACTTTTTTCAGAAACCAAATGAACCTGTTAAAATTATCTAATTTTCGTTGAAATTTGAGGTAATTGTCAACTAAGGCAACTTAAGGCTACTTATTGTCAAGTTTACATTTACAAATTTTTTTTTAGCGAGCCCGAAGGATAGGCAATCCAAGAATTAATGTAAACTTTTGCATAAATTGGTGGACAAATATACCACTGTCTCATCTCATTTCTTGAAAGAACCACTTGAGTCTTAAAAAAAAATTAATGAAAACTTAAATTGACATTTCGATATTTTAGGGGCCAGCTTCGCATTTCCCGTATGCCTGTCTGTTCCGGTACTCATTTCTGGATTGGTGGCTATGTGTGGCATTTACACCAAAGACGAGTGTGCATACACCAACGTGATTCCGCCATATTTGTTCTTCAACACACTTCCGCTCACCTACTTAAGAGACTTTGTCGGTCACCACCATACGTGGTTATGGTTGCTGTGGCTTTTATCGCAAGTGTGGATCACGCAACATATCTGGTTCAACCGGAATAAGGTACTGTCCACTACCGAAAAACTGTTTATGAGGCCGATGTACGACGCGTTCCTGATCGACCAATCGATCGCTTTGAATAGGAGAGTTTTGGTGGAAGAGGTTGAAAAACATACCCGTGAGTAAATGAATAGTGTCGCGTCTAATGAAATGATGAAATAACATTTGGTTTAGATAAAACCGAGTCGGATGCAGTAAAAGAGGACAGCGTCACTAAAATTTACGCATGCGGAACCATGTGGCACGAAACCAAAGAAGAAATGATGGAATTTCTGAAATCCATTTTGAGAGTTGACGAAGATCAATGCGCGCAACGAATAGTTCGCAAGCATTTTGAGTACGAGCGGGACGACTACTACGAGTGGGAAAGTAAGTGACAGGAAACGGATTGCTTATCTTGGTTTTTCATTTCGCCAATTTAGCAGTGGACTAGACTTTGGACAAGTTTTTGCTTTCATTATTTTTCAAGTCAATTCAAATTTAAACATTTATTTCGCTGATTTTTAATAAATGATTGGGTGAGTTTCGGGCCTATACAGAATGGGCCAGTCAAGAGCAGGTTAGTATTTTGAGAGAATAACAAGAAGCAATAGTCATATCAGCGATAGAGTTTTTAAAAAATCTTTTAAAATATGTTATAGTCTGATAGATAGATAAACGTATTTTATTGTCATTCCATTTTGAAGATAAAGAATGGTTACATTATGCGTGGGTTACTTAAAAAGTCTCTGACCTCACTCTGAAGATGACGGCACCAGGTATTCAAAGCTAGAGATCGTGCATCTCTTGATGGTTACTTACCAAAGCTCCAGCATTTTGGACTCGTGGATTTTAGCAGAGACTCATTTGAGTGAGTCGATCTGAGTGTTTTAGTAAGAATGGAAAAAATAGAGGCGTGAACATTGTGTTGGATCACTGATCCCATATTGGTGACAGATAAAGACCTGAGTCGCGGTTAAGGTTGTTTGGTTGCTTATAGATTTCTATAGATTCTCGTATTTCTCGTTGGTTGGTTTTATCGAATAAAATTTTATGTCCGGTTTCGTGATTGTGTTCGGCAACAGCTGATGAGTTTATTTGTCTCAGTCTTAAGGCTCCTTCATGTTCTTTGAGTTTGAGTTTGAGTTCTTACTTGAATTTTGTATTTATCCTTAATTTAATATTCCAAAGCCTGAACGCATAGCTCTAAAATCTCTAAAATCTAATCCCGACCATGTAATTCTAAAAGCAGATATATATCAGGAAAAGATTTGAAATATTCTTACAGATCCTATCTTCCATTTTAAAAAATCCAACTTCATCTAAGGAACGCAAACTTAAATTTGTTATTAAAGCTTCTTTTCAATCAGAACCCGTGAAAAAGTCTGTCACCCTTTATATCTCTAAAATATTTCGTCTCTACGGCTTCATAAGATTCAAAAACCAGGATTACCGCTTTGACCTTCTATCAGCACAATTGGTTAGTTTTGGTTAGTTTCGGTTCGATAAGGCTAATCTAATTTTACAATAATTTGGTAAAGTGGTTAAAATATACTATATATAAATTAAGTAATAGTATTTCCATATAAATTGTTTCTCAGAAAATATAAACAATTCAAAAACATTAGAAAAAAAATAGATATAATTGCAAAGCTCTTGAAATTGGATGTCAGAATAAGAATTATGGTAACTAATCAAACTTTACGATATGCCGCTCCAGCGCACATTTTCTTTGACGACGCGTTCGTGAGAAAGTCAAAAGATGACAACGATCCCCATCTAAACCAATACGTCATGGATCTGGTCGAGACTGTGGGTGAAGCCGCCACCGAAGTGCATCAAACAACCGTCCGTATCCGGCCACCAGTGGTTTACCCCACTCCTTACGGTGGGCGTCTCGTTTGGGTTTTGCCCGGAAAAACAAAAATGATCGCTCATCTTAAAGACAAAGCCAAAATTAGAGCGAAGAAACGTTGGTCGCAAGTCATGTATATGTATTACCTACTAGGCCACAAGTAAGCAAAATATAGAGCAAAATAAATATAAAATAAAAAATTATATTTAAAAAAAAAAGAAAAATAACAACCCGTTCCATGAAAAATGAGTTTGATAGACGTTTTCTATTTTCACTCCGGTACATGTCACCAGTGCCCGAAGTCTTAATTCACTTGATTATAAAAAAACAAACCAAATTTAATCTCGCTTTTTCACCTCAAAATAAATATAATGCTTTATTTATTATTTGTAGCAACTAACTTTTCTTTTGAATTACCCATAAACAACGAAAATAATCATTTCGAACCTTTCAGTTCTTTAAAAGGAACTTTAAGCTGAACTTTTTTTAGAATCATGGATAACGACGAACTGACCGCCGAAAGAGTTAAAACGATATCCAAAAATACTTTCATTTTGGCGCTCGATGGAGATATCGATTTTCAACCTCAGGCGGTGCACCTCCTCGTCCAGTACATGAAGAAAAACGACGCGTTAGGTGCCGCTTGTGGTAGAATTCACCCGGTGGGTTAGTATTTATCTATATCTAAATTTTAAAAATGTGCCTTATCTATTTGTATTACACATAAAATAGGTGAAAAGAAAGATATTGCTTTGCTGTTTGAATAGATTTTTCAGCTCAATACTATAAAATTATTTACAAAGGGTTCTTAAAGTTATTTTGGTTTATTTTTTGTACTTACTTCACTTACCTACAAACGTATCTTTGCCACTTCAGGCATCTACATCTATTTCCTTTGAAATTGTAATAACTTTTATTTTGTAAACATTGTTACCCTTGCATAATATTAACGACTAAAAATGAATTCATTGAATTATTTGTAAAGTGAGATAAAGAAAAATTCAGATTTTCACGAAATTATATATTTTGACATTGTTTCGACAACACCGTGTCTTTATCAAATGTTTTCATATTTCGATAAATGGATTTTCATCATATAAAAGCCACCTCAGTTCAATTAAAGAAAAATTGTAAATAAATAATCTATGCTGGAAACAAAATAAGTATAAGGAACATTTTTAGTATCAACAAAATATTCTGTGCGATCAATGACTTCTGAGAAAAACCTTCCTCTTAAGGACTTATGATAAAAGTTGAATAGAAATGGAACACTAAGTAAGCGTTGCTCGAATCTGCGAAGAGGGCACTCTTTTCTTTAGTTGCACAAATCCGTGGACGATAGCGCTCACTACTTTAATTCACCTTGCCTTGCCTTGGCTATGTTTCGGGAAGCTTAACGAGCAATGTGGGTTGCGTGCCGCATTAATATTTGGCAATGTGCGTTAAGAAGATGATATAAATGAAATTCAAAAATTGTTAAATCCAAACTTCAAGAAATAAGGTTAAATAAAGTGCATTATTTAATATCTTTAATCAGAAACAAAAATTTGAAATAAATTACAGAGTGACCTATAAAATTAAGCAACAGCCAATCAAAAACTTTCGTATTCACACTCTCATACAGACACTCGCTTATAGGTGTAGTAAAGACTTTGACACTGATGCTTTTAAAAACATTATTACATGCATTTTATTTGCTGACTAATTTTAATTGGTCTGTTTGAGGAATTAGTTAAGTAATGAATTATTCTCTTTGGTGTACATATTATTTAATTGGATTTAATTTTTGAACACTTTGTATATTATTGTCTACAAAAGGCAGCGGTGCGATAGCTTGGTATCAAATCTTCGAATATGCCGTCGGACATTGGATGCAAAAAGCCACCGAGCACGTGATAGGATGTGTGCTTTGCAGCCCCGGTTGTTTTTCTTTATTTCGAGCCAGCGCCCTTATGGACCACAACGTCATGGCTCGATACACCACCAAGTCGGAGGAGGCCAGGCATTACGTCCAATACGATCAAGGCAATAAAATTCAAACGATTTTATTGGTTCTCCATTTAATCCACAGATTTTAGGAGAGGATCGGTGGCTGTGCACTCTATTGCTACAGAGAGGATACCGAGTGGAATACAGTGCGGCGTCCGACGCTTACACACACTGTCCCGAAGGATTTAATGAATTTTATAATCAGAGAAGACGATGGATGCCTTCCACCATGGCCAACATTATGGATCTTCTGCAAGATTCCGATCATATAGTGAAAGTCAACGACAATATTTCTAAATTCTACATCTTTTACCAGGTCTAACTTTTCTCGTTAACACCGCAGGAATTTGGTCCTAACACGAATTCGTTACAGATTATTTTGATGATCGGCACAGTTATCGGTCCAGGAACAATATTTCTGATGTTGGTTGGTGCGTTCGTTGCAGCATTTAAGCTAACTCAGTTTGCTAGTTTCTTGTGCAACATAATCCCGATTTTGATATTCGTTCTGACTTGTATTTTCTGCAAATCCGACACTCAGGTGAGATTGGATATCAAATTCTTGTACCATGCGTGATTAGTTTCGACACTCGATTATGCATTGTGCAAACGTAGAAGAATGAAAGAAAAAATAGCTGCAAATAAGTTTTTGGATTCCCATTTCAAATATTTAATATTATCCAGGGTGTCCGGTAAAGAATAGGCTAAACTTTAGTTTTGGCTAGTCAAAACATAATCAACGATGTCGAAGGCCAAAAATTTATGACAGTGAGGCAAATTTCATTTTTTCGCAGTTAACAGTCGCGGCAATTATCAGCGGTATCTACGGGTTAATCATGATGGCCGTGTTGGTGGGCATTATGATGCAAATCAACGAAGATGGCATACTGGCGCCCTCTTCCATGTTCTTTTTCTTGATGGCCGGGGAGTTCGTAGTGGCTGGCATAATTCACCCGAAAGAGTTCTACTGTTTACCGTATGGCGTCATATATTACGTTACAGTGCCTAGTATGTATATGTTGCTGGTCATATATTCGGTGTTTAACATGAACAATGTAAGTTGGGGTACGAGGGAAATCACTGTTGTAGCAAACACTACGCCGGTAAGTAACAATTTTAATTACAGAGATTTGAGAACACTGAATAATTTTTTAAAAAGTTTGGACTTATACCTCTAAGACTAATCGATGAAATGTTGGAAATCAAGAAAAGGAGATCCACAGTCTTTTTTTTTTGACATTTTGTCAATTTTATAAAATATGTAAAAAATATAACAAAAAAAAACTATGTCCAAGGATTCTGAAGTAGTGGGAATTACTAACTTCTGTAGCCCCCGCTCCAAATAAATATCAAAGTCTCGCTGCTCACCTACAAATGGCAACGTTTTGAGAAATTTCTATTACTAGTTAGGAACCTGCAATGTTGATATCTCAAGATTCTCGCAGAAAACGCAGAATCCAAAACTTATTCCTTCTACCCTCCCATTTTCGTTGTGTTCTTATGGGAAACTCCGTTAATGGTAAAGTCCAGTCAGAGCAATTGTGCAATGTCGTCATACCATGACATCTAGTTCATTGCTGGGTGTCGTAAATTGACACACGAATTTTGTTTGTCAGTTTTGGAATCCGCATCTAAATATGGTAGCAATATAGAGAAGACATATAGATAATTTTTCATTACGTCACAATTGTCACAACGTGACAATATATTCAATGCTCGCGCTAGTGTTCGAAGTGTTTTCGGAGGCCGAGCATGGATGATGCCAAGTGCGATTTTTAAAAATTGACTTGTTTTCATTAATAAGAAAGTCTTTTGGAGTTTTGGTAAAACTAGTTTGTTCTGTTAACCAACGAACGCAGGAAAAAGCAGAAGCGCAAGCTAAGAAAAAGAAACAGTCACTAATAGTGCAGTGGTTGAACTCGGCCGCAGAATTTTGTTGCCGAAGAGAAAATTCGGATCTCAAGTGGATCCAAACCTCGTTGCAACATATCGAACAAAAACTGGACTACATTGAGCGGGTGCAACTCCTACCTGAAAATGCGGAACCTAGAAAAACCACGTCGAAAAGGAAAACAACCATTATTGAAGGTATCAGTAATTAGCTATCGCTAAGTCGAATTGAACGTATCAGTTCCTACAGTAATATGAGAAAATTAGGAATACCGATTTGTCCTAATACCCAATGGTGAATTTATACACCCAATAAAACCGGTTTAATGATTTTTTTGAGGCTCAAATATCTTCCAATCCTGCGAATTCTAGGTTTTTGTTTTTGAGACCATAACATTTTTTCTAGTCATTTAGATTCTATGGACGTATCATTTTAAATATTGTCTTTCTTCTACTGACAAATCCTTTCTATCGTCTTATTTTCATTGAAATTAATGCCGATGATATTGTCATTGTCATTATTAGAACGGAATATTTCCAAGACCCTAAATTTTATCGTGTGGAACGGATACCGTATTATTACTTCGCACTATTTAAAGTAGAAGTTTAAAAATGGTGTTATTTTCTCAATAGAAAAATTCACGATTGGTTCACTTTTGTTTAATTTTGAAAATGTTGAGTTTTGGTGAATAAGAAAGATTTTTTCACAGTGATGTTTTGTCAACTTTAGGTTCTAGGGCTAGTATGTTAGGACCCAGGGTGTCTAGAATGTCAGGTCTTCCTAGGCAATCGATATTACCGAACAAATCCAAAACCGCTGCGGATTCCCAATCGGATGGATTCCAAGAAGAGGCGTACGATGAGTTCTATGAGGACGATTCGACAATTTCACAATCCGATGATTTGCAAGAAAACAGTTGGTTTTACGATGGAGAATTGATTCGAGGCCATGTTACGTATTTGGACAAGAACGAAGAGACCTTCTGGAAAGAGTTACTAGATAAATATTTGCATCCAATAGAAGATAACAAGGTAATCGCAGAGCGATCTAATACGAGGTATACATCAAACAAATTAATACGAATTTGTAGGAAAAAATCGCAGTGGACTTGAAAGACTTAAGAGATCGGATGGTAATGTCGTTCTTTATGATAAATGCGTTATTCGTTTTGGTGGTGTTCCTGCTCACGCTGCAGAAAGATTTGATCCACGTCAATTGGCCTTTTAACCCGAAAGTCAATTTTACTTACACTCTGGCCAGCACTAAAAATGAGGTAGCTATAGTTTGATTGAAATTATAACGTTGACATTTTCGCGACGTAAAATGCGCCAATTTGGGGCAGCGTCGTGTAAAGGCGTTTTTACTGTCAAGATTGGAGATATGGCAAAAGATACCAACATTAATTTGTTACTTATTGGTCATACTACATTATTGCAGTTCTGAATGGAATCCTTTATTTAGTGTTTATATTATACTATAGGGCAGGCTTTAACTATTGATTTTTAGTTGGAAATGGATTGTCCTAATGAAGCAAATTTTGTTATAAATAAATACGTATATATAAATTTTCAAGCCTAACCTGCATTGACTTTTGGCGGTTTGATTTTGTGCTTATACTTAATATATCACCGAAAATTATTAATAATGATAGTAATAGTAATTAACGAATAACAGAAGAAGTTTAAATTTAAAATTGTGAAAAAGGGAGTAGTTTTTATAAATATTTACTTTTAAAATTTAAAGCAGTACCCAAATCTAATATAGTAATGCAGTAATATCGATAAATAGTACTCCAAATTCCTATGTTTTAGATTATTGTTTCAAAAACGTATTTGGAACTGGAACCCATCGGTTTCGTCTTTCTTATATTTTTCTTCTTCCTGATGCTAATCCAATTCGGGTGCATGTTCGTTCACAGATGGGCGACGTTCTCACAGATTTTAGCCAACACCGATCTGGACCTGAGCCTCTTCGAAACAAGCGTAAGCGACATAATATCTAATAATGTAATGGGGCAGAAAGTTTTTTTCAGATTGAAAACTTAACGGCTGATGAACTATTTGCCAAAGATCCGCTAAAAACAGTCCGAAAACTGATCAAGCTGAAAGGCATTAACGGCGACGACCAGGAAAAAAATTCGGAACAGCCGGTGTCCAGAAGAAATACCGTAGCCGAATTGGTAAGAAATAGGCAAAACAGGATCGCCAAAATTAATTGTTTGTACAAAGCGTTCGCAATCAGAATGGCCAAAATAAACAGAGGTGAAACGAGTAAGTTTTTTTTTAACACTAACTCTCGCGAACCTAAATTGCTCATGGGTTTTTTTAGGCGACACTCAAGTGCCGAAGAAAATGCTTTCGGCTATACAACGTAGAAGAACGACCATCATGCGGAGAAAATCACAGATGCCACGGCCAGATCCGACCAGAGACGACAGAGATATACTTAAAACCAACAATGGTGGAATGGCAAATGACTATCAGTTTGACAATCCAGCGTATGAGGGGGACAGTCAAACATAAAAATAGTTTAATGAATTCCTATAGGAAGTGAAATAATATTTGACTCAAACTAGCTGTGTTATTTTTCGAAGGCATAAAAAAGTAATAAATATTAAAACAATAATTCGTAACTGACATTCATAATCAATAAACTTGATGGATTTACTTAGAAACCCCATTCAACTGTAAACGGCTCCATACCAGGTGTGAACGAGATTATTGGCCATCTCAAAAGATATATTTTTAAATCCCCTATATACAGTTAAGTCGTCACCATATGGGAAAACTTTTATTCTCAATTTTTTGAAAATAAGGCGTCCCTTTTAAAAAGCTTTTTTCTAAAGCAAAGAATTTGTTGAGCTGAACTTAGTATTATGCAAGAAGTGCGGTAAACGGCATTTGACTCACGAGTTTATTTGACCCGAGCGGAGCGCCGTATTTAATAAACGAGTGACTTAAAAATATTACCGAACGTGTTGCATACTTTACTTTTCCTACGGCCGTTAGTTTTTGAATATATTTTCGCAAAACAACACGAATATATTCACTGACATGACCATCACAATTGACAAACGTCAAAATTCAAAGCGTGGGAAATATCTCCGAAAACATCCGATTGCTCCTAAACGCGTGCGCTAAATTCCCGGAAATATCCGAAGTGGCTCGGATCCGTGGGGAACGTGGAAAAGTGACGCTTCCCGTATGCTAGATCGGTGTGTAATTAGGTATTTTACAGACGGGAGTGGAAAAACATTTTTTTCTACTCCATTCAGTAATTGCGTAATCATATAACGATCTAGGGAGTGAAAAGTATCATTTTACCATGTCAGTTTCGTTTCCCAGAGATCCGAGCCACTTCGGACATTTCCGGGATATTACCGCACCTGTTTGGAAGCAATCGGATATTTTCGGAGATTTTACTACGTTTGAATTGAATTTGAATTTTGACGTTTATCAATTCTGACGGTTATGTCAGTGTATGTTTTGCAAAAATGTACCCAAAAACTAACGACCGTAGGAAAAGTATAATATGCAACACGTTTGGTAAACTTTTTAAGTCACTCGATTGTTATAATATACTATTTTTCTACAAGAGCATACTATTGATATTTTTGAACATATTGACAACTGTTAGTAAGAAAAGTTGTTAATTAAAAACTTTTGCAGGATTTTCAATATTGTCCATCTGCCTTACAATTATGTAAATTTTTCTAATGTTCTATTACATTTGAATAGTTAAACATCACGAATACCGAATACCGAAATCGGATGCAATCAAGTTTTGACAAAGCCGCTTTAGTTAAGAATTTGATTTGGCACGAGCGGAAACCAAGGAAGCGAATGTTAGACCATAATTTTTGCATTAAATTTTTGTAAAACAGCAGGAATGCATTCACCGAATGATCTGAGACGTGGCTATCAAAATTGACAGATATCCAAATTGCATCCGTGGCTAAAATCTTCGGAAAACATCGAATCGAAAGTACCGGAAACGTTCGAACTATCTCGCCACAGTACCTACCGAAGCTGAAGTCCTAAAGTAACACTTTGCGCACGCCTGGTCAGTGCATAACTTGGGCATTCTAGGGTAGGGAGTAGAAAAAAATCAATATTTTTGATTGGGTTAGTTAGTGACAAACAAAAACTTGTCGTTCGAGCAATCGTGTTTATTTCTAGATTAACAAGCATGTGCATCGAACATAGTATAATAGATGGACTTTACAAATTCATCAAATTTAAGTAAGAATAGGAGGTTTTAGTCAGCTGAAAGAAAATATTTTCGTAATTTCTACCTCTTCCCTTCGACGAAAAACTTACGTTTACAAAAAAGTCATAGTTGTGTTCGCCGCAGGGAATCGCTTCCAAAATAACTGGTTTCTGAGACCTCAAAATGACAATCTCAATGGTTTTTTTAATGGAGGCACTATCGATGTTATACCAGTTTGAAAAATACGCAGCTTCCCCGACAGCGCCCAGCTCAAAAAAAAAACAAATTAGGGATCTTTCCAAAAATCCGTCAACTTGTGATCACCATATCGCGAAAAGTTTGTCCTGCCCGACACATCAGGAAAATTCCGGATATCCAACCGCCGACGTGCGTAACGGCTCCCAAATTATAAGTTGTTAGCAGTTGGGTTAGAATGCATGCAATCACAACCGTTGCGGTTATAGAAACATGCATAATACATCGTTTAAATGCACCGTTAAAGGCCTCGGCGATACTGCAACAGTCAATGACGTGATTTCCAAAGGAACCGCACCCACAACCCTACGAACATGGCCACTGCATTGTGTTCGTTCCAACGTCAAAGTACAAACAGCAAATGTTTTGCGATTATAAAAATTGAGGCATGAGTAACAACGTTAAGAAAATACCGTTTCTAGGAATCGTTCAATCATTTACCTGGATGGGACATAGTTTGACACTCATAACACTCCATCCAAAGAATGGTTCGATTCGGAATGTGTGGCAACTAAGTCTAATAAGAGTAAGCATACAAACAATTTTACATGCCAGGTCATAAAACGGTCGGCTCCCCAACGCGTTATAAAAAAAAACTGAACATTTAGGAATTTTAAACGCATTACGTTCTAACTGTTACTTTTTTACTTAAAATTTCTAAGCTTTTAAAACTAGACTTTTAAAAAAAAGGTTATGCATATTATTCATTTATTTTACCATAAAAATAGAAGCCTGAAATGATTTAACTTCAACTTCAAGGAGTCAAGAACTAGAAAAAAATACAAATTTTCCGTTTCACGGTACTGACAAAATAAATTTGAGTTCTAAAATAACATAAACTCTTTGCACTCTTTGCATTTTTTTTCATTTGATCATAGAAATAGGAATTTGTAGTTGAATTTTAGAAATGCACATGACATTTATCTGATATATTGTAGGTTCCTTCTAAATGACAAATTATATTATTTAAAAAATATAATGAAATATGTTCATCAACTAATTAATAAAAAGAATTCATTATTAGAATATTACCAGTGGGAACAAACAATATAAGAAATAAAAAATCGCACTTAAAACAGAATCACCTACATGTGTGTGAATGCTTAGCAGAGGAAACGGACATGCGGTGTTACCGCTTCCACCATATGATTGTGTCCTGTGTATTGTGCATTAGGTAACAATTTTTTTTCCCACTTTAAGTGCTAATGTTGTAGTCAATTGTTGAATTATTTTTCTTTGTTGTTTAATAAGTTTTAATTAATTTAGTTGTCAATTGTATTATTTACATATGAAACTTACTTTAACAACTCGATCTGATATTCGACACAAAAACTCAACCTGTTGGCCAATGTTTGATGGTCTTCGTCGGGGTCATCGAATAAGACGAGAAACATATGCGCGCAGTGCTTGACTCTTGTCTTCAATAGGTCCACGGCTTCCGAAGGAAAAATAATTAAAATTGCAGACTGTGGGCTGTATAGCAATATCGACGCCACTTGTATTACATTTAAGATGATTTTTTCCATCGTAGTTAGTTCCCGAGGCCAGTAAAACGGTGCCACCGTCCCTAGTTGCATGAGAAAAAGGGTTCTAGATTTTCAAAAATGTGTATGACCTCCAAAATGCAAATGCACTTTTATATTAATTGTTATCGACGTTTTTATTTAAAATTTGACAAAGCAGGGTTAACCGAGAGTGCTCAAACCCCCCATCCCGCAAAATTTAATGAAAAATCGTACGAAGCCTTCAGTTTTACAAAACCTCAAATTTAGTCACAATGAGGATTTCACTGCATAACTCAAGTACGCCTTGATAATTTGTCAATTCAGTAAATTTTTAATCAAAACCTAGTCGAGTGTGCCGTCATTTATTTATATTAAATTTTTATGAAGGTCTACCCGCGGGCCTACTTCGTTTGAGTTTCTCTTTGTAACCTTCAATATTTATTGAGATTATTTGTATTTATTGAGTTTATTTAGATTAAAATTGCAATGGTGGAAGACGGACAACTTTGAATCCCCGGTCCATGGCCAACTTGTCCACATTATACTTCTTATCAAAAGTTCAAGTGTTCCAATAATCGATTCTTTGTGCAGAAAGTTTCAAAATATATATTATTTTCAAGCAAAACATTTTTGAATGACTTCTTTAGTCCATGATAAAGTCGGTATATTTTCCGCTTGTGCAGAAATGCTAGTTGGCGTTGTCCATCACGACAACACTGTTATAAATGGCACACTGAGTTATATAAATATAAATAACTCCAAAGCTTCAACGGCTAACAAAATACAGTTTCATAAAAATGACAGCATACTCCGATTTTACCAAGCCCCACAAATCAATCATAAGATTTTTTATTGCCTTTCTAGAAAAATATTTTAGAGTAATTATGTTAAATACTTAAATTGAAAATCAGTTTAAGCTTTTCAATGTATTTTTAATATAGGAGATCAACCTATCTAATGGGCAAATTCAACTTGAAATCGAGTTAATTCAAGCAGGGACTGGTTTAGGAAGATTTATACAAAGCACACTAATATAAATTAATATAACAGTTCAATCAAAGAAAATTTCCCTACTCTTAAAATAAATCAGTCCACACGGCACAGTTCATTTCTGCTAGTATCTTAAATTCGGCCCTAGCTTGTGAAGTCTTAAAGTTATTCCGAAGTCAAGACCATAAAAGGCTGTAAAAACGGTATATCCTTTGGAGAACTCTAATGCCTTTGTGTACAAAAAACCCACATCAACACCTGAACGCATCATCCAGTCACTCAGCAACAACCAAACGTGGAATAATCCAATCACCATACAAAAGACCAAAGACTATCAGCAGCAACCAACCAGCTCTACTTAACGACGAAGTTGAACGAATTAAAGAAGATCTAATGCAGAACGATTATTCCATCAAGAGACTTTTTGGAGACGTAATTACTAAATCCCAATACCAAGCCAAGCCAAGCATATAAATCGGAGGCCAGCCAAAACCAACTAATGACCATTCCCTATGTTAATGGAGTTTTCGAAAACATCAGGAGAATTGCAACAAAATACAACGTCAAGACCGCCTTTCGTTGTGGGCAAACTATCAGAAGTTTAATAATAAAAACAAAACCAAAGAACATCACAGACAATAAAAACTGTACATATGAAGTGTCCTGCGAGTGTGAAAATCTTAAGTAGACGAAACGAAGCGACCACTGGATGTAAGATTAGCACAACACAAGAAACACCCAACGTGAAGAAACAAATATAGATATCTGGTCTCGCAGAGCACACTTGGACTGAACAATATAGAATCAAATGGACAGACGCCCAAATTCTACAAAAGCAAACCCACTCGAAGAAGAAAAAGTTCATAGAAGCTGCCTTTATCCTACGCAACATCTTTAGTCATTCAAGCGTAGAAATCCCAGCGCTGTGGCAACCTCCACTATCACGCATCAGGAACCTTGCTTGACCTGCCCCACCCGTCAACGTTCCCCAACCGATGACGTGCTTCCTCGCCACCTGACAACGTATAAATGTGCTTCGATCATAGCTCTAAGTTTCATAACGGCTAGTGGTATTCTCTAGCCTAAACGGAGTGTTAAGAACGTTTTTAGATGTCTTAATTATCGTTTATTTTTTTATAAAATGTCTAAATTTGTACATGTAAATAATAATAATGTTAAAACTCAAACAACAAGCTAAATGTGCGGCTGGTGGTTCTATTCACACGTTTCGGACCAAGACGCTTGAAAATGTCGATATTAAAAGTGCCAGAATAATACAAAATTGGGGTTAGCAAGACCACAAATTTCGTATTTCATAGACTTATACAAGATTGTGAGTTAAAATATCGCAAATATTATTAAGACCTATCTGGATAGCTTACGAGGAATAAACAAACCTAGTACAAAGTAAAACAATATTTTTATCATATTTTAATAGTATATTATGCAACTGGCCATTTTAGTCAGCAGTTTGATTTGTCACGCGTGGACTGATTCCTTAGTAAACGAGTGACTGAAGAAGTTTATCAAAGTCTTTTTCTACTACATTATTGAAAAACAGCACGAATCCATTCACTGAATGAACCGTAAACATTGACAAGCGAAGAAAACATCTTATCGGTGACTAATGAACCGGAAACATGCAAGCTTACTCGCGAACATAGCTAACGAAGTTGAGGTTTTAAAGCGACACTTTACGCACGCTTGACCTGTGCAAAATTTGGTAGTTTAAAGTAGGAAGCAGAAAAAGCAGAAATATTTGGAATTAATAAATAGGTAACCTGTCAAGATTTGACAATTACTGGAATTTTTTTTTGGAGTCACATTTTATAAAATTTCTCCAATCGGAGATACATTACCACAGATTTCATTACGTCCTTCGCGATTAAGTTTTTCGCAATTCGCGGTGTCCGTGAGTTCTATGAAGCAATACAGGCTTGTTCCTAAGTATCCATATACATAAATGATGATCGAATACAAATTGTACCGTTTCACCATTTTTTCATAGGTCGGTGGCGTGCCAAATTTTCGGAAATCCAGAAGTCTCCTTAAAAGTTGACATATTATTAACATTTGTGGTTAACCTCACTAACTCCGATTCATATGAAAATTTATTTATTATGAATATTCATTTAAATTGGAAAAATGTGACAGGGTGCAGTGGAAAGTCGATTGTATTTTATTTTGTGTACATAACCAGCTCCGGAAAGGAAAAAGATCATCTTCAATGAGGACAACAGTTTAGTTTGATTTTGAATCCCCGTGAAAATAAAAAACTTAAAATTCATTAAATACATGTTATAACAGATTGTTTTGCTGGTATTTATGATTAATGGGATTAATAGATCAACATACATGGTATATTTGGTTACGATAATAACGGAAAACTTGGTCATTAAATGTTACCAAATAACATGTACAGTCATACATTGGAATATTTTAAGGCGCCTCTGAGTATAGCCATATGACTTAATTGATATTGCCATATATTTTCAGGGTAATTATTACTACCATTTATTGTGATTCCGACAACTCCTTGTAAAATGCATAATCTTACCTGAAGAAATGTGACCATTTTTTTTCATTCAATCCGATTAAAATGAGAGCAGACATCGCCCCCACATAGGCGCTACCCAAAGCGAGATCTTCCACCAAAACGTCAAAATTGTTATCTGAAAACCTCAAGTACAATTGAAGCTCAGGCAACCTTCCTGAACAGTTAATCGCCTACCCTTAAGATTGACGATGAAATGGGCCATGATAGAGATTAAATTAAATAGCGATACTAATTTGAACAAAAAGTTGTATAAGTTGTGACGTTTCCTCAAATCCAGATCGTTGGTCCGAGGCCAGTTAAACGCAAATTGAAAATGTTTTAGCGTTCTATAAAATGCCCCTTGAGGAGGTGCTTGGTACGAAGTTAAGGTCATATTTTAAGCGGTCTATTGCAACAACGGTTCGCTCACCAATGCGGTAAATAAAAAAAAACGATGAAAAACGACAGTTCATAATATATTTATTAAGTTAACACCCATTATTACTTGGAAACTATGACCTATGTGAACTTTTTCCCGCAAAAGAGTAGCTTAATTGAGTGGTTCAATAATTTTATTGATTAGGCATCAAAAACTCATATCACGTATAGCAATAATAAAAAAGTTTACTGAAAAATATTCTCCAGAATTAATAATAGTCGTTTTATATTTATGACGTCAATACCATTCATAAGTTTTCCATTTCCTTCGACAGTATTTCGTGAAAATATAATTTCCAGGAAAACACGAGTTCCGAATGTGAGTGTGAAAATAGGATTTTAGAAATTAAATTGCGCAAAATGCGGGTTAGCGTGTAAATTTTAGAGACATTCGCGGAAGATTGAATGCCACCCTATATTATCTATCTATCCTATATTATCTATCTATCTAATAGCTATATATGCATATAGCTTTTTGATACTGTAGTGGCCTTACTATGATAAAACTTGATGCACCTCGGGTGACTAACCTGCACTTTGCGCCATTTTATTTCTAAACTAAGATATCCATATACACGGTTTTTGCTGTGTCGAACTCGCTCAGCAAAAACCGACGCAGGAGGAATCCAGAAGTTTTGTAAAAAGTATTACAGTAGCCCGTGGAAGTTTTTTTTGAAAAAGTGATATCCATATACTTAACGCCTTTTTTTTAATGGGATTTCGACATATTTAGAGAAAATACTGCCGCGAGGTCATTAGTTAAAAACAAAATTTTAAATCTTGCGCATATACTTGTTCAGCAGCAGATATTCGTCATACAGCTTTCGACGTACCCCTAATCGCCTTATTTTCAGATCCCACCAAAACCGTGTAAGATCCGGGCACACATCGGACTTAAATGACCGATGCTATTTAACTCCCATGTCGACTGATACATTAGTGTGAGATTCTTTAATGAGTTCATAACTTCCTCACAATACCTCAGCTTGATATTTTAGATGGTTAACAATATAGATTAGTGCAGTTTTGGATTCTATGAAAAAAAGCTTGTTAGGTTATTTTATAGGTGCCGAGCAAGTAATTTTTGAGAAAATTACAACATTAAATTTTCTAAACGAATTTCTAGCACACCAGAATCCAATATCACCATTGTATAAATGAATTTTTATTCTATTACTAGCATTTATTAATTTTAATTAATTGTGGTGTAAATTAATTTTAAACCTCTAGAAGAATTATTTCTTAGCCAATTTTAAAATTTCAAACACCACAATGAAAAAACTCAGGTCAGATGTAATCTGATTTTACCTCTCAAAAATTTTAGCATTTGATTCTGGTCAACGATAGTCAACTTTTTCTGTAATACACCATCTACTTTTAAATTCATTTTCGGATTCTACTTTTTATATTAAACATTTTCATGTAAAAATGTCGCACTTGCCTTTGGTAAAAATGACTTTTTTAAAATGGTATCAAATTGTCTCTGTAATTCATAGAATGAGGCATTTTGATAGCTACTTGTTTTTTTCAATAATACAAGCGTTTCCTCGATCACTTAGTATTTATTAACTATAAATGAACTGTATCTCACATTTGCGCTACAAAATTGTAACTGGTCTAGCAAAAACGTAGACTTCGCCGGTTTGACGTGCAACGCCCTGTTGTCACATTCACTGAAATGTCCGGCATGTTTAAGATAAACAAAATTAAAAAGCAGATTACATAATTTTGAACTCAACACTACTCAATTACCAACTTTTAGTATAAGATAACCAAACACACTTAAGTTATTATTTTTCTGTTAAACCAAATAATTACAAGGTGAGGTGCAAAGAGAGGCATGACATACCCTGGATAATGGAATCTCATTTCTTTGAATACAGTATATTCAAACTACAACTTTTGTGTTTAAGGTTTTCGATACAATCCCCCTGAAATGGGCTACCATGTGCTTGTCCGTCTGATTGCCGACCCCCGTTCGTACGACCTGGTATCATTATGAAGAAGTATTGAAAAGTTATTAAAGTTCAGAGTTTCCCTGCTAGGGTTATTATTTAATTAATAACAAATTTAATGGATGGTGGCAAAGAATTAAGATAGTTGAGAAAAAAATCTAGGTGCCCTCCGGTTCCATTTCAGATGATAAAGGTATCGTCAACATATGGAAGCGAGACCCTAAAATTTACAATGGCCGCAGAGAAGTTTGTTAGATTTGACTTGGAAAGTTTGCACATTGACGATGCCAGATTGAGGAATGAAAAACACTCCCAGGCAGAACTTCGCTACCGCTGGAGGAAGTGATGGAGCTCCTTAAGTGCTGCCTGCATAACTTTCAAGTCAAAGATAAGTTTTACACACAAGATCATGGCAGTTGTTAAACCTAGGGTCTAGCTTCGATCGTCTGAAATGGAACGTCCTTTCTCAACCATCTTAATTCTTTACGACCATTGAGAAAGAGAAGAACGGCTGCCCATCGTTATGACGCGTCTATTAGCGCCTCTCTATATAGGATACCTACACATATCGGACATTATTTAAATTTCGAGTCTAACCATTCTGGAACAACCAAACTAGAAATCATCCAAAAAGTCTACACAACAGCACAACGATGTGAGGTATATAATCTCTTCCCATCCCATATGTGGAGGGAATCTCAAAAAAGATAAGTCGCATAGCAAAACACACCAAAGTTAAGACTGTATTCAGATCCGGGACGACATTAATGAGCGTACTTTCAAGAACAAAGCCAGAAACATCGACTCAAAAGAACGAGTATATCTATTAAATACCCTGTGAATGTGGAGAGTCATATATTGGAGAAACAAAAAGACCTCTAAATGTTAGAGTTGAAGAACATCGGAAACACACAATGAAATGAAGTGAAATCCAAACGTCAGGAATTGCGGACCATGTATACAACAAACAACACCACCACCATCGGTCCGAAGCCCGGGTTGTCCATAGGGAACCGCATTCGAAACAGCGCAAGTTTAAAAAATCTGTATTCATTGAAAACAATGGAAACAAACATCTTTGGCAATACAAGCGTGGAAATACCTGCAATCTGGCGACCCTTAATAAACCGTTAGAATTAAAATTAGTCTACACTCGATAACAGGTGATACATCTCTTGGTATATACAATTCGCTTTTATAAAAGCTCTAGGATCAAGAGCGCCTTAGTATTCAATGAAACTTCCAGTCCAGTCCAAAAATGAAAACTGCAACATCTGTTTCATCGCGTACCAACGTCCGTTTAAGAACGTAAAACACGATCGTTTATTACGGAGATTGGCGTGGATGATAAGGACATCAGGATAATCAAGCATTTCTACTGGAATGAGTCAGCTGAAATCAAAATTTCTAGCGACCTTCTGAAAGATTTCTTCAAAGTCACAAACCGAGTTAGGCAGGGCTCTATATTATCACCGATACTCTTTAATATCTAGACAAAATATTTGGAACAATAAATGGAAGGCCTATTAAGAATATTCGTTATGCAGATGACACTGTTATAACGGCGTATAAATTCGAGGATCTGCAGTTTCTGTTGGACGTGCCGAATGAGACTAGTGCTTTGTATGCTGAGCATTAATATAAAGAAAACTAAAATGATGGCGGTGGGCAGATGTGTTAGGTGTAATGCGAATCTAACGCTGGATAGTAAAACAATTGAAAGAGTGGATGAATTCAGGTATCTTGGCTCTTTGATTAACAATCATTTAATTGTTGAAGTAATAAGTTTTAATTCAATAATGGTGAATTCACTAATACAAAAATGGTAGATTTTATGCACGGGCGTGCAAACGGACCTAAGAAATGGGATAATTGCGTTGTATTTTTTTTACCTAGGGAGTCGTTTATTAAGCACTCGCGACCCTGTGCTTCCGTCATGCTAAATAAACTCGTGACTTAAATTATTTTTCTAAATTTTTTTTTTCGATTTCACTTTTTTTATTTGAAAAGTAGTCATTGTAGAAGAAACTAAGTTTTATAATAAACAAGGAATCAACCCCTTAAGTTTTTCGAATTTGTTTTGAAGCGCCCTATATATGAACATACATACATCCTAAATTACAATAGCAAAATGGACCGTAGTTTATCGTCGTATACATAAGTGTTAAGAACGCAAATTATTAAGTAAAAAATAACTGCCGGGAGTGAACAACGAACATTATTGTCTTGTTTCATAAATAGCTGTACAGAAAAATCTCAAGTAGTCGATAAATATTTTAGATTGTTAAAAGTCCGTATTACTATGGAGAACTATGAAAATTGCTAAAACGCTGCGTAATTATCAATCAAAATGTTATTGATGCTTATTGAACACAGCAATCTTTATCTCGACATGACGCCATTTAATTAAAGGATAGTAACAGAATTTTATGTTGTACAAATGTTAATGAATACGTACTTAAAAGGATATTTGGCACGCTGCAATCATTGATATTTTTTTATTTAAAAAGATTTGGCGTCAACGTCCTTTTACTCCATTGCTTAATGTTAAAACGAGGAGTGTGTTCCAAGCTACCTGAGTTAAATATAATAGTATAGTGACTCGGTGAATATAAATTGATCTACATCGCCAGGTCGCAAACTATTTTAATGGCAACTACCGACAAAATATTTTTGAAAATTCATTGTGCTTAATTCTTCACGTATAATAATAATCTGCGGGAAAAAGTATCTTCAGTTCTTTTAGAAGTCCTTTAAAAAAAGCATATAAGAAGGTAGTAGTCAAATCTCAACAGTCAAGGTTTTCGTATTAGGCTGATTCGTGATGTGTTTTATGTGCACATTTGGTAAATAAATCGCGCTTCGAGGAAATACTTCTTTGTTTCAGTGCATATGGTTAGTTTAGTGAGTTAGACAAATTGCAATTTTGGTTAAAGGGTCAAAAATTCGTCTTGTAATTGAACTGTTCACATTACCGACTGGCCCTCCACCTGGATCGAGAATTTGAACTACTATAAAATATGCGGCCACTGACAGCGACAAATGTGCAAAATCAATCGTCATCGGTCAGTTTTTTATCTACTTTGACGCGTTCAGTTTCATAATAATTAAAGAAAAAAAAACGATTTGATATTGAAATACACGTTTTTTAGAACGCTTTATGCAGAAGACGTATCGGCATAATTATCTAGTATACGAATTTTTAGGTTACGTTTTCAAGGTTCGGTGATGTTCATCTAAGATGCATAATCCAAGTTGTTTTGACAATTTTAAAAACCCATACATGAATCAATTTAATTCGTTTAAAAATGGCGCCAATAATTATGATGATTTTCTTATAGGTAAACTAAAAAAAATGAAACCTAGAAAAAAATTGTTTAGACCATTCATTTTTATTTCATTTTTGATGACTCATCCAGGAGAATCATAATACAAATGGCGCCCATAATAATGATCATTATCTTTTAGGTAACCTAAAAAAAAATAAACCCAGGAAAAGAAATTGTTTAGACAATTCATTTTTATTTCACTTTTGATGACTCATCCAGGATAATCATACAAATAAAACTGTGTAAATGCACCATAATGCGCACGATTCAAGCAAAATATACAAGGTACTGTCACGGCTAATAGCGTTCACGATACAAGTAATAGGCAATCGAGTTGCGACGCGACCGAGATTGAGCAGTGAATGACAGCAGCAGCGATCTCTTATACAGATGGTGAAATATTTTCTCGTTTGATTCTAATTAACGGATGAAAGTTGATGAGCGGATTAAGTGGTCTTAATATGAAAAGAAATAAAAAAAAACAGTCCAATACAAAATATTAGTTTATCTTTTTTTGTGTTTATAAAATCAAACATTACTTACATTTTTCTGCTACAGTTGATTATTTGCTGAACTACAAATAGTTTAGAGTCGGCATGAAACGCTCAACCACTAAAAATCAAAATAAAACACATGCTGGTTTGTTTATCAATAGAAGAGGAATATAAGACCATAGCGGTACCCTTCAAAATATGTGCGTCCCGTACCTCTCAGAAAGATTGTACGAATTTATTACTACTACTCATTTTCAGAAAAAAAATTCTCGCGATGCTCTATGCCTCCAGAGATTCACTCTAAAGCATTTAATGAACATTTAAAAGCAAAGCAATTTAAGCACGTGTTACAATCGATGTAAAAATCTACATAAATTAAGTACGTCACATAAAGTATCACAATATTGTCACAGAAATTAGTTTTTAAGCAAATACTGATTTTAAAGGCGTTGTATCAAAGTAATCAAATGATTTAATATTCAACATCAAATTTGTTATTTGTGGCAGGGACAACATATTTTGTATGAAGCAGATAATAGAGAACAGGCCCACAGTCAATTTAGGGACACGTATCTTATACAATGATCTCTCTTTCTCTCTCTCTATTTGATATTATACCCACTAGCAGTCTCTGGGAACTATTGCAAGGCACCTCCATTAATGAAGCTCTAATAAATGCTATCGAAAACCTTTACAGGCGAGCTGTATATCACCAACGCTTTTTAAAATTTCTGTTAAAGAAGCCTTACTATAATGGAAACAAAAATGTTCGGGAATAACAGATAGAACAGATCTCGCCTACAGTTTGCAGACGATCAGGCAGTAATAGCAGAGAATAAAGAAAATCAAGAATATATGGCACGCAAAATAAAAGAAGTCTATGAAGTTTGGGGACTGACTATGAATGAAAAACATAAAAGAATAACCGAATCAACCGAAAGAGTTAGAAATGAAAGTATTTGGGAACAAATGAGAGTTTCAAGACACAATCATGACTGACATTGAAAGAAAACAACTGATCTGGTGTCTGAACGATGGCAGATTACCTCAACAAAACAATGAATTGGATACCATACTACCGAAAAAAAAGAGAGCGTCCACAAAAAACATGGCAGGAGGGAGTCAAGAATTTCGCCTTAGTATGTACTATTGCTAAAAGTGCCTGTGTCGAGGATGCCCTTCAAATCTTATTATTTGTCTCAAATAATATGGCTAATATGGCGACACTTTACAGGACAGCCTAGATCAGGAGGAGCGTTAATTAATAGTTAAATTCCATCAAAATTTTCATCTCGCTTATTCTTTTAAAATTCATCTTTGTCGCAATCATATAGGGCACTCGACGAAAACAGTTAATCAAGATGGTGGTCAGAAAACTGGCAGAAGATTTCATGGCTGTGTGATTTTTCATTTTTTGCAAATCTGTTACATGGGGGATATAAATGTGTGGAGTCATGTGACAGGTAAAAAGTGTTCCTACTCACCTTTGCATGGACAACAGAGTTTGCAAAATATGCGCATACAAAATCTGAAAAAAAACAATAACTTAAGAAAATTAAATGGTGGATTTTGCTAAACCGATTTCTCGAAAACGTGTGAATTTTGCATTGCGCGTGGTTTTTTTTTTTTTTCGAATATTAAATCAAATATTTACCTACTTTAAAACAACACCTTATGTCTATCTACACGTTCGACAAAGACAAACGCTATTCGTACAGTTGTCATTGACAAAAGTACTGAAGAGTACATGGAAAATGTAAATGTATTGCTTGCGAAATGTTTTTTTTTAAATAAATGCTTTATTAGGTAAACAACGCTAGACCATTCCGAAACCTTCTGTTCCCTCGCTTATCGCAATAAGTAGAGCTTTTTCGAATTGTTCGTAAGAGTCGTAATCGGGCAAACAAATCTGGTTGAAACTAGAAAAAACGGAAACTTAATTGATGAACGGAATGCATCAAGTTTAAGCGCTTACCAGGTATGGGCAGTCGGTAAATTACCAAATGTTGGTGCCGCTGTAATTTGAAAACGGGGAGTCAACTCGGAAAAGCCACCCGGCGGCAACTGCGAACATCCCGTCGTAAATTGCAGCAGTCGCGCCATTTCTTCGTGCGTGAAGTTACCCACCGCAGCCCAAAACCATCCTACAACCCGTTTGAATTCCGTAGAATTTCCGTTTACCATATGATGGGCTTTAAAATCGGGAATACTGTATTGTCCAGTACCGCACAGCAGGAGCTGAAAGGCCCATTGGGGCAATGAATCGTTAAATATAGCTAATGAAAACATTCCGAGGTGTTTTCGGTCAAGACCAACTTGACTGTAACTGATCAAATATGACAGAAATGATGCAATAGAGCTTCGGTAGTACAGCATCTATTTATGTTTGGAAATTGGAAATTGGAAATTCTTGATATTTAAGATTGATATTTAACAGTAATAATAAGAACACAATAAAATTAATTAAAAAAAAAAAACAAATGTAAACATTTCTAACATATTCACTACATCTTAAAATGTGTGTGTATTGTTTGTTGTATTATTTGTTTATACATCGCAGCTTTTTTGCAAGTAGTTTATGAAAATACAATTTTAAACAAAAATGATCGGTTGGTTTTAAATGGTAAAACGGTAAGTAGGATCTATGCTATTTATTACCCATGTTTCATCGTATACTTACTTCTAACTCATTTTCATCAAAAATACTCAAAAAATTGTCTGGTATTAACTCGTTCAGACCTTTCAAGAATGCTTCGAGTTCATCCTTAATAGAGGTTGCAAGTTTATATTGCGCCAGTGCGTCTAAGTACTGCAATTTTGTAGAGTCGGTAACTTTAATTTTGGAACCATTTGGTATGAGCTCCACCTAAACATAAAATTTAGAAATGTCTTACAAATAGAAGGAGTGACTGTTATTCTTACTTTTACAATGGGTTTTCACAAGTTTTTTTTTTCCCTTATATTTAAATAAACATAATTTAATTTAGCTTAATCAACATTACCGTTTTTACTAGTTGCCCTAAATCATCATATTGCTCTTCAACGAAATACAGTTCCATTTCAATGTTGTCTATGTTGTTATCCAGGATGTATTTGATTTTTGTAAGGTACAAGTCTGGATCATCTTGCTCGAAATACTGCAAATATATAAGTTAGTCAGCAACACATCTTTTGATGCCGCGCTAAATTACTTTATAGTGGACTCGAAGACCTATCACTTGAGCCAGGAACGATCTTGTAAATCTTGCTCGAACAAGTTGCCTGTATGATCCTCCAAGGGCACTTTCATACAAACACTTTCCTACAACTTTCCCGGCAAACTCGTAATGCCTTAATTTTAACTGCGGTGGTCTTTTCGGATTAGGATGGACCAAAGATTGTTGTCCTTCATGGAAACCGGTAAATAACACGTTTTTGGCGTCAAACAGTTGTGCGCAGATAAGTTCGAACCACTCGCGCCTCAGCCCTCCCCAATCGATACCTTGAATTTAGCAAAACAAAATATTATATCCAAAAATTGAAACCGATGGTTCAAATCAAGGGCTTGTTTATATATGTTATTAAAATTTTTTATGTTTGTTCCGAAAGTGTCTATGCTATCAGCATAGGTGCGGCCCCCATAAATGTATTTATCTCAGTAGCTAAATGCATTACTGTGTTTAGATTGTGTGTTCGTAAAAATTCTTTTTATAATAGCGAAGAAGCCAGACAAAAATAAACGACTGACCTTCCGGATAGGTCGGAACATAACTTCTGGCTGATGTAGCGATGTGGCAGGGTTTTTTGGCTTTACTACCCATAGTCATCAAGACTCTTGCATTCTGCGCGAAAAGTAGTCCAGAACTGTTCGGCTGACCCGTTTTTATTAGGAAATATTTTCCAAGAAAATTTCCTCGCAGCATAGGAAATAGACAATTCCAATGAGGACCCTAAGTTTCGGAAAAAAAAATCAAGCAACCTCATCTTCAAACTTCAAGCGGAGGAAGAAAGCAGGTAAAGAAATTAATTGGAAAAGACATCGGAGGCACTGTCAGTGGCTGTATAGGTACGTCGAGTAGGAAGCAGATTGAAACACTTGGCTTTGCAATGGACCAAAATTACAATCAGTTTGTTTATCTTAAACCTAAACTTTTTAAATCGCTTGCTCCGCTCGTGCCAAATAAATTCGTGACTCCAATACCGTTTACGACACTTGTTGCATAATATACTATTTTCTACTTCCTTCTGTAAAATTCGAGCCCCCCGGGACGTTTCCGGGATATTATCGCACGGGTTTAAAAGCAAGGTGAAAAAAATAGAAAACCTAAGGTATTTTCTTCAGAGAAACTGATCACCTAGATTTATTTTAAATCTGAAACAACGAATTTAGAAAACCAACTCATTTTAAGTTAAAAGACTATTGAATCGCTCAGCAATTAGTTTTTACAAATTGCTTTATGGCATTAACTCCGTTACTTACGAATTCTCATGTCTTCGTTTGGGTCGGAATATAGTGCCATACATCATTTACTCGCAATCACAAATTTAATACTTCAAGGTTACAGATAATGATATATCCTGTGGAATAACCAAAACTAACATTTTTCAGAAATGGAAATATGTAGGTATTATTTTTAATTCCATTGATTTGTCGTTGTCGAAGTAAAGACTTCGTCAACTCATTGTTCGGCCGCACTGTAGAACTATTTACACACGACGACGTTTGAAAGGCACAAATATCTTTGTTTGGAGACGAAGAACAAGATTATAAGTATTCCTGATTCATTCTCATTCTCTAAGGCAGAACAACAAACTATTGTTTGTCATAATCTACATCTAAAGAGGACATAAAAGTTTGAGAAATTTGGGCTGCCTTTTACCGCTCAAAATCTTTGCGGCAGTTGCCAAATACTGTTTCATTGGACAACACTATACCACGGCATAAGACGGCCTGAATGGCCGTACTTATGCCGGAACTTATTGATCCACTATGGAAAAAAATTGAAAAGATGTCGTTTTTAACCAAATGCAGCATTCAACAACCAACGTGGCCGCAGTCAATTTCTCAAAATATGCCTAGATCTCGTTAAATGTTCTGGGAAAACGAGTTAAGCGTGTGGAAATCGCTGTTCAGAAAGAAAATGCGACAAAATGCAGGTTAGTGGGTGAAACGTAGAGGCATTCCAAGAAAATCATTCCCTTCTCTACAAAAATATCAATGCCGTCTGTGGCGCTATAGGCACTACAACAATATTAACTTGAACCGAATGGAAGGAGTAAAATATGAACACGTAAATCAGAATCGTAATATGATGCATGATATACGCTTCTCAAATAAATACAGTTAACGTTGAAACGGACCAGCGGTATCGCTTTGTAAACATTAAAACTGAATTTGAATTGAGTTCGGTTGCCTTTAGAATGTTTTTCTTCTAAACTAAGGCTGAATGTTTAACGTATGTGTCATAAAGATTCAGACTTTGGTTTGATATCACATGTGGTAAATAAAATAATTTTAGAGAACAATCCGGGTTATTAGTTGGACCACACTGGGCGTCATAGGTATGGCATTCACTTTTTAGAAGATTATGTGTTATTAAAATAGTTTCTCTGAAGCCTTCAAGCCTCTTATACTAGATTAAATATATATCGGCCAACAATAGCTATCCTGTTTTCGCTAACCAATGAAGAAAATTTACTAATTGAAGGAATTTAAAAAAAAGCCAGTTTTCCACAACTACAAATAAACCTGCAAAAATATTCCTGCTTTAAAATCGCACAGAACTCAGAATGGCAGAATAGACATAGGTGATTTTTAAATGTTAAAAGTTTCACATTCCAATAGGCATCAACATTTTCTCTCATTTGCTTTTTTCACCGAGAAACCGGAGCTTTGTATAACTTCTACTCTGTTGTGTTATCTTGAAATCATAGAGCCTCTTCGAACGGAATATAACAAACGGTTGTTTTTAACTTTTAAAAAACCGATTCCTTCTACCTTATAAGACGAGTGACATTGACACTGACACATTTAAAAGTATGCTAACCCCATTGGACGAGCGGTAGGCTGGACGACGAAATCGAATATTTTACAAAAGATTGGTAGCACCAAAACTTAATTTTGCTTAGGCTGTTGTAAAATTACAAAACACCGTGCATCCACCTAAATTTATTTTTCTATCAAAATTTGGTTTTTATGTCTTTTTCTTTTTTATATATATTTATTAATGCATTGAATATTATGCAGTATATTTTGCAGCTTAAGTTATCCCACCTCGGAATAAATAATACATATATTTTGGCGTAGAAACTTTTGAGTGTTGTTAATTTTGTTTTTTTTTTTGTAGTTATTATACAATACTTGTATTTGGGTTGACGTGTTTTAGTTGCAAACACTACTTAAACCAAATGTGAAATATAATTTCAGAATTAAACGACTTACAGTAGGGAAATTCAATCCAAATTATATGAATATTTGGTTTTCAATATATAACTTCTCGCCCTCCTGAACAAAAAAATGTTTTTTGACACCCCACAGCTTGGTCATAACGGTCTACACACACTATGAACAATGATGTGATGTGTGTGACGTGAATATAATACAGTGTGTAATATAATGGAAACAAAATTTTCATATAATTAGGATTGAACTTCCTTACGGTAAGTCGTTAAATCCTTAATTCCGTTTTATAATTTCATCCACTTACCCTGTTCGCCATGAAACGTTATTTCAAAATTCCTGCACCAGTCTGAAACGGTGAAATTCTTTGTCGCTTTCATGCTAGATTCTAATAATTTCTCTCTAGTCACTTTCATAGACAACTTTTCGTGATAATGTTTCTGATGATATTTCCTAACTTCATGGTAAAAGAAGTCCTGCTTGTCTTTAAAGGTTTCGGACCCGCCCATATTTTTTAGAAGAAACTGGGCGAATGTGGCCGCTATTACGTTTCTTTCCTTTGAGATCAGTTCAATTTTTGGCTGACAACCATCTTCAATGATGAATGAGTCGCCACCATCGTTTAGTTTTATTGTCTCGGACTTGAAAACAAACTAAAAGAGTATCATGTTGAGACAGATTCATATCGCATATATAAAGGCTAAATTCACCTTTGTCGATGGGCACAACCTAAAAGTATACAATCTCTTTGGTATAAATTTTAATATCAATTCCTTAATTATTAATTGCTTTGGGGATACATAACACAGCACTTTCTTCGGCTTTATCAGTCTTTCTCCTTTGATTCCGATCAATTTAGCGTCGTAACAATTATTGTGACTTTTTGTTGCGACATTTTTTTGTACAAGGGTGGAGTCGATACCTTGGACAAGTGCGTTTTTGCAATCAGAAATATTTAAAGGCTTAAGACTTACTATTAAGAACGATAATATCGAAATCTCCGTTGTGCAACTGCATTTCGTGGTAGCTTATGGTGGCGTGATAACAGCCCTCGTACACAAACTTTAATTGAATGCTCACTTTTTGACTTTGCCAATCGTAATCTAAGGTCGTTGTAAAATTCTTTTTATCGATATCCAATATATTTTCGCGGGAAATGCTGCCTATCTGCACAATGTCAACTATATAGCCCTGGAAATGATGAAAGAAATGGGTAAAATACTCAAAAATATATTGATAAATTCTAAATCAACAGTGAACAGTGATCGCCTACATTTACTGCGATTGACAAATCAAAATTGATATTAAAATGGGGGACTTTTGGTAGTTATCGTTGCTTTATATAAAATTCTTTAATAAATATTTTTTAACAACCTTGAGGAAGCCTGTAGAGTAAAATTAAGTTAAGGGAGGGTGTAATTGTATTTGTAATTGCATTACAAGTAATTATTATTGTTATTATTAATATAAGAAATAGTTAGGCTTAGGGCATCACTCGTTTATTAAATTAAGTAAATTATATTATAAAATAATGGCGTCATAAAGCACTTTTAACATGACAATTTGAAGCCGTTTTTGACTGCTTGCGCATGTTGATGATTACGATCTGTGTTTTTAATAAAATAATCAGTTATCTAAAATGTAACAATGGTACATAACAATAGTGACCATTTTTAAGTATTTGTTGCTGTTATGTGAGCTCCGCTCAGACCTCGTTTTGTAATGTCATTTGGTAAAAAACAAAAAAGACACTTGGTTTGTTAAACATGGCGATACCTACTTCTGTGGGGTTTTCACCGGGATTGTAACGACAGACGTTGCCATACTCGTCCCGAGGTTCAATATAGAGGATATGTGACACGTTTGCAGTACATACAACTGTACTACAATGTCGTATAACGACTGTTCTCTGAGCAAAAGCCGGACCTGCTATGAACATGGTGGAAAATGGACTTCCGGCTATATGCTGATCGCCGACCATTATGGAGATCCTATTAAAGACAGGAGGGGTGGTATAATGCTAAGTTCAATGGATTTTAAAATATGAGACACCATTTTCAGCATCTTAGTTGATATAAAAAAAAACTTCCTTTTTGGCTACTATTTACAAATCTTCTGGATTTCTTCTGCGTCGGTTATCCATAAATCAAACTTGCTGAAGTTTTGCCAAAATCATGTTGGTTTCTTCAGGGCTTAACTAAAACTGACTCGCATTCTACTCTCATTTACTAGTCCAAGACAATGTTCATGTCCCTCCTTTAGCTCCACCTCCCTAAAATATTATATAAGCAGGTACAGGGTAGAATGGGAGCCAGTTTCAGTTCAGCCCTGAAGAAGATAAGAGGATGATTGGCGAAACATCAACAAGTTTGATTTATGGGCAACTGACGCAAGAGAAAACCAGAAGATTTGTAAATAGTATTATAGTAGCCTATGGAAGTTTCTGCTGTTTTCCAAATTGAAAAGACGTTTTTCAGGTAACTTTTGAAGATTAAATCGAATGCCATCTTTGTTTTCAATGTAAAAAAAAACAAACCAAAATTAAGTGCCGTACTCAGTTTGTTTTATAAAGTGTTATTTTTGGGATACAAGCCAAAATTTGATTGAGCTTTTTATACGCCTATGCTTTGATTTTTGATTGATTTATTTAACAAAAATTATAAAATATTTTTTAAAAAGAGTATTCCAGCTGACATTACTGCCGAAGTTCATCTCATATTATTGCAAACACATAGTCAAAATTTTCATAGCTCACTTTAATTCATTTATACAATAACCATGAAAAACTATTTACTATTTTTATATTCTGTTGTTGGCATTTTTTTCTGTTAATAATAATAACAATATTGTTGAGAGGAATACAATTAGCATAGAAGTGTAAATTTTAAGATGTCAAAATATGTTTTATAAAACATAATTTTCAGCTTGTATCTTAAAAATTAAAGTTCTACAAAAAATCTCAGTACGCCACAGGATTCTGCATAACAAGATCTAAAACATTCCATTTTCATCGTCACATTATATTATAGGGTGTTTAAAATACAGGGGGAAACTGAAATGGTAAAATTTTCTGTTTCTCTCTGTATCTCAAAAACAAAACCAGCTGCCATTTTGAAAAATACACCTGTGATTTCACGAAAATGGAGCACAGTATTGCGAATACCGCATTGATCTATCTCTAATAATAACTGATATACCTCGCAATAACAACGAAAGCAGGAAAGAACATTACCTATATTGACCGGCGTGACGGACGGTGAATTTAACTTTCGCAACATTTGCACTATCTGGATCGGTTGGGGAACCCAATTCAGTAATCGCAGCTAACTACGAATGAATAACAAAAGGCAATAAACTCTACTTATATCAACCAACTATATCTAACAACTATCCAATAATACTTTCATTAATTTTTTTAATTAGTACCTTTCTTGAACCTCCCGAAATATCTACAACAAAATTATCAGTATCACAGATTGGATAAGGCTGGCCGTTACGTTGATAAAAGTGAACTGTACAGCAAACAGTACGTCCAACTTTATGAGGTAAGTTCCAAGCAAAATTAACCTGAAATCAAAACACATATGTCACTAGCCGGAAAAGTATTTTAATGTAAGTATTGACCACTACCTTACAGTTAGAGGGAAGCAAATACTTTCCAGTGACATACTGAAGCAGTGAGTGTTTTGCTTCTGGTGCTAGTGACGGTTGGGTCATTGCTGCCAAAGTAACCAGACCAGCAACAGATACTGACACTACCAACATTCCTCCTGAACATGGCAAAATATCGAATTTCAAAATAAACTTCGAAATATCGGTCTCACACAATAAATCCAAAAACTAACAAAATTACACTATACCAATGTACTTCTTTACTAGATTATTCTCAAATATAAAATTGGTAACATTCGCCTCTTCTAAGTGAATGGGCGAAAGTAAAAAGTTTAAATACGCAAGGTATACCGGGTGACATTAGAAAGTGAGAACACTCTATAACTTTTAAACGACTTGAGATAGCGATTTGAAATTTGGAATGGTTAATATAGGCTGAATGTCCATTTTTTTGACAATATATAGTCAATGGTTGCACTTCAGGTTTAAGCAGAAACGACAATAACTTTCTTTTTGAATTTTTGGATTAAAATCATTCTACGTAGGATAGGATGGTTTTTCTTTTTTTTTTAATTTTTATTTAATTATTGAAAACTGTGCCTAGGAGGCCGTAACCACCATAAACACTATTTACCGGGTCAATTTTTCTTTAGTTATCTAATGGCAAATGGTATTTAAAATGAACTATTATTTTTTTAAGATAACCTAGTTTTTTCAAATAGCACCCTGGTGGGAACAAAAACGTTTTAAAACCGGTACTTTTTTTGCAACATTTTGACACCAAAATTTTCAAAGAAATGGAAATCAATGTTGTGGGATACGTCAACGTGAATCCAGCTAAAAGATGCGTCATTAGAATTAGACATCCAAAGAGAATCTGCGAGGAGAATTTTAAAAAAACACGGCTATCATTCTTTTAAGTATAACCTTCATCAACATCTTTATGAAGCTGACTTTCTAAGAAGACTTCGATATTGTAATTGGCCCAAAAAGTGACAGATTTAAAAAGAAAAAAAATATTTCTATTCTTTGTTCTTCTCAGTTTTCGGTAAAAAGTGTTTGTAGCTTATGACGTACGTATTCATAAAATACTTACGTTAGTTTTTCACTGTATCCTCGTATTCCAAAAGCATATCAACTTTTTACCATAATAAAAGACTTTCAACAAAAAATTCTAATCGTTCAATCTCAGAATCTCTCTGTTATTTTTTTAATACAAATGTGTTTTTTTCTTTCCACTGCATGAGCTTGTCGAGAGTTTCTTCTACATTTTTAATCTTACCGACTTGACAATTAATAAAGAATAGAAGCAAAGCCACCTAAGTAATCTTTTTTTATAAAAATGTATTTACTTATCTGGTTTTTTCTTTCCTGTGAGCTTATTTTTTGACGGATTTTGGTGTCAAAATGTTGTAAAAAAAGTACCAGTTTTAAAAAGTTGTTGTTTCCATCAGGCTGCTGTTTAAAAAAACTAGGATATCCTAAAAAGTTAATAGTTCATTACATGCCATTAGACAAGTAAAATAAAGTTCATCTACAATTTTTCCCATGATCAGGTGACCCGGTAAACAGTATTTATGATGCTGACTGCTTTCTTTCTAGACATAATTTTCAAAAATTAAATTAAAAAAAAATAACCGTCCTATCCAAAAATGTTGTTGTACCATTTAAAATTCGAAACTTACTGTTGTTTCCGCTCAAACCAGAAGTGCAACTGTTGATTACATATTATCAATAATTGGACAATCGGCCTATATTAACCCTTTCAAATTTCAAATCGCTATCTCAAGCCGTATAAAAATTAGATTGTTCCCACTTTCTTGTGTCATCCGGTATTTTGATAATCTGGTGCATCCCAGAAAAAATAAAATTCATTTTTTTTAAAAAACTATAAAGATTGAGACCTTGACTTGGGGGTTGACTGAATCTTTATAGTTTTGTGAAACCAGGTCTCTCTTACATACAACCTTACCCCATGTCCATGCGTCCTGGTGATTACTATTCTTCACTACTTCTGACCAGAGATCGGCTTTGAGAATATCTAAATGCGATTTCGAGGTAGGTAAAGATTGGCGGGCAGCGGACCAATGAACTACATCATTATTAAAAACCTACAAGAAAATTTTATTTATTTTTAAACAAAATGTGGGCAATTAATTATTTGATTTCATGTTGGGCTTCAAAATCAAGAACAAACATTTTTGACTACTATACACTATACAAATTTAAAAATGCAAATTCTACCATCAACTAACTCATCAATGATTGTTGTCAGTTAAATCGATATTGGAGCAGCAGGGTACATGTGCGAAAAATATAACAATAATATTTTAATATGTGCTGATTTTACCTCCGATTTATTCAAAAACCCATATTCTAAAAAAATGTGTTTTCTAATGTGCTGTTATGATTTTGTTTCCCTAATAAAATGGCCTATTATGGTGACTACTTTTAGAAGCACAATGATTGACCATACATGAATGTTTGTTCAAGATCTCGAATTGGTAGAAACTTTAGTGACTCCAAAATTTAGAATTTTGAATAATCGCTATAAATTAAAAAACAAAGTATCAAGTCTTTTGGATCCGATGGAACGACAACGTTTTTATTAAAAAGAATATTGGGTTAAATAATTTTCTTGGTGAATCTATCTTTTTTTTAAGTGGTACATTTCTATCGTATCTAAAAAGGAATAGAGTTGTGCCAGAAGGGCAGTCGAAAGTTACTGGAGAATTATCGTCCGGTAACAATTTCAAATAGTTTTTCTAAAGTATTTGAGTATACTTTCTTAAAGAGATTAATGTCTTTTGAAGACAAATATCATATTTTTATAGATAACTAACATGGCTTCAGAAAAAATAGAAGCATTTCAACTGCTGCTTATTTGTATTTTCGTAAGATAATATCTTTTATGGAATTTTTTGCGACCCAAGCCGTGCGTTTGACTGTGTTGATTTTACGGAACTTGGGGAAGCCCTGCACGCTTCGGGTATAAGGGGTAAGCCTCTAGACTCGGTCAGTAGTTTTTTAGAAGATCGTTTTCAATTTGCATCCCTAAAGATTTATAACGGAAAGTCTAAATTCAGCTAGTCAACGCATAGCGATGGGTGTCCTCAAGGTTCAGTTTTAGGCCATGTACTCTTCACATTATATGTAAATTGTGATACTGTGAGGTCTCATTGTGATACTCTTACTTCAACTCTAAATAGTGTAAGCTATCTTCTTATAAATCTTAATGAGATTTTAACTAGGCAATAGTTGTGCAATTTATACTGTGCGAAGGTGGAAGCATCTGTAAATGCTGATAAATATTTTTGGCGCAAAAGTATTGCACACGTTTCCAAGTTTACATTTGTCCAGTACAAAATTTTCACACTGGCAAGTCTTTTCATTTTTGAATGGTATAGTGACGTGCATTGTACATTGTACTAGACAGAGCGGTAAGCTGCATGCTTGCTACTGTAGGTTGTCGACGAGTTCGAGGTCAGGTGATGTAAATGTATTTTTATATATCTATTGTACTATTACTTATTTTGACTATTCCTATACAATTTTGTGGTTGTCTTTGGGAAAATAAATATTATTATTATTATAGATATAGACCGAGATTATAAATTGTTATGTAGACCTCGGGTTACATTGATACAAGAACCTGTTCTCATATTAAATCTGAAATCTACATGTCGTATGCCTCATCTAAGATGATCTTGTAAGACTGCTAACAACATATTGCGTGTAAGCCAGCTATAACTTGACAAAGAAATTAATATTTTGACAGTACTTGTTTCGCTTTGGTGTCTTCCAACCAATAAACGTCCTCTAGTCTAGCTACTCCGATGACTAGAAGCTTGGGATGGTAGGCTTGCAGGTTGTACTGACTCAACCACTGACGAAGTACTAAGCGTTGCTGAAGCAAAGCGGCCGCTTCGCGCAGTCGTTGCTCATCTGGTGCCGGGAGTTCTGGGAGTTGCTCTGGTTGGCCGCACTGGGATAAAAGTGAAATGCCTGAAACGATGTTCAGCAGATTTTAAATTGAAAATGGCCTTCAGTTTATTTAAAGATATAGTTTAAGTTTCGGGAGACATCTTAAATTCTATGTTCGCCTTGAAGTCAAATACGGAGTTTATAATTTTTTTCCAGAAGCTCTAGATCCAGTAGTATTCGAGATATGAGTCCAGCTCTAGCAATAAGCTCAGGATGATATGTCTCTAGTTTTATAGCGTCTCTTCAACTTAGCAATTTTGGATAAGATTTTTATTGATCTACTAATTATAGAAGGAACCTAGTTAATATTGGTGTAAGATTCTGTTGGTTCAACAAAAACTTATTTATTAGAATAAACAAACTATCAACACTACCATATTTTTATTTAGAACGATTCTTTTACTTTTGCTTAACAGCATCATGATTTCAGATTCAGAATTTTGGTTACTAGAAAAATTAGTATATGGTAAAAAAATTTTTATTAATAAAAAGTGGACAAAACAATACAGGCAACAAATGGCCGTTCTTTTAAATAAAGTGATATAATAAATCAGGTATTTTTGTCCTTGTTGAAAATTGAATGAAGGAAACATCACATGGACGAATTCATATACGACGGGTAGCGATTGCCTTCGAAAACTTTGTAATGTTCGTGCCAGACCTTCGTTAGTTAAACTGTCCGTTTTGACCCAATTATTAAAATTTACGTAAATGGCTATGCCCGCTTTTGGGTGCCAGAAGTTGGAGAATTTACAATTTCGAGCATAGTTAACATCGGCTCGCGGGCAATAATCCCGACAACCCCCTGGGATTTTTTGTCGGACCGATATTCGGTTAATTGGGAGCTTTTCGTCAACTGCGATATTTTTTTATACTGCAAAAGATGAAACAAAAGGGTTGGCACCAAATTTAAAAAAATTAATAAATAACCCTTTTAGCGATTGATTGTTACCTCTGCAAAGAGATAACGTTCTGGCCAGTCACGTTATATATAACCTTCGGACCGGTGAAAACTGAGGTTAGGATGATTTAAAGCACAAAAGCTAGAGGGCTAGAGTGATCGTAAAGGTAAAGAAAAACACGTAATAAAAATATTAAATAAAAAAAAATTAATACATGCTGTATTCACATGAATAAGTAAATTTTAAAAAATAAATAATAAAATTTTAAAAAATTGTAACGATTGCGTTTAGTACATTATTGACTGCGTACAAAGACATGAGCTCGTCTGATATTTTGGCATTTATCATTTCTGATGATCCCGGGCAAAAAAACTAATGATCGTAGAAAAAATTTAGTGTGTAACACAAGTCTGAAAAAATAAATAAACAGTTGTTTATAATTAAAGTATATGAGGAATTATGTGATGTGATTTATGGCAAACGAGACAAGATATCGTACTGAAAATTTTGTCGCGGTTGCCGCATTCTCCAAGTTTTGGCAAGTTTTGGTTTAGTAGCTTATAGAACTTCAAACAACACACTTTTTCGAAGGCTTAGTGTTCCTGTGAGTCAAAAATAGCCGAGACATTGATCTTGACAACAAGTAAAAGTAAATTAACTAACCAAACGGATCTTTTGTTAGCAAATAAGCGCATTCCTACAACTTGAAGCGACGCGGTAGATTGTTAAATCGATACAGCAAATAGTAACTAACGCAGTTGGCTACTTAAAAATTCATTAAATGTTGCCATTCCCCGATTGCCAAGGTCGGCATTTTTATTTCCTGCCGACACGCTAACGTTATTCCTTATAAGATCGCTGAAACCGATCGATTTCATATTTGTCTGCAATCTAACAACTGGCATACAAAATTTAAACAAAAGCAAAAAATTAACAATAACCGTATTTAAAATGGACGGGTAGGCATTCGCACAGTTTCAATCGTGGGCGACTTAACACTCTATATTGTACTGTGCGTCCCAATTCTCTTGACAACACATGTAAATAAAAAACAAAAAATATACATATACAACAATTTTCAGACATATCAGTCTACTTCATATGTACTATGATAATATACAGCCCACATCTCGTACATACTATTATCCTATTTTAAAAAATGTTTTAATACATATTAGATACAATCGAAAGATGAACATTTAATTTTTTTTAATAGAACACAATTTCTTTCAATTCGAGTCGCAGTCAAGTGCATTACTAAAAGTTTATTGAAGCGCCTAATTTAATTATTTCATACAGGTTTTCCCAAGTCTTGGCAACTTAATGAATTTTAAACTAATTTGAATGCAACTGTTCAGCTCTTGTCCCTCTATCACTCACATTGTTGAGGATTCCCTATAATTATGTAATAATATACAAAAGTATATTATCGCTATCTAGTTAAGCCCTGAATATAAAATAAAAGTGCTACATTTACATTTTAAATTTAAATAATATGCCGGCTGCTCAGAAATACCCTTTTGTTATTACTAAATAAAAAACTTGAATATTTTTTGTCAATATTCACCATCAGCCGACAAAGAACGAAAATAAAATCAAATTAAAGCTAAACCTACCGTCTACAAGAATGGAAAAAATGATAGAATAATAACATTTTTTAAGATTCAGATGTGGAAATGAGTCGAAATTGCAGTTTCGAATATGAAGTGTTAAACTGTATTTCCAGGTATTTTTGGCAAATAGGCAAGTCATGAGCTTAACGTTAACTTATTTTTTGTATATGAATTGATAGGTATAGAGAAACATGTACAAAAGCGGTGGATGAACACGATACAGCAGTTAAATGCAAATTGGTATACAGTTCACGAGCTTGACAAGCTTGACAAGCATTTAATAAAGCCCTGTAAGAAATAATTACTTAGTAATCCATCCGATTCTATTAACGCCCATGTAAAGTAAAGATATAGATAAAATATCGCGGAAAACTGAATTTTTACTATTTCGATTTTTTTTTAAACTCATTTATTTTATTTTAAAACTCACAATAACTCTGCAAATAGCAAATCCAGATTAAGTATCCTTCTCCGAAGCTTGTACAACGTTCGGAAAGAGAATGCCATAAACAAATTTAATTAGAATTAGCACTAATCTTAAAGATGTCAAAAAACTACAAAAACACTTACCAGATAGGACACTAGGGGAAGGTTGCATGCTCATGCCGATAGAACAGATTTCTTTTTCTTCTTCCCAGGAATTTGCCATTCTGATCCCGTTCTTATTTAAGAGTACTTTACGCCGCGCAATAGTTAGTTAAAATTAAGCTGAGCAATGTATTAAGGCGAATTTTTGTCCTGTGGGACCGTTTATGTTCGTTACCGAACGGCGCATATTATTCTGGCCACAAGTTAACTAAAACATCGTAGGTACTCTGGACATTGGTCGCTAATCAAGACATATCAAATTTAAGTATAGTTTGGAACATTGATCGCGAGGCCATGCGCTCTCTGTCTGTTGGGAACAGTTGGCAATATCCACTAACAGCGAAATAATATGTACATTACGACAACGTTATTGATCAATATCAAATGGACCCTTACAAACGATATTTCGTGTTAAGCAATAATCGATGTTCGACAAAGAACCTATCCACTTACACAGGTATCATCAATCATTTTCGATGGTTTCTCGCAAGAATCCACACATCAATACCTAATTTGGAGCTAATGCAAAGAGGAATAACAGATGTGTTATATAAATCTTATCCGTAAAAAAGATCTAAACCAGTGGCTCGCACGATAAAAAATATGACTTTTATAATTAACTAAGCTTTTGGTTGATCCTGAACCTAGAATGAAAAATCACTACGCAGTGGAATTGTATATGTAAATATTAACAATATTTCACCTTTTTTAATTTTACACATTCGATTATCAAGTTTAAAAATGTAGACTGTCTGTAATTCAAAGACACCCAGTCTTCTCCAACTAATGTAAATAAAATGTTACGAATAAAACCCTGAATATGTGAATATGTAAAGTCTGGAATGTTCGACTAGAGAGAGTAGATCATTTCAACAATTAAAAGGTTGTGGTTGAGTTATTAAAATATGTTGGTTATAAAGGCTATTTGCAAGAATATTAGGGGAAGAAGACTGGAGAACTTGGAACTATATTTTCAGTTTTTTTCGGTTGACAACCCTAGTAAAATTAATAATAATCAAGTGCCCAAAAAGATTAAGTTCTTAAGAAACAGTGATTCTATTGTCCCAAACTTGCTTTGCCTTCTATTCTTCTAAATTTGTCCTTCGCACAAATTTACTCTATTTATTGTGACTAAAACTATAATACATATGTTTTAAATTATTACAACCCCATTGGTCGAACAAAATTAGCTGCAATGCCTGCTTGTGTGTGCGAATTAGATGTTTTTCAAGTCCAGTATATACAGGGTGGCACAATAGTGTGGCAAAATACTATATCCCTTAACATTTTAAAAATATTTACAATTATGCAGAGTGTTTCCCATACAAGTGTGGCAATACAAAATAATATATTTTTAAATGTTACACCCTATAAATTTTTGCGTATTACGATTCTTCTTATATAATACAGCGATGTTTCTGGATTTAAATGTGACGTTGCCCTCTTACGGGGAAAATATAGAAAACATTTTAAAAATTATGTTTGAAAACCTGACGATCTCCTACATCTTTCCGCTGTTGCCTTTGCCACATAAAAAATGAACCTTAATATAGTCAAATGTGTTACTAAGTGTACAGTAAAGCGCTTAAGTGATTATTTCATACAGAGGGTTTTGTAAACAACAACGAAATTTACACTAATTTTTCTCTTACTTTTCAGCTACTTTATCGTGTGATTATAAAAAATGAGCTATTTGCTAAAAAATACGATTTTGTTATTAGCGAGATGCATTACTTTACCACGCTATTGCGCCACCCTACATAGTGTATTCAATACTATATATCAAGAATGTCTTTAGGAAGACAATCTTATATGTTATTAATTCAAATAATCGGCCGAGCTAGATGATTTCAGAAGTCTATTTGGATTAAATGATTCGTCCTAGACAAACGCGAAAATTGAAAAGCAACGCCACAGTGAACGAAAAAATTCTAAGTTTATGCAACTGATTTCAAAACTAATGTGTTTTAAAACTATGCGATAACTAGATAGTTACTAGGTTCCTTAAACAGGTCTCAAAGTGTCAGAAAATTTGATACGTCTCAATCGGCCACAAACGGAATAATTTGACCAATTGCTAATTGAGATACCTGGGGGTTGGTTACGCGTACACCTGCAGCTTGTCGGCTGCGGCGCCGTTAGGGAACGTAAAAAACTGCGGGAGGCGGCGGATTTGCAGCTCGCAAGCGACTTCGACATCTGGGAGCGATTGCGACTACTGGCCGCTGCCGCATGCGATGCCGATGCCTTCCGCCACCGTAACCCCGGGCGACTTAACGGACACGCTTTTCACACTAGCGACGGCGTGCGCATTGACGTCATACCGAAGGTAGAAAAACCACCCCCAAAACCCGAAATATTAATTTATTATGCGACATTCGCTCACAGGAAAAAAATTGAACTGAGAGGCAGAGTGCGTCAGACTCTACCTGTCATATATATCACCAAATAATATTTGCTTAATAGGATAATTAAAAAATATATTTGTAAGAGAATAGATAACCTGGCCATAAATTTCCTTAACTCTTAACTGTCGATCAGAAGCCATATGCATAGAAGGGAGCCATCAATCAAAAGATATATTAACTGGGACGTGCGACAATGGTCTATATTGGGTCCCCTACTTTTTAAAATTTACATTAATGACACCTACATAATACCACACTATCCTATCCGTCCTATTTTCGATTCCTAATTATGGGAAAATCCTTTATTACTGACGATATAAAAATGCTGTCTGCGCATTACTATCCTTTTTTTAAGCACCGGTAGTTTCTGGACAAAGGGAAATAATTTCCTTAATATGAAAGATATTGTGATATCGTAATAGTATATTATGCAACAAGTGCGGTAAACGGCATTTGACTCACGAGTTTGTTTGGCACGAGCGGAGCGCAGCGGAGCGAGTGTTTAATAAACGAGTGACTTACCGAACGTGTTGCATACTATACTTTTTTTACGACCGTTAGTTTTTAGGCACAGTTTCGCAAAACAACACGAATGCATTTACTGACATCACCGTCAGAATTGACAAACGTCAAAATTCAAAGCGTGGGAAATATCTCCGAAAACATCCGATTGCTCTCAAACCCGTGCGGTAAAATCCCGGAAATGTCCGAAATGGCTCGGATCCGTCGGAAACGAAACTGACGTGGTAAAGTGACGCTTCTCGCACGCTAGATCGGTGTGTAATTAGGCATTTTACAGACGGGAATAGAAAAACACTTTTCCATTACAACTTTTTAACAAAAAATAACGCATTTAAAATTCGAATTCAAAGTTTTTTTTTCATGACCGTCATCAATATCAAAATCATAATTTACATCAATTTTTTATCTTCGCGATATTTAACTCGCAAATTATGTATAATTTCTTGTTTTCTGCTATCACTATTTATAAATATGTCACAAAAACATAAACATAAAATAATAATAAAAAAAGGGTTATATGGACAAAAATCTACAAGATAATATTTTTGGGAATTAAAACATCGTGAAAATTTAAACATTATAAAAAGCAACTAAACAAAGCAATACAAAGCGTCTACAAAATCTAAATGTTTCATATTAAGGATGGTATAAAAAGCAGTAAGTACAGACCATTTGGTATGAATGTGTTTACCAGCTAATGAATTGAAACAAAATGATACTAACTGAAACCAATTTTTTTGGTGTTAGTTTAAATTAGATGATCGTCTGATCTGGATAAGTAATCGAAAAACATGGCAAAAACTATCCAAATAAACACTTCAAATCTAATGCTGGTGATTTCAATGCAGATTTTGAAAGTGATTTGTTTTTTCGAAAACCAAATGAGATATAGCATTCTGGTGTGGGAACTCGGACACAGACTTGAGAGACGAGAGTCTTGAAAAATATAACAATATAAGAAATGCACATAACTGTATAAAAAAATGTTGTAAAAATATTGTGGTTAAATTATAGCATGAAACATTCAAGCTTCTGACTCAATAATATTACTGATTTTATACATTTAACGATTTTTGTATGGCTTTTTCCTCGGTTTTTGCTTTGTCCCATTTTGAAATTTATACCCATAAAATATCATGGGCAACTCGGGATCCGTAAAAGACATGGAGTAGCTCAAATTGCCGTTAAGTTGCGTATGGATGAGCCCGAATGTCATCCGGAAGAAAAACTAAAATATCCGGTTTTGGATTTATTTTTTTTACCGTACTATTTTAAAATTTATGAAAAAATCTACGATAACACTTTCAATCGAACTTCATGATCTTTTGTTAAAATCCAAAATCCTGTACTTCCTTTTTTCCTTTTTTATTATTATTTTTCTTACCTTTTTAATGTCGTATTACAAATTACTCTAGTTCCAAAAATCCGAAAAAAAATCTTTATAGCAGCGGAACGCCTCTATACAGGTCGCAAAACAATGATATTTAACCATAACTTTTAAATTTACTGGGTCCTTAAAAAAGGACGTTAATACAGAAAAATTGGGGAAAATTAAAATAATTGTGGTTAAATTATTTTACAGTTAATTTATTAACTGTAAATCACAATAGGTGCGCAAGATGTCTATGATTTTCAAAACAGAACACTAGGTATTATTCTTCTCCGTATGGTATGCAGTAGACGAATTATGTATTTCCTTTCTTAATTTTCCGTTTTGTTACTTTTACTCCTAAATTCTCTAATTATACTGAGTTCATACTGACAAGTATTCATACGTATAGCATTCCCCTAACATCATTAAAAATAAAAAAAATGAAGTTGATGGTTTAAGAGACACGAAATGCCTTAAGGGGTTGTATTAAGAATTTATTTGCAGATTTCTTTTTAATTTTCAAATAGACGTGTGGAAGAATAAAATGGGAAACCGTAAATTTCAGTTTTTCCGCCCCATTTCAAAAAATAGCAAAGATAACATTTTTTTTTTTCAAATTCAACTATCATAATTAGAATCTCGGAAACTATAGGAGATACAATGTTTATTATATTGAGGAAATGTTAATTTTCGTGATTAATATTATCTGGAGATATGTGAGAAATATATACACCAAAAATTGAAGATTTAGATTTTAGCTTCTTCTGATGTAATTTGACAAGTTCAGATTCAGATATGGGATGATACAGCCACCAACAACCTCATTTGTTCTTGTGGACACCATTATGTTTTTCTTGGAAAATGTATTTTAAACTCTATGCAAAACATTTATAAAACGAAAACTTCTAACAACACTTGTAATTTTTGTCGGTGTTTGTTAATTATTCATTATATCTCTATTTTAGGATTTAAATGTTTTCGTAATGACATTATAAAAATTAAGGAAATTCAGTAACTTTCTGGCTTGGCACCGTAGACTTATACTGAGAACAACCCTATTCCGACGAAAACAGTGATTATGGTTAGGAAAGCATTTTAAAACACTGGCTGTGCACAAGCTTATTACGTTGATATTAACATATAGGTACCACAACATAAAGCGTTTTATTCAGCTGAACAAACTGTACTATAAATCGTCTTTGTGTAGAATCTTTTATATGCGACGAATTGGAAAAAAACGAGTATAAAACAGCAAAATAAGTTTAAAAGAGTCTGTCTACTGAATTAAAATATAATTCAACAGACACAAATAGTGTGTATTTTCTATATACGACAATAATAATACAAAATATATACAACAATTTAATCTAAGAGAAGTTGATATTACAAAATTATAACTTCGCTAAACGTGCGGAAATATATCATAAATTGCGTGGGGAAAACGCAAAATTGCTCACCTTTTTGTTTAAACAATGTTGTGTATTCTTCTAGATTATTTTCTTTAAGCCAGCTAGGTATTTCGTTGTGTCTGGACCCCGACAACTCCCACCATATACAATAAAGAAAAGACAAAAGAAAGAAACTACAAGCAAGGAAAAACAATAAACCGACTACCGTTACAACTTTGGCACAACTCGTCATAATACAATTTATCGCAATATTTACATTTTGTTTGTTTATAGCGTAGACTTAGCTCTTACGACAATAAACTCATTCAAACATCAGTTGATCATAGACAAAACATGTTTCTTAAGCAATTTGGTTTTGCAATGTCAAAAAATAAGAGAAAAGCTTTTCTCTGCTAAAATCACAAACAATGAAGGTAACTTTTCTATGCTTGGTAGATTTATTTCTGCTATTTAACGAACAGGCAGGCCGCTGCCATGACATCATTGGACCACCGGAAACAACCATAAATAAATTGGAAAAAGCATTCCGAAGCTAACTAAAATTTGTGCATCAAGATGTAGACAACGGGCCCAGTAACACTTACCTAATTTTGGAAATTTATGACTGCTGGCAAATAAGTTTTTGTAACTATTACTGCACATACTCCCAGAAATTTTGTTTTTGGTTGTGTGGTAACTAATAACATTTTACTAAGCAAGAACACAAGTTTAACCAATTACCACTAGTAAAAGCTAAAAAACATTGGAAAAAGAATCCTTGAAGGAAAATTGCTATTACAGAATAATTTCCTAGTACAAACTTTGATTTGAACGGGCAGCAGTACGTCACAGGACCTATCTTTAATTTTTGGGATCGTAAAGCTCTTAGCGAACGCGCAAGCATAAAACAGTCGTTCTTTTCGGGAATCTTTGGTTTACCGTTCTTGGTCAAGTGTACTTTTATAATACCAAATAGAATGATATATTATAATGTACTCCATTTAACAAAGCTTGCAAGAACTTCGTAAAAGAGACTGTTGAAAAATGAAAGTCATATGTTTGGATGCTATTAAAACTGATTGGTTCGTTTCGTAACTCGTTTGTTCGTTCTTACCAACTTTCACAACTCACCAAGCATTGGGTTTCTCTGTCACCAAAGTGTTGCGGCTGCTTTCCTTTTCAAGAATGATCAATCGCGGTGTATGTGAGACATGTCAGGGCTACCGTCTGGTCCTTAAGCGTTGCGTTTGCGTACTATGTCCAATGAAACCAAAGATTTCGTATTTGATACATTGTTTTGTGATGAAAGTTTACCTTGCAAACGGAATATATTACATTGCATTATTGCAAGTGAAAATCAGGATCAAATAATGTCAGAAATTTGTTTGTATGGGGATTGGTGACGTAACTGCCACGCTAAACTGGCGGAAGTAAAACGCTATTTAATTATTATTCTCGTATGATTTATTATTAAGATAAATGTAATTAATTTTCTATTATTAGCAATGAATTTATTTCTGGATAACCCAGTCTACTCCCATTTTTGAGTAATTCTACCTCCTAAAAAATTACTTCCGGAAACTGCTTAATACTGCCCCTATGAAGTAACTAACCATAAATATTTGTTTGTATTTTGGCACCTATTCCAACAATTTCAAAGTCAATTCAGAAGTAAAAATGATTAGCACCGATGTAAGAATTGAATCCGATAAAGAACAAGAAAAATCATTCTCTTTATTTGCGTCAATGGACTATTTACTGGACAAGTTGAAATTATTAAATTATGAAACTGAGTTTTTACCTGAAATTAAAATAAGAGCTATTCACAAGTTAGGTAAGCACTATAGAAACAGGTTATTTCACTTATTTATTGTATTTCAGATATTATTTTGCATTACAAAAAAACAGTGGCGAACAGTTTTATTTATTTTGCTTACTATCTGCTTGGCTTATCCGAAAACTTGGTAAAAAATTCAATCCTCCAGAAGAATATGATGATCCCAATGATACAATAGGAAAGATAGTGGAGGAAGTAAAAGAAATTGTACAGACTTGCTTATTCTTTTATTATGATAATGTTTTCAAATTTATTTCAGGGAATGAAAATTGATTTTCCAGTGAGTAAATTAAAACAAGGAGTTGGCGAATCTGTAGTTAATATTTTAGATTTTCTCGCAAATGCCGTTTTGAAAAAAAATAGCTTGATGCTACAAAAGTAAGCTTAAAATCTCTTGGGAAAAGAGTGTTTGAATTGAATTACATTTTAGACCAAAACCTCCAGAAGAAAAGGAAGAAGAAATGGAAGTAGTCGAGGATGATTCTGAAGTAAACCTGGATAGAGTCGAGGAAGAAATGATAGCAGCTTATTCTGATGATTCAGATGAAGAAAATATTTTTCAGTTGGATAAATTAAAGCCAATAAAGGGTGAACTTCATCAGGAAAATTTTAAAAATAATATTAATGAAGACAGTTGGAAATTGGAAGTTGAAAGAGTTTTACCACTATTAAAAGTCACAGTTAAGAATGAAAATCGAGATTGGAGGTTCATATTTGTGTATTAGACTAAATGTCTACAATATTAAATATTGATCGTTAGGTTTCATTTAGAGCAGATGAAGGGATATAAAACAAGTATTGATGAATCATTCGGGAACACCAGAAGCCAGTTGGAAAAATTGCATAATGAAATAAGATCGACTCTTGAAAAAATTAATAATCGTGAAAAATACTTAAATAGAGAATTAGAAAATGCTTTAGGGACTTACAGGTGACAGTGTTGGTGCTTTTCTTTTTATCTTCTACTGTAATAGTTTCATTCCAGAACACAGCAGGGTCGGCTCTCATTCACAAAAGAAAAATATAAAACGTTGAGTGGTGCAGTTGCAGAAAAAAATCGTGAATTACATAAATTGAATGATAAAGTTGATTTAATAAAGCAGCAAATGGAAGAACGAGAAAGCGCAATGACAGATGGAAGTGAGTAATATTAAGATCAATTAATGACACCAAAACAAATAATTTTAGCTCCACTGGTTAATCTGAAAAAATCAATTTCAAAGTTAAAAACTGAAATACTCGACATGGATGTGAGAATTGGAGTACTTGAATGTCTGCTACTTCAACACAAAATTTTGGAGGAAAAGCAATTGGAAACTGACTTTGGACAATCTCTATCCTTATTTTAAATAGCTTTTTTTAATTTAATTGTTATTTTTGAGTATGTTATACCAAAGTCGAAGGTGGTCTTGTACTAAATAGTTAATCACTAAAGATGTTATTATCCTGTAATAATTTTCACTAAATTTGCACTCATTAAAAATAAATATTAGCCAACAACTTTATGAGGTGGGCGTTTTATTTTCCAGTACTCTTTTCCATAGCCTGAAAACATTGCTAATACAAGGAGCTAAAGATCCCACTCGAAAGGTATATTTATTATAGGACAGTTGATGCTCAATGCCAAATCTGGATTAAGAAGCTGTGCTACATCAAAAACCTGCAGATCCTGTTGTATTGTTAAATTTATTATTGAATAGCGCCATCTAACGTGCGTACCTTTAAACTTTTTTTGCATTTTTTTGTGAGTTTTATCGTGTACCGCCAGAGGGAAGGCAACCAGCGATTTTCATAATATGAGGTTAGAAAGTTGGGTTTTCTTTTGGTGGCTTTTTTGTTTTTAGCATGCTCCATGCAGGTTTTTGGAGGGAATCCGCATCGAAAGTTGTTGAAATAAAGGTCCCCAGAAGTAATTTTTGTATGATTAGCAGTTCACGATATACCTATATCAGGAGGAATCCTTAATCAATCCTTGTGCGAACATGTAATAAAATCTACATATAATTCTTTTTTGTATATCAGTGGTACCCTGTGCAACAATTTTATATCAGAGCTCGAAAAACCAAATAAAATAAGTTGACTTGCTATGTTTTTATTTATTGTGCATAGTTGGTTGCCTGGTATGCGAACAAATAATAGTTATTTTGTTTTTAACGAATGCGCCAGGTTTGAAGAAAAATTGTTTTGGAACCATCGACTTTAATAAATATACATTTTTAAACTTCAAATGTCGAGTAGTTTACCAAAAAGTAGTGACGCCACGAGCATCGACAGAGCTGAAATTAAACGACTTGGTTCTGAAAAACGGCACACCCTGACATAGAAAAAGTCATTGGTCGCGCCGCTTCATTTTCGCCAGGCGTAATAACAGCCATGGCGGGAGTCGTTTCGTGCGGCCACCACGCTTGGCAAGTTGGCCGTGGAAGACCGGGAAGTGGATTCGCGCCGGAATACTCACGCGGGGCCAACAACCTGTCGCGGCCCCGCGAAGACTGCCATCGCCGTTTGAAGGCCTAACCAGGGAAACGTTCAAGCCACGAAGTCGTCTCATCTCGATGACGTTCAATTTAAATCTTGAGTATAATACTTGCTTTTTTTTGTCCTTGTCTTTCCGTCGAAATGAGGGGGCGCTTATTTTCTGCGCTTTCATACTGCGCTTTCCGTCTTACTCTCTAGATTATCAAACAAAAATAATTGACGCAACAACACAGATAATAATGATTTGTAAATGTTCTGGGAAACAATACAAAAATTAAAAGTTATCAGTTAGAGTTGTTAGGTCACCCGTCACACACTAGAGGGGATTTCATGTATTGTGTTGTACGATGCGACATCTGTGAGAAAAGTAATTCGCGGTGTTGTATGTTTTTATTTTAGTTTCAAATAAATAATTGCTAAACGTCCGGCAATGCTAAGTATCAAAAGTTGTAAAAACAACCCATATCTTCGGATACTAACCCATGCGCATTCGGAACTAAAAATTCTATGTTCGCCAAGAAATCGGAACTCAGTCGAACGCCTTCGACAAATTCTGAATTTTATTGGTTATTGTTTTGATTGGCTGTGGTGTCAGGTTCTTGCAGAGTAGGAACGAGACTCCTTATAAATCGATATAATGTCTTTGGTAACAATAGAATTTATTTAACTAAAATATAGACAATTAGGTGCTTAGAAATTACAGAATATATTAAATTGTAGATAATGCATTTATAGGTTCAATTCCTTATCCAATCCGCTTCATTGCAATTTTTATGGAGTTGAAGACTAAAAGAATTGACTTAATGTTGTCTCTCTGTTTAATCTTCCTGTAACTGAGAGGTCAAACACCAACATTTCAAAAATAATGAACTTCCTTGCAGCAGGTTACATTATAGTAGTTAAATCACTAATCGGATAAAACCATATAGCTACTAGAGAGATAGAGGCCCTGCCTATGCCTATGAAAATACACGAAATCACTCAGCAATTATGATAAAAACTATGAGAAAGTCAACAACCAACATGGCCGCTGACAGATCCTCAACAAGTTTGGATGCGGAATTTTTTCTGCTGTATTTCCTCAAAATATGCCTGGTTCTCGTTAAATGTATTGGGAAAACGAGTTAAGTGTGTGAAAGAAAATGGATCAAAATGCAGGTTAGCTACTTAAGTGTAGAGGCCTCTGTAGAAAATCATCTCCTTTTCTACTAACATATCAATGCCGCCTGCGACGCCTCAATTTTTACCTCTGTGGGGCCACTGTATTATCCAATAGCTATATAGACAAAACCTATGATCATTTTATGATATTAATTTATGATACAATCTCAATGTTTATATCAACCGTTGACCAGCTTATTCTACCTGCATAAACGATAATAACGCATTATTAGTGGTTCATTTATAATTTTTTGTGGTTTGTGAAAAATGACGCAATGCATCTGTCGATTAAATCCATTTTTATCGTATTCAAAGTGCAATGTGAAAGTCGGAGTTTTGTACAAGCCGAAGCATCATTAAAAGCAAAACATGTCATTTTCGTTGGGTCTAATGCAGGAACCGATAACTTAAAGGACAAATTTTTACACCAAAAGCCATTGTGAGAATAATTGCTATTCAATATTTCTTGAATGTCATCCATCCACAGAGCAATTTGTTAAGTGTATGGATTTGAATCTGGTAAGCTTTTCCTTTAGTGTTGAACTTTCGAACTGAATTATGAACTATACCCTATCGCCAATTCCTAATGAATTCGGGAACGGTTTCTTAAAAATACCTAATTGAAACCTTTCTTCATGCCTCTTTTTTGTACTTCTGATATTTTATCGCAGCCGTCTATCGTAAAAATCCTTTCGCAACGACCGTCTAGTGAATCGGTGCTCGCTAGGATCCTTTCGAAAAAATTATTAGGTGCTTTTATGATTATATTGCGCACGGTTGTCTATCTGGCCGGTATAAGTTAACAAAAACGACAAGTTGTGTCATTTATTGTTATTCTGGGTAACGTTACACAAGGTTAGGTAAAAATATTTCCTTTGTCATCGTCGGCGGGGCTCAATTTGGAGGTAATTCAGCAACGACTTCTCCGTAAAAGTTAAAAACCATAAAAATGCTTTATGGATTAGGCAATTCGTTGTTCGCTTGGGCCAATTTGGTCGTATAGTTTTGACCTTCGTTTAATGTAAATATTCGTCTTTTTTTGAGAGACTCCGATTACGTTAACGGAGCGTTTTATGACCGTAGCAAAACTCCACGACCATTAAGGACACCCATCAATTTATCGAACGTTCGATATACTACACGACACTAAATTTTCATGAAAACAACGAGCTATGGATTAATTATCTTAGAATTCGTTTTGCTGTTGCTAATAATATTTTTTGGAATCAGAATTGGATTTGCGATAGCGAGCAGCAAGCGGAAACGGTCAAGGGTATCCGTTAAATATATTCTTGAATACTTCCCGATAATGTTCCGACTTTTATGTTTCAATTTGTTCGTTCTGAATCAATGACATTTGGATGACGCCAGTCGGAAAGCGTCAACCCACGTGTGTAAATTATCGTTATATTTCTACTGGTAATGACGATCCATGTTAATGATGATAATTATGATAGACATATATTACTGAGAGATGTCTAATTCGAGTGACGAAAAACCGTAACGCAAGGGGTAATTAATTATAATATTTATACCTATCTCATAACTGCTTTAGTAGTGTCTTATATACAGTGCAAGTCAAAGTAAGTTCCTTCCAATGTAAGAACAATTTATGTGTCCCAAATTTGAGATATGGCGTCAGAGATTACTTCTTCCAATGGCAATCCTAATTTTAGTATAACCATTTTTAAATGGTAAATCAAGTTACACATGAGTCAAATTTGTCTTCATTGTTTTATAAATGAAACTTCATTCCCAAACTTGGTCATGCACGATCTGAGTGAGTGGTTCCTAAACAATTCAAGTGTCTGATGAAATAGTTAATAAACGTGTTGTATACTATAATAGTTTTTCTACGACACTTAGTTTTAAAATCTCCGCTTTCAACCTGTGACTAAAGTACCGAAAACGATGGAGCTGAGAATTTAAAGGGACACTTTGTGCACCCCTGATCAGCGCATAATTGGCTATATCAGTGTAATCAATTAATTCGAAGAATAAAAAAATCTAAATTCAACTCAATTCAAATTTAATCCACCTTAAAATTTATAAATTTGTGGCGAGATGGCGTTTATTATTTGGAACCAAAAAGGTCCCCCCCTTGTAAAATCACGCGTTGTAAGAACCAATGAATAATACTGGGATGTGGACTGATGTTGATAATTTATTGAAGAAAGACATTAAATCGAAATCGATGACGTCATATCTCTAATATGGGATATACTTTATAAAATTGTCTTACATCAGAGTACAATTTTAAATTCTCATGCAAAAATTGAAACTCTATTTGATTTACTGAATTTATTTCAACTTAGAGACTAGCTGAACAGCGCCTGTGTATATTTGAAAGATGTAACATAATAACATAAAACAAACACTTAAAATAATGTTCCCTGCTACTTGCAACTAAATGTTAACAAAATCGTATAACCTGAAAACAAACTAAAGAAATTTTTTTTCTCACTTTTATGTCTGCTATTTTTTTATTGTCGTTTAAGTCTATTCGCCAAATTTGTCAAAATGGCGAAACCAAGTTTGTGGCCGTAGAATGTAAAAATTTCTCAACTCTATGGGAAATTAATTTCTTTTGCTTGAAGTACGTACGTACACACCTAACCCAACGCAACGAATGAGTAAGAATAATGCTAATCTGGACGATACAGTCGGTACGGGTTAGTAAAAAGTACAGCAACGCTTCAATAGGTTCAAAAACTCCAAAAAATTTGAAGACTTAGGGGTTTTCGAACACACAAAATTCAAAATTGCAACAACAATGTTGTCAGATTTAACACTTTTATGTTGCAAGTAATAATTTTGTTAGCATTTTGCATTTTGGAATTCTGAAGTTCAAAAACCGCCG